CCCCCCTCCCCCCCAGCAGCTCTGGTGAGTAAGGATGACAATCAGGACATTGGCGCCCTGGCGCAGCGTGATCGCTACTCGTAATGGCCAGATCGTAACGCGCCAATTATTCTGTATAGTACACAGTCAGCGGCTTGAATTGTTAACTTGTTACGAAGTGCTTCGTCCGGAGTACTCTCCAACAACATATTTCGGTTCTCGTAAAGGCTCTGTACGAAGTGCAGTTACTGTACTACAGCATCGTCGTTGGGGCCAGGTGAAGGCCTGCGGGAGGCGGGGGCCAGGTCGGATCGAGGGTTTTCCGATAGCCTTTTGGCTCTACAAGGGCCCTGAGCAAGCCTGGCGGGCGGCGTAGATGGCTGCGGGCGCTGCTGGGTACCTCGGTGCTCTACCAAAACACTGCGGTTCGGAGGTACCTGGGTGCTCAGCAAGCCCAAGCCTACCGGCGCATCTACGGAGGGAGCTCCTTGGGGGATCCTTAGGGAGTCCTTAGGGGCTCGTTAGGGGGCCATCGGGGGTCTTCAAGCACTTCACAGGGCCTCGTGGCTTGTTACCGTGCGCTAAGAGCGCCCGATTAGTGAGTAGTCGCTGCGATTGCGAAATCCCCGACTGGTCGCGCTCGGTGGCGCCAGCAGCCGGGTCCGCAGCCTTTTGATCCTTTTTGATCCATTCGCGGCGTTGAGGCCATGATATCTTGGTACATCTATTTACTTACTCGTAGCATCTAGGTAAGTATCCATGTCTCCGAGGTTCTGGGTACGAGTAGCTCCAGCACGAGGCTGCCGTTGGCCCCCGCCAACCTAGAAGGACGACGGACTGCGCCAGGCAGCGATACATCGCCTACTTCGTAGAGTGGGATCGGTTCGATCTTCCATTTTCTCCCCATTTCTGCACTACACTGCCCCCATTTCTCGCCCCCATTATTACTCCGTATTATTATCATTATCATTATCGTCACTATACGGAGCATTGCCTCGATCAATTCACCCCTTCGAGGCAGTGAAACAAGCGCGAGGCACAGTACAAACAGATACAAACAGATACTCTCTGCCTGTACCATCTCTCCGGACCCCATCACTACGGAAGTGCGACCGACCGGTTTTGTTCACGGCGGCTGTCCAGCAGCCAGCCTTCAACACCTGTGCCTCTTCCTTCCGGGCCCTGAAGCAGCCTACTTTAATTCCCCCAAATAACTTATCTCCCCACTTCATACGACGTCCGAAGTACTGTGGACAGAAAATGCTTCTTCTTTCTCATCCGCGGCATTATCCACCCTCCTCCGCGCTGCAGAAGAGCCACAAATGTACTGTACCTGTTGGACTGCACCGCGGCTCCAACCGCCATAATGCAGTCAGACTGTCGGTCGCTGTCAGACCCAGAGAACACGGTCGCCTCTAATACGTATAGGTACTGTACATCGGGGTATATCCTCATCCGTGGGCCACTCTCTCCCGCCCTCTCTCTACTACTCTGCATCTATATAGAGATGGTACGTGATAGACTTCAAACGGGATTTCATCTCGACAAACGTCTATCCGCACCCTGTCGGGCCTGTTTGCCATGCCCAGGGCGACTGAGCTGAGCCCACACAGACCTACGAAGTACGTGGGGCCGTTCTAAATCCAGCAGCCGCCTGCTGGTGACGATGATGAGCCTCGCGAGTCGCGCATGGATGGGTTGCATTCTCTTGCAGTTTGTTCCCAGCCAAGGATCAGGATGTCACCCACCCACAATCTCCACCATGCTACCTGTTGCCGCGCAGACAGAGCGTGGTGTCCAAATAAAGCATCGGAGGTATTTGTGACTGCCGGCTAATACCGCCATTCATCATACGAGCGCTGGCGGTGGCTATACAAGTACCGTTACTGCACTGTCCTTCTGCTCGCTTTCTTGTATTACTCGAGTACCTCATCAGACGGGTATTTCTGGCGCCGAGAGGGCGCTTGTATTCGAGGACGAAGTATGCTCGCTCAAATAACACTCATTCTACACCATTCAGCATTGCGATCATCCCAAGTGAGAATTTTCATATTTGCAGCTCGAATTTCCTCTATGCTTCTTGTACTTCGTACTTATTTCAATTAAATTGGACCTGCCACCGAAACGTCTTGTTTCATGTCATGTCGGCAAGTGCCCACGTGCGTGCATTTCTATCTGCCACCTTCCGCATTCCACATGTGGACCAGATCCAGATCCATCCATCCTTCGTCTACTTCAGTACTATGTGCTGTAGCCGAAACAAGATATCACCCGGTCAGATGAGAGTCAGATGAAGATCCTTGATCACACATGTACCGTACAAATTTCGCTATCAGCACTGTACCTGCTCGTGGCTATATGCACAACATTGCTTGCCCCTGACGCGCATGTCATCGGAGACGCACTCCCAATTCATTATTGCGCTTACAAAATCTTGTGATATCTCGCCTATCCTTTCCTCTGCGCTGCTCAGAGCGTCTTTAACGCCCTGTCTTATTAAACGGAATGGCTCGATCATAAGCTTGACACTATGCAATTTGGCAAATTCCACCATACGTGTGTATTTGTCACAGTACCTCCGCGTTTTAGTGGACGATAACTCTCCATCCATTAATAAGCAGCTCCATCTTCTCCTCAAAGTCCGTGGCCATCAAGAGAAATATTTATCCTATATAGGGAGGCGCCAAGCATGTAAATATATTGATCCAGGTCGAGAATATAAGACCTCTCCACCAGAAGATGGTGGACCTTCCTAGGGACCCTAATTCAATCCTACCTATCCACGTATTATAGCTAGTATATGTTATAGGTAAAACCCGAATATTCAAGGGTATCTAAGGTTGCCCTATTATAGGACCTCGAAATTTATAGATATACTTCTAAATTTTAGTAGTTCAGAGGTAGTAGTTATAAAGAAGATAATCGTTAATACCGCCTTGTTGAGCTACGTTTCCACAATTATGAGCGTAGCAGTTTCGACGAAAAATCTTCATTTAGTTTGAGATATATTTAGAGGATATCGAATACTTTTCGTTCAGAGTATTGTCCAGTTGCCCCTTCTGATATTGCATCCCCTTGAAAGCGGAAATCGAGAATCCATGCCGGACACTCTAAAGGGCTGGAGTTAAAAGGTAGAATTATTTTGATGCTAATTCAACAAAAGTATGTATGTGAAATTGTGAATAGATTGCGGACGACTAATAGAAGAAGGGGGATATTAGAAGAAGCTTCCCTATTGATACATGAATTAGGGATCAGGAGGACCGGTGACAGGACAGATCATGGGCCTCGTAGTCACGTTACTGTGTTTTCGTCGAGACCTGCCAAGATTATATGCTACAAATAAGCCAAAGGGGTCCCTATATGTAGATATAGTCAAAGTAAGTAGCAACCCAAAGTATAAGTTGGGACAATTACTGACCATGTCGAGCTCTTAGGTTGCTTCGTATTCTAGTATAATTACAAAGTCGACAAGGTATACAAAGTTGATAATATTATACTATATGACTATAAATAAATTCGGTAGGTGATATACAAGGCACTAGAAAGCTAAAACGAATGTGCTTTTCTTACTATCCACCTAGAGATAGATTGTTTATACACCTAGGTTAATAACTCCATTAGGTCGGCCCTAACCTAGTGTTGATCATGTAACCTCCGACTACATACTTGACTACTTAAACCTCTTTTCCGGACAGACTTCTCCTATTTAGACTTAATACGATTATATACTTGATGATATACCTAGTAATTTATAGAACTAAGAGCTTTCAAATCAACCGGGAACTTATGGCCCTTCACCTGGGATATTGCCTTTGAGATTTTCAACATAGGATTCTCCATGGGCATACCACATTTAAAGTCACGTGATGGCCACTTGGCGCAGCAAATCAGATTCCAAACAACCATCTTTAAGCTGGGGAGCTTCTCTCCTATTCCTAAATCCATTCCAGTGCTAGTCACGTCCTCCAGTAGCCAAGAGACTTCCTCCCACCGCGCAACAGACAGGTCCCCAGACTATCACGATGTCTTGGTTGCCCCCCTCGATTTCAGAGATCGAGCCCTACCTCTTTATTGGGAATGTGTCTAGCTCTATGAACCGGGACATCCTTCGGGACAACGGCATCACTGCAATCATCTCGCTCCTAGACGGCCCGTATGCTAAATGGAACTACCTAGAAAATAAGAAACTCGTGCCTGAAGAACACCACCTGTTTGTCCCCTGCCTAGATAGCTCTACAATGGACATCCTCGCCCTTATGTCCGACATCTGCGACTTTATCGATAGACAACTAGGCAACGCCGCCCCTGCTGAGCCATTATCATCTATCCCGTTAGAGCAACATGTCCAAGAGGACCATGCCAATAAGCCCGTCAAAGAGCCAGTCCGCGCTGGTGGTGTGCTAGTCCATTGCCAGCTCGGCATATCTCGTTCGTCAACCGTTGTCATAGCCTACCTTATGCGAAAGCGCCGTAGTGGGCTCGACTCGATCTTCCGTAAAGTAAAGGAGGCGCGGTCGATTAAGCCGAACTAGAACTTCCTAGATCAGCTGCGGGTCTGGGAGGCTGTCGAGTATCAAGTGTGGAAGGACAAGGAGAAGAGGATTCCCACAGAGCCGTATCAAGTCTACCTTGACAGGCGAGCTGTGAGGCTCAAGGAAAAAGGTCTAACGGGCAATGAGACCATTCAAATCACAAGTCTTTAAGCATGTTAAGGGGTATCATGGAAGGGAGCACTAGTGTATGTCAAGTTGCTTAGGCGTTACAGTTTTCGTCTATCATCAATCTATCATTTGGGGACAGACTTCTAACATATTGAGTCACTCAGAACTAGTGCTTTTTGGTCTTAAAACCAATGAGATACGAAGTTCAGCATTTACTCAGGCGGCAGGCAAGCAGTATCGGTCAGCCGATTCTGTCTATCAAGGCGGTAGAGAATTCCCACGAGCAGTATCAACAAACTTCGATCCATATCAAATCCACTGTTTCCTCACCTTCACAGCCGAACCCAATTCTTGCCAGTCACAACAAACTCGTCCTCAAGTTCGACCGTTCAGGCAAACCAATCTACCAATCCACCCAGTCCACCAGTCCACCAGTTCACGAGTCCACCAGAACCAAAGCTAAATGTCGATCCAAGACTGCAAAGACCTTGTCGAAATATACCTCGAGGCTGACTTCCCCGTCAGTGGCACCGATCAATACATCTCCATCAAGACGAATCCTGACAGGATCTTGGAATCTCCCAAGGTTGCGCTGTGGGCGCAGAGCTTGACCGGCAGTGACATCCAAGTCAACATGCGGGTGCCCCATATCCATCGTTTTCTAAAGAAGCTTGCCGATTAGGGACCGGGATACTCTGATGAACACGAGAACGTGAGATACAAGATCATTGTTGGTATGTATTTCCCTGCCTGCTGCCATTCGAAACGTTATATAGATCTCAGATGTTGACTATGGGAATGGTAGTTGACTTGGGCAGCGGAACTACGTCTCCTATATCTAGCTTGTAGGATATTTGATGATGTGATCGATGCCGCAGTAGGAATGTCTCGGTCTCTTTAATACAACCGAAGTGACTTCCCTTGGAGGCAGGGACCGAGCAGGTATACAAAGCACACCTTTCCTTTGCTTTGGGCATTTCGTCTATCGGCTTGCCGCTAGCCTTCTAAAGTTATAGAGGTCTAAGGGCTATATACTTTGCTTTCCTCGAGCTACTATTCTTCCTATACCTTAGTGTCCTAAATGATAGTATATCAACGCCTCTTCTTTTGTTGACTTGTTTGTGCCGTAACATGAAGTAGTGTTAGCAATAGTGCACGCCCGTGAAACTGTGGCTAAGAAAGTGGTCTGCATTACTCTATCCGTGGAGCGCCACCTCTTACATGGCTCACCTTTCTAGTTCAGCGTGGTTCCGTATTGGAGAAGTAAATGAGTCTACGGGGTTATCAAATATTCACTTGCTCCTAGCGGAGATATTAGCTGGCTCGGGGTCGAGAGGATGCTTTTTCAGATTGCCGGCCCATATCCTCGGATTATATGGCTAAAGACCTTCTCAGATACCGGACTCTACCTAGACCGTGCCTTGGATAGGTCCCTGGCTTATTATCTACTCGAATCGGGCAATCCGCCGCCTTCGACCCAGCAGCGACTATCCTGATGCCGAGAAGCTGGCGAAGCAGTTTCACATATTCACTCACTAAGGATACTTCACTGCGACATCCAGCCTACACAACTCCTCGATAAGGAACTTCATTTTAAACCATCGGACTTCCAGGGGAAACTCCTCTCAGAAGGTAGAGAAAAGTTTCTCGACGGTGGGAGTAATGAGCCCTGTAGATTCTATTTTCCTGGAGACGATCCGTTCGAGGCGGATATCAAACGGACCTCTTTGCGCTCGAATGCACTATATACTTTATTATGATGTGCCGTGCTGTTTTCTCTGATATTATAGATGGGGAGGATGAATGGCACGATAAGGTTGCGGACAGATTTTCAATGCAGCATTTCCCGCAGCACTCTCAAGCCTGTATTTCTATCACCCTGAAGTGCTGGCTGCGGCAGTATAGCTCTGCAAAGGCCGTTGTTCAAGAGATAGAATCTGTCGAAAAGAATTTTGCGTCCGAGGGCCGCGACAAGATCGATGATTCTTTGATGGAATGATTTTCCTTTCGCCCTCGTTCGGCAGCGTATACCTATAGGCCGGAATCCATTACTATTCGAGCTGTAAGGAAGTAGGTTAGGAAACGGGAAAGTTGCCTCTGCGGTCAGGCCTACGGAAATAGGCATGCTATGTTTGTAAACTAGCTGATGGAGGGGAGGGGCTGGTCGAGGATGCGGTTTTTAAAGCCTTGCAAAACATAATACACCGATGTAATGAAGGAATCCGTGTTTATTCACCCTGTTGAAATATCATAGATCATTTAGCCCTGGCTTATAGTCTACCACTCGACATAATATATTAAATCCTTTAGATATATAAATTAAGTATTGTACGCTATGAAATTAAAAGCATTTAACAAACCCACGATAGTCACTTAAGAGGAATAACCGAAGTAAGAGCATTTAGTAGGATTTAAGCTGTTAATGTTTTTAGATAAACTAGTCGAGATTAACGACAATCTCAACTAGAGAAAAAGCCAAGCAAGTTAGAAAATTGCTATATCATAGTAATATTCATACAGCCTTTCAATTATTACACTGATCCAAGGCGAATGTAACTAATAAAAAAGAAATGCTCGTTAAAAAGTCGACAACACCCATCCACGATACAAGAAACTCCGGATACACAGACCTACAAGAAGGCAAAACCACTTAAGAGCCTGTAATTTTTCAGAAGATTCTCGCCTTGATAACCTCGTAGCTTAGTGCATCTTCTCCTCCCCATTCTCACCTTGAGCCTCCCCCGCTCCTTCGGGAGCATCACTGGGTGTTTTGAACCTAAACCACTTTTGCCACCCAGCAACGAATGTCGCCGCACTCGCCGTAGGACATGCCAAAGCAAAAGCCATGTGTAATCCTTTCATGTAGCTTGCATTAATACCGGGCAATTCCTCCTTACTGAGGCTTTTTTGGATTTCAGAAGCCCCGATACTAAATATGCTGGCGGCGTTTAAAGTCGGATTTGTGATGGGCAGGGTGTTAATGAGTTCGTTCTGAAAGAGAGCTTGAGCTGCGGATACTACGAGGGCTCCGCCAAGGGATTGGAAGACTGTAATGTGTGTTAGTGTCTCAGAATTCGTCCTCTCTAGATAACGAGTAGGGAGACAGTTACGTACAGAGAAGTATGGCGGTTGCGGTGGCGACTTCGTTAAGCTTGACGATATTTTGAGCAATTATTATGTAGACATTGAAACAAAGACCAAGCCCAACCCCTGCCAGGGCTTGATAACCTATCCAAACGGTAGATGGAGAATCTGGTTGTAGTTTCGTCATTAACGCGGAGGCGATGGTCGTGAGGGCTCCGCCTAAAAGTACAAACGGATTGAAGAGCTTGGTGGCGCCAACTGAAATTCCCTTGATGATTTGTACTAGAGCTGAGATATGTTAGTTATTTTTTATTTGCGGTAGTAGTTGAAGTGGGGCGAGGTCAGTTTTTGTGTTGGGCAATTTCTGTAGCCATGGTGCGGCCAACGTCTCTTCTAAGCTTAGAATATGTACATCACGAAATGGATTCATCCGGAAATAAAATATTACTCTGGACACTTACTCAGGCCGAGAATTAATGGAAGCGTTCGTATTCCTGATTCTGTCGCGTCGGTTCCTCGAACTGCTTGGAAATAGATTGGGAGGTAGTACAGTAGAATATAGAAATTGCCGGCAATCCTAAATATTATATCGCAACATTTAGCTACTGATAAAGCAAGCGGTGAGGGTATTATGAATAAAAAAAGGGACTTACAGAAAGCTGAAGGCTGAACCACGTACAATGGTTCGGTTCTTCATAATGTTGGGTAGCAAGAGCGCCCTTTCACCCTGGTACCATTTGATGGCCAGGAACGCTATAAATACTACAACACAACCGACAAGCGTCCCGATAACACTAGATGAGCTCCAGATCTTAAGGGGACCTCCCCATTGCATTGCAAGCAGGTAGCAGACGACTGCCGCGGTAACGAACAAAAACCCAGGAATATCCATCTGTAGAAGTTTCTCCTTGATAGTAGCTTCGGTAGGTTTAATAGCGTCGGGAACCCTGAAAAAGAGGACGATTGATGCTGCTGCGAGAGCACCACAGGGGAGATTGATATAAAAGCTACGAAAAATAAGTCCTTGCTGACCTTAAACTTTAAGGGTACGAATTGAAAACATACCACCAACGCCAAGTGACACGATCAGTCAAAGCACCTCCAATCAACGGTCCTATCACGGACGCAATGGCATACGCTGAGCCCATTAATCCTGTCATCGCAGGGCGCTTCTCAGGTGGAACGGAGACTCCTATAATAATATAAGATCCACCAAATGTACCAGCGACACCCAAGCCAGTAATCGCTCGTCCCACAATGAGAGTCATGCTGTTTTGGGCAATGCCTGATCGAAGTTAGAAATCCGAGAAGAGAGCTAAACATAATCACTTTTGTTTGATGAGATACCACATATCAGGCTCCCAACTTCAAAGACGGCAATGCTGACTAGGTAAACCGTCTTGATTGGGAAGTACTTAAATGCCTTCCCCTAGACTGATTGTGCGGCGGCAACGGTGAGGAACAAAGCAGACGCGTACCAGCCCACATCATTCAAGCTATGGAACTCATCCATGATATGAGGGATGGTTGTTGCGATGATGGTCTATCCATAACAGTTCATTAGTCTAAGATACCCATTTCATACTGGGTATATTCGACTTAGACGGATAGATATTGCTCACAAGATCGAGGGATGCCTAATAATTCTTGTCAGCTCGCGTCAATGGCTGGTCATAGCCTCTCTATACATACTAAAAACATACTCAAAACGATCGCGATGCCAACGGCTGCAAACCGCCAACCAGTAAGATAGTCGACATCTGGGAGCACCACTCTGGCAACCACAGCATCCACAACGTCATCAGAACTGGTTTTAACATTGGAGGGAATGGTCTTTTGCAATGACATTTTGACTTGGATGTTTAGATCATTAGGGTGGCAAAGAATATGAGAGTCAAATAGCTTTCAATCGTTGAGCTCCACGAAAGTTCAAGCAAGCCGAACGACGAGAATCAGACGCCGTACGACTCAAAGACTCGCAGCGCGTCTGGCGCTGATCCATGATAAGACCGCTTGGGAAGTGGCCGACATTGCGGATGCTGGTAAAACAGACGTGTCTACTAGGTTGTCCGCGCGATGCGGCAATTGTGTATTAGGAGTGTCCGTCCACCTGGATCGTAACATCTCGTATTCTTTATTTTCCATGGACTGGATCGGCGGACATGGGAGCCTGACGGACCAACAGAGGTTCCAACATTGAAGGATGTTAGTTAATCGAACCAGGTCCAGATATATACACGTACCTATCGGCTGTTTCATCTCAGTTGGAGTAATTGTACGAAGAGTTGGTGTGACACGGTAGATACAGCCGCCCGCGTTGAGTCGCTGGCCGTGGCACTCACTGACAGGGTAGAGGGCTAATGTTCCGGATGCTGTTGGTATCTATTAAAATTCAAGCGGTTTGCGGACTGACAAGTCTGCTATAATCCCGTCGAGCGTCTGATTTGGGGGCCTTCCAATCTATACAACCCTCCCAATATCCTAGACTTCTGCTGTGATAATTAGAATTTTCTCTGCTCTTACCTGCCTCGATCACCTCCTGCCCCGCCACCTGTTCCTCACCGTTTTGCACACTTATTCTTTTCGGGGGTTTAAACTCGAGAGCATTTGGTCCTCCTTGCTACTTCTTTAGCCTCTTTATCATAATGGATGTCACCAACGAGCTGGATGTTGTCGTCATCGGAGCAGGTTAGATGATACTCATATTGTCAACTATCGTTTTGTTATTCTTACATCACCTAGGCATTTCTGGCATTTACGCTGCCAAATTTTACCTCGATATGCATCCTGGCTGCCGATTAGCCATCCTGGATAGAGACAATTGTGTGGGGGGAACTTGGAACTCACGTAGGTGATTGGTTCCACCTTGAACAGTATATTCCTCATCTTATAGGAGTTGACCTGTGCTGAGTGTAGGAAGGGGATATGATTCATTCTGGACTCAGTGGACCGTGGGAACAGCGGAATTCTCCGACTTACCGATGCCACGTCCACCTGAAGACGACGTCTACTACGAGTTCTTCAAAGCCAAACACACTACTAAATATCTTGAAAGTTATGTTGACCACCACAGCTATGGTGGCCAAACCTTGCGCGATAGGATCAGATTTTCCACCGAAGTGCAGTCACTGGTAAAACCCGACGGCCGATGGATTGTTTTGACAAAGGATCGAGTCACCGGAGCTGAGCTTGTCTTTCGTACTCCTAAGTTGATGGTTGCCAGCGGGTTGACTTCTATTGCCAATATGCCTCCCCTGCCTGGTCGAGAGGACTTCCGTGGCCAAATTCTCCATCACGAAGACTTCGGGTCATCAAACGTCTTAAGCACGCCCAAAATCCAGAACATTGTGGTCCTGGGCGGCGGCAAGTCTTCAGCCGATATGGTATATGAAGCCGTGAAGGCCGGTAAAACTGTGTCGTGGGTTCTCAAAGCCACAGATACCACGGGGCCTGGATTCTTTCTCTCCCCAAAAGGAAAAGGACCTTATAAGAATGCATTCGAGATTGGCATGACGCGATTAGCTGGAACCTTTAATCCTTCGTTTATGAATGGAATAAATTGGTGGACTAGGCTTTTGCATTGCTCCAAATACGGAGTCAGGATGATGGGCACTTTCTGGGGCGCGGTTGACACGGCAACCCGAAGGGACGCCAATTTTGAGCGTGAAAGCCTACAGGGCTTTGAGAAGTTGAATCCCCACTCACCGTAAGACTGACACCCTTCAACACGGCAGCGCCTTTGCAGTATCGATGTTTGCTAATACCAAAATAAGATATTTTAACAAAACGAAACTGAGGGGCTCCTTAACCATGCTAACTTCTTCAACACCATCACAAATAATATGCATATTTACTATAGTAACATTCTCAATCTTAAAAAAGGGTCACTGTGCCTAAAACCAATAAAGAGAATCAAGAGATCCCATCAGATGCCATTCTCTATAACACAGGTTGGGTGCCTTCCCTTCAATTTTTCTCCCAAGACCAACGCCGAGAACTGGGGCTACCACATTTACGTACCAATGAGACTCCTAATGAGAAGGAGCACTGGGAAGAGCTCGAAAGTTCTTGCGACGTTCCCCCAACTCGCCAACCCTCCTCCGCATTATCATAAGCCAGTCAAGGAAACCCCCTACCGCTTGTATCGATATATCGCACTAGTATCTAAATTGATAACCTCCGCAGAAGATCGTTTAATTGTTTTTATTGGTCAAATAGGCGTTGGGAACTATTTTCCTATTGTAGAGTGTCAATCAATGTGGGCTACAGCCTATCTAGATCGAAAACTAGAGACCCCCAGCTGGGATGTTCAAGAGAAGAATGTCACCTTGTTCACAGCATGGTGCCGGCGACGATATCTCAGTGGAGGCGAACGGGGTAACAATATGACGTTTGAGCTGATTGGATATATGGATGGACTGTTGGAAGATCTCGGACTCAGCAGCCACCGCAAAGGTTGGATCAAGGATTTACTGGCCCCTTCCATGACCAGTGATTTTGCCGGCTTGAAGGAAGAATTTATCCAGAAGTATGGGTATAATGAAAGCGGCAAATAATCCACGAAGGAGCTTCTTGATGCTTGCGTTCAAGGGCTTCAGTCGCTTCACCCTTCTTATAAACTCGTTTGGACAAAATGTTTCTTCCCACTCTCTTAGCCTCTACTACTCTACGGGAATTGTTTCCCCGACTTTGTCGTACAAATATTTCAGGCATATTCCCAATCGACGCACCCAAAGACGGTTCTTGAGTATCACACATCGTATATACATATACAAAGTAAGATGTATGATAGGTCTTCAATCCCTGTCTGTACCAATTTCTCCACCGGGTCGGGTATCAGGTGCTTGAATGAGACCCGGCCTGGCATATGCATATAATCCTTTGAATTCAAATGCAAGGGGACTGTTTGTGGCATTCCTCTCATATATTCTTCCAGTTACCTGTGCTCGTGAGGCACAAGACCAAGTGGCCAAGTCTGTGATACACAACAAGTAACATCTTGCACCCTATATGCATATCTTCACTAAAGAGTCGCAACTTGAAATTAGGCTAGGTCCGGATTTTCTTGCCACGTTCCTGCTGCAAATACTCTGCTTAAACTTTCAATTTGTAGCCAGAAAACGCCTCATGGCACTCTTGTGGAATGTAGAAGCGTGGAGAAAAATTATTGTCTTTCATAAACCAGAATCAATTTTAACACGACTCCTGACTAATCCGGGAATCGTTCGGTTTGGAATAGGGAATCGCCAGTGATTGGATATAGGACATACCTAAAACCATTCGGCAGGCATTCCTTAGTAAGCCCATTTATGTCTGGCCGGTTGTTACTCTCAACTTCGACAACAGTCGCACTGGACAAGTGTTGACCAATGCATCCTAGAAAAGGCCGGGTCTTTCCAACCCACTTCTCTATCGCCTTTTGGCGTCCATCATCGGTGAAGTACCCTGGAATATCTATGGGTTCCTTATCCACAATACGTAGGCCCTTCAATCTTGGGACAATGGATGACAACAGTGCATTATCTGGTATGTGCTTCAGATACCAAAGGCCCTGTTCTAGCTGTACGAGTAATGGGAGCTGTGGCCTGGCGGTGAGGAGTAGGTACCGTATCCTTCGTCTGTTTGCCTCTGTGAAAGTCTTGAGCCAATCTTGACCTGCCCCATCGAGAGGAAGCCTGAAAATATTCTCTCCATAAAGAACATCCAAAGCCTCCTCGCTGATTTGCTTCGATAGAAGGAAAATGGTGGTGCCATTTTTGGACTTGCGACCCTGATAATCGCTCTCGTTCATATCGCCGCCCGAGATGAGCTTCGTGTCGAAACAGTCGTGGTCGTCCACTTCCCCGAGATACCATCTGGTACAAAATTCATCAAACACGAAGGTCGAGGAAACCACCCGCTTTCGGGGAATACTATGGCGGTAAATCTGTAGACGCATTTCGAATGGAAGTTGAAGCAGACTAATGGGCGGAACACGAGGAGGCGGCTGTGCCTCCGGAGGAGCACCGAGTTTCTCCACGTTCTCTGGTTTTGTATCGGAGATCTCCTGTGTGTTTTTGGGCATCTCTGTCGATGAAGTTCTACTAATATCCTCCATGGCTGCTTAGAGTAGTATTAAATCGGTATGGATATTGTGCGTTGGTTGTTCAAAACATGGAGCTACTCGAGGGAGGTTATAACGGTCACTGAGCACCAGGATGGGCAAGTGACGAATGACCACCAGACTAAGCCTGATCTAATTAAATAACCCTAATACAGGGTATAGTTGTATAGCCCCATATCAGAGGGCAAGGAATAGAAAGAGGGCAGAGGCAGAGATATAATTAAGTGCTCTACTTGAAGGTGTTGATACTAGATACAGCGAGCTGCTAACACATTAGTGGCCGTAGTCTCCCTATCCGACCATTATTAGCGGGTTTGGGGCAAGGCCCACATACAATGGTTGGACAGGGGTTTACTACCCATGCCCACACCGTATTAAGTCTAGCCTATTACTAGGTGAACCCATCCGCCCACTACTCATACACTAGTAACCTAAAATTAATGTTTACACTCAGGTTGTTCCGACCTACCTCACCTTGGCACGTAACTTTAAACTCTCTAATATACACGCACATATAGAATATAATTTTTCGCTATGATACTCCCTGGTCGCTCACTCATTACCCGCCAAATCATCGCTGGCACGATATCCCCCACGGTGCAAAGCCAACCTTGTGGTGTCGACTTGACACTCAAAAAGGTCCTCACTTGGGTGTCTCCCGGGTCGATAGACTTCGATAACAGCCTTCGCCGGACGGCCATGACCAAAGAGATCATATTTCAAATTCCCACAAAAAACGCCCCCTCGCAATCTATTCTGCATCATAGCATCCATCTCGCTTTAGGCTCCTATCTGGTCGAATTCAGCGAACGCGTCTCGGTTCGTACGTGAATGGTTTTTGCTTTGATACGTCTCCAGCTTCTAAAATTCCCGAAAAAATAAAAGCCTTGCTAATGTCCCAGAAGCTCTGGACACCATGGGTCAACTTTTTGTCCGCAGCTCGCTGTTCCGATCCGGAGCGTTACTTAGTGCTGGTGTGATGGATAGCGGGTATGAAGGTGCTGTGGGGGCCTTATTGCAAGTTGTCAACCCTTCAGGCCTCCAGCTTTACAAAAATGCGAGGCTTGCTCAGTTCGTCTTCCACCAAATGAGTGAGCCCGTGAAAGGATACGACGGAGCGTATCAGGGGAGCCCGTCGATTCTTGGAACTGGTTCCAATAATTGAGGAAGCCCTGCATCTGAGAATAATCCTACTACGATATGAATAAGTCGTAACTCGTCACCTTGCAGGCTACCAGGTGACAATATGTGAAAGGGTGCTGGAAGCCCGACATCTTCTGCTGCCAGGACATTTTGGCTAGGGTGGCATGTCTATATTCCAAATTTACCAACGTGATTCTGTTTACAGATACAGAGCCTTAGCAAGCAGCTGCTGGAAAGTGACTATAGCCGTTGAACTTTCGTCGAGTAAGAACAGCTCTATTTCCTTGCCCTCGTCTCATCAGAAACTCTCGTTTGCGCCTAATTTACATTCCAAAATCATGGAGGCATTCTTACGTCTTTTTTCTTTCGTTTGTCTCCTTGCACGCAACAAGGAAATCGGTGTTCTCGAAAAGGAACCTGCTATCGAGATCCAGTATGTCCCAACCACTGTCACGGTCGAAACACACACCATGGGGTCGTCTCTCTACGAATATCTCCGTATCAAAGTGCATCCCGATATAACTTCCCGCGACTGGTCCAAGATCATAATCCGTGGTCATCATAGCAGATCCTTCCCATCTCGCGTCATGCCGATTGAAAAGCGTGATAAACCATTCAATTGGCAGCGGGCCAACATCGCAAATCAAAGGGGACACATTAGAAATCCAATGCTTCCCTGGCGATGACTACGTCCAGCACTTCGCCAGTATCGTGTCCACGTACCTATTGCTCCACGGAAGGGATTCTAGTATCGTTTCCTATATTCTTCCCACGCCTGCCCAGAAAATCGATCCTCTGATCAATTCCAACCTCAAGAATCTTGGAGCCCTCGATGTTGCTATCTTAGGTTACGTTCAAGGTCTTAGCCAGTTCACTAACAAAGATTGGGAAGGAGGAGGTACCTCGGACAATGAAATATTTCGGTGGCTAAAGCAAACACTCCCAAACGGGAGCCATGTGGCTTTTATCGGTTGTCGAGTCAGCTTTTGGGGTGGCATCGCGGGAAACGTGGTTCGAGCGCTACAGATTCTCTGCGGCATGAAATGTGTTCTCTATATCGGCAAATTGAGGTCATTACACGGAGAGGATACACCAAACACCGTACTAGTCACTGGCAACAGCAGTTTTGTTGGCGGAGAGATGGTAACATAGAAAAACGTGCTCCAAAGGGCGCTGGAAGCAGAGGGTCATGAGCAGCAACCAGCAGACTCAAGAGGTAGAGGCGTGGTGCAATATGGTATCCATTACACTCTGTCGTCAGTGCTACAGGAGACAAAAGTCTGGCTCAAGGAGCAACAGGGACAGTTCGACTGGGTGGATCTAGAGATCGGTCACATGGATATCGCGTCCCTGGAGGGCCAGATACAGTTTTGTTATCTACATATTGTGTCTGATAATCTGGCCACGAAGTACGTACATGACTTATTGAACGAGCGGGAGCAGCAGGTGTTACAGGATAGGAAGCAAATAGTTGAGCCGATCCAGAACGTCCTAAGAAGGTTTCTCGAGGAGTACGACCTGGAACGTCGAGGCCGATAAATCGCGTCGAATATGTTGGCGCGGTTGACGGCGATTTGACTACATTGAAAAACATGAAAGCGGACATAAAAAATTACTATTACTGGAGTGTGAATTCTAGAATTCAATAGCATTTGAACTACATCTAAAAGCTAGACACTTCTCCTTGGTATCCGCACAAACAGTCCTCTACCCACGCATGTGCATCATTTTTGAAAGGATCTCTCGTCGTTATCGAGCAAGTATTTGGAACATTTCTCTGGCAAAGGGCACCCAGAGGCGTCGAACCTATATTCGGACATAAACCGCACTACCTAAAAGAGTTACCTTCCCTAGCTACTAACCGTGTTAAACAAAACAAGTTTGAACAGGCCATGGGATTTCTCATATCCTTCTACCTAGAAGCAGCTTGTCTTGAATTGTGTTGAAGGGAAGTTTTTCTTACTAGACACCGCAGATTTGCAGCTTGATAGTTGCGGCGTCAAGGGGGGCCTACTGCAATAACCAAGGCTGATTTGGAGGAGTACCGCCCTGCTGGACAGGAAAAGCTAAGTGGCACACGATAAAATAAAATGCACTTTTTGGAGAAATAATAACGTGGAGCTTTTGAGAATTCACTTTGGGTAGGGCATTTTCCAATGCCTCTAAGTTCCTAGAAAGTCAGTTATAGCGATAGAATTCGATGAGACGCGCAATAGTCTATAATACCTTCGTACAAGACTTCTGGGATAAATACTGCCACAAATAATTTGATTATATTAACAACTGATGGGTTGGTATACTCTAACAGCTAATACCTGGTTGGTGCCTTCGTACAGTCTTGCGATTTAGTCGTTCTCGGGCTCAAGTTTCACTTTTACCCCCAATTTTATCTTCGGCATCTCAACCTCCCTGTACGCTTGGGACATCTTAGTGGCCATTGCCACCTTACCCGCTCTTTTGATTTGTGATATGGGCAGCCCGGGCTCTTTCTTCACTTGCGGGGCCGCATGCTGTCTATTTCGTATAGATAACACACCAAGGCGCTTACCGGCAGTGGCGCCCGGCGTAATAATAGGATCGGTAGCCGCTTGGTCTACGCATCGTTTGTAAGTATCAAAATAAATATTAATCAGGATCCATAGATATACCAGTATTGTTGTCATCAAGAAATACCATCCAATCACTTGCACCCTGCGACGTTGGTTTATCGAGATCAACGCGCATATGACCATTTTGTTGTGAAATCGCAGGTCTCGACGCATGGTAGGCCTTCCGTTGGGCTTCTTTAATGTTTCTCCTGATGCGAGAGGCTTCTCTCCTTGAAAGACCCATTGTAGCTACTTGAGAACCACATGCTCCCCACTTAGCCCTAGTCAATTTTAGTAAGATATAACTAACTCGGTGAAAATAAAATAGCCTGCAAATCAAATGCCGCTATAAAAATACAAGGAAAACTCCGTTGTAAATACAACCGCGTAAATAATGTTCCGCAACCGGCGAAGGGGTTACTATGTGTGAAGACAAACCACCGGTCGCTCGTCTTTAACGGAAATAGACACAATATAAATATTGCGAGCGTAAAAAACAGAGAATAAACTTACTGTGGCTTTGGCGGCAGCGAAAACTGCCCTTTGGGAGGGGGAGGGAGAGGAGAAGCGCGACAGAAAGTTGGAGAGGGAAAACTGTGAATAGCAAGCGGAGAGTATTTGGGTAGAAGATATTGCTGGGTGTGATGTTGCTGCATTGGATGACATTGTGACAGTGGTGTATATTGCGGAGCAGGATGATACTGTAGTGGGGGTTGACCCTGCGGCGGAAACTGGTAGTGTGGCAACGACGGATGCTGCTGTATGGCCTGATATTGCGGTAGGACCTGATAATGCACAGGAGGACCATACCGCATATGAGACTGGTATGGCAGAGGAGGTTGATGTTGTAGGGAAGGCTGATATTGTAGAGCAGACTCATAATGTATAGGAGGCTGGAACTGCAAAAGCGGCTGATACGGCGGAGAACACCGGGATTGCTGAGATGTTCGGTACTGCTGAGGCAGCTGATATTGCGGAGACAGGTGTTATTGCGGAGACGGCTGATGCTGCACATAATGTTGATACTGCATCGAAGGCACATACTGCATAGGACTCTGGCCTTGTATCGGAGGCCAAGTGTGCTCATACTTCACAGGAGGCCGATACCATGATGTACTTTGAAGTCGCGGAGATGGCTGGCGCGGCGGAGCACACTGATTGAAGAAGTTGTTGAATCTGCACACAATTAGCAATTGGATACACTAGATTGGGTTTTAAAGCCGAGAAACATACCCATATTGCATCTTGCACTCAGCATAGTGGTAGTGAGACATAGCACGGGCTCCGTGGTGGGTGTAGAATGCAGAGTAGGACGGAAGAAGATGTAGAGACATACGCGTGATTTGACGATGAATTCGTTTCCATGGTGACACGTACAGCGGTGATAGAAAGCGGTGGGGAATTAAAACGGATGGAAGCATGGTGGATCAGGTATCCAAATATCCAAGGAAAGAGCGCACGGCGGTGGCAAATGGCAGCGATATTTTAATCTCTATCCCGCGGATTATAGTACTCAAGGTAGACTTCCAAAGGGGTGGGCTCTAAACAGTAAAAGGAGGGAAAACCATTGATAGTTTAGGACGTAGTCTAGTGGGCTAAAGATAGGCGACAGTTTTGTGAAGTTGGAACTGGGAGAATACCATTGGCCTTTGTATATCTCCTCGCCACCTGAACTATCAGTCAGTAGAGGAGATTGAGGGGTTCCTTCTGGTCGACTGACTCGGATGCATGATGCAAGAAATGATATTTGCAGGATATATATCATCTACAAGTGATGCTGATGTGCGGAAGTCGATACTTTTGTGACATGACATCCGGTCCGAGAAAGGACAAACTAGGCGATCGATGCCAAGTGCCATCTATCCCTCAAATTAGCACATCACAGAGTTTTGGGTATTCCTCTGTGGCAAGGCAAGAAGTATGCGTACTTCTGCTATGATGTCCTGATAGTAATGCCTTTTAGAGTTAGTTACTACTGCATTGCTGGCTGAACTTCTTGGCCAAGATATATATACAGAAGAGTTCAAGTACCTTAGATATTCCGTGATTTAGTTCGATGATATCTATGCAGACTGACTTATTCCAAAGCAGATAGTTAGCAAATTGTCCTATACAACAATGCAAAGGGGTGGTTACCTAGATATGATATGAAAAGAGGCCCAGGTGGAGAGGCAATTAGCTAACTTAAGAAATGATGTAGAGGTCGAATGAAGTGTCCCTGATCGGTGCTTTTTGGTTTTGCGGGTCGAGTAGACCCGTCGAGGTGACCTGGTGAATTAATTGTATAAAAAGCAGCTTCGATAAGTTAAAACAAAGCTAGCTCGCTAGTAATGTGACCAAGGCAGTCATTAGACGCCACACATAGCAGGTGCCCGTATGAGCGGGAAGTGTACATGATAAGAAGCTGGGATCTGGTGGGATGTAACTTCTGTGATATTTGTTTTATTTATAAATGGAGCAAAATCGGTTCTACTAACCTCCATTACTTATTTCCCCCCTGTCTCATCCCTTGAAAGCATATCCTTCCATTTGCTTTGGCAACTCGGCAATAGCCTGAAGTTCCATTGCCGGCATCCCTTCCTGTATCTACAAATGACCTTATAGCCTCAGCGGGTCTAATATGGACACAGAGCTATAGGACCTTCCCATTAATGGAGCAACTAGAAGCCGTAGGTTGGCCATGTCTCGATATCCAAAATTTCAGGCACCAAGTTCGCCTTGTTGTCGTTAACCCTCCCAACATTGAGGTTCCTGTTAGGACCTTTCCACGTACACCAAGTCCTTAGATTAGAGATTCGAACCATATAATCCGGTTGAAGTTGAGAGGATGGTGGATCAAGGTATGATAACCCCGATTATTACTTCGCTTATGATGGTATGATATACCAACGATAGCTGTTGGTTTCCCCTGGTGGGGTTGCGTAACTGATTAAATCATTGATAAAAATAAATCCCTTCGAATCCTTCAAGGGTGATAAAATGTTTCATGTTTCGGCGACTCGGATTTCCCTGCCCTCTCATCACGCATTTCCGCCTCAGCAAATAATGCAGGCAGCGGAGAAATGGGTAGCGGCCACTCCTTCTCCGGTTTATCGGTCACGTCACGCGGTGTGAGAAGTTCCATTCCCACGGGCTCGAGTGCAGGGAGTTCCGCAGGGAGCACCACCTCGGAGTTATCCAGCTCCTTTGGGGGAACGCATTCTGAATGTAATTGTGGCTTTCCTGAATCCGCGGCGGTCGAGTCGTCGTCACGGAATTCCTTGGGCTGTACCGCTCCTAATTCCCATTCCTCCCTCCTTTGTTTGCGTCGCGTGCAGTATATAACTATCAATACGGTCGAAACCCCTAATATTGATCCCAGCACTGGCCCTGCAATCCACGTATGGCTCAGCGCCGGTCCAGGGCCAGGTGGTTTGGTTTCTACCGACGATGGAGCAGAAGTGAGGGCCGCCGGGTTGGCGATGGGGGTAGAGGTGCGATTCGCAGCGGAAACTATGGTATATTAGCGATATGGCTGGGTGATCTAGGAACTTGATGGTCCTTACCAGAAGCCATTCCCGAGGAGTGCCCTGCCGCCCAGGTAGCTGTTGCGAACACCGATGAGAGTGAGGCCCTCTCCGCTGGGGTGTCAGTTACCCCAATGGCCGTGACAGGACCGCCAGTCGTCTTCGCGACCCCAGACGCCGCGGTCAAGGAAGCTCCAAATTGTATGAGCCGCGAGGCTTGCGACTGCAATGCCGATACGGCATCAGAGGCGTTGGTATTCTCGCAACGGTTTAACTGGCTCTTCAAGGTGCTCTCGAGTTCGGGCAGATCCGTTAAGCTGCTGTTCTGGAAAGAATATGTGATTATACATTGTTGGCAGGCTCCACAATTGGTGAGAAATTGAGAACCAACCACGCAGGATGTGGCGGAATCGAACTCGATGATGTTTGTCTTGCAGCCGGCTTTTGGAGAAATTATCAGCCCATGTTCAACAGGAACAACACCACGAGCATGAATTGGAAATTCAAGCTAGGCTCAGACTCAAAACTTCAGGATATGGGCGAGCACTTACGACATTGGGGTTGGCAATAATCATACGGAAGAATATCAGCTGCTTGCCGCACTGCCAGTGCGGCCGCGACAACTCGAGGGAGCAGCATTGTCCGAGCCGCCCAACCTCACGATGCGAAGTGAGCAGACGTTTATAAGCGCAATGTCTTAGGAACAGCGTCAGAGAGGCGGCATGCGAGGAGGGACATGGCTAGCAGGTGAGAGGATGAGGCTTAACGGCGGGTGGGGAGAGAAGGGTATCTCTGGGGCGAGGAAAGCTGTTGTGGGCGGGTTGTGGAGAAGTAAAGAAGAGGACTCGGGACGGTGGACTGTGGATTGTGGATCGTGGACTCTGGAATCTGGACTCTGGACTTTAGAAAGCGGAGGACGCACGCACTTGCAAGCCCCGTGGGACTAGTGGGACGGACCGTGGTAGGTTGGAACTTGGAAGGCTGGAGCAATTGGCCCCAAGACAGTCCAAGACTCCATGGTCTGGGATTCCGGTCTAGGATGGAGGAATCAGGAGTTCATGATTCAGGTCGCTCAAGCAGCGTAAGGGGGCCAGCAGGTGGAGAATATTCAAGCAGTCGATGCAAAGCATCAACACTTCGTTATGCGTCCGGATGGTATCTGGCGCAATCGTTGCCACAGGACGCGGATCGCCGGGGATGCCCAGCAAAAGCTCCTCTTGCGCCTTGACCAGCCGACCTAGCAAACACTGGTACGCTTTACTTACTTGTCTCTCACAAGTTAAACATCATCGTTTTTGGAGTTTGGATCGCTCTCGACAACAGCCATCAACGCCTGCCAAGCGGCCAACGCACCGTCCCAGGTCGCCGAAGCCCTGGCTGGTGGCATCATGGCAACACCAGGAATCTACAGGGCGGGAGATTGGCCGCCACGGTCCAGCTGGGTGGGAGTCGGGGAGAGGAGCGAGAGGGGAGCTGTGCGATTGGGTGGCTAGAAACTCAAAAGCTCATGATTACTACTTACTCTCCTACAACGAGCAGATGTCACGGCGATCGGACGAATACCGCATCAAAAGTATGTACGTCAATTACCCAGGGTATCAGGTACTTGGCGTTGGCCATGGTACTGTACTACTCCGTATGTACTGTACAGTGCAGGACAATACTCTGGGCAATACTTCGTACGCTGTGCAATGCACACGAAGCATGTATAGTACATGTACATGCACCTATCTACTAGATAGTGTTGTCCGGTGGGCGCGTACTCATCCCATCATCCCGTGTATCGGAAGTGGTGCAGTCGTATGTTCTGTTACACTACAGAGCAGAATACTCAATACCAATACTCCGCGCCAAGGTAAGTTATTTCCCTATGTGGACGAAGTCCAGCAGTCGCTCCTTGTACTTATTTCTTTGTCTCTGCCGGAAGATCCCATTTTATTAAGTATACAAAACAAAACAAAACAAAACAAAACAAAAACCAACCGGGACAAATTCTACGAGCTAAGGGGCTTGAGCCCACCACGCCAGGATCGCAAAGTGGCAATAACCGCCCCCGATCAGCCCAGCCCATTGGCACGATCCCCATCGGTCCGCACGAGCCAGATAACGATCAAACGCCTGTCAAATATCTTCACCCAGTTTTTCTACCGGCGTCCAAAACTGCAGAGCAGAAACCCCGTCTCCAGAGCACCCACTCAAAACCCTCATACAGCAGCCATGCGCTGCTTATCGCATGATAAACCGGGGGTGGGGTTCGCCCCATGAAACAAGCAACCTACAGTCGGTCCCAGGGTTCCTCCTCGCTCTTCATCTCAACATGGCGCGCCCCGTGATTCCGCAAGCTGCACCCCAGCTCACCGAGGCTGGAGGTGGCCGTGACACAGGCCAGCCATGCTACTGTAGGTATTAGCCGGAGATCGGGGTACAGTTACTACAGTATCATGAATCGGTTTTTTCTCTTTCTTGTGTGACCTGCGCCACTCGTCTCTGTAAATCTCGAGGGTCGGAGAGCAACACAGCGAAGCTGCGTGCCTTCAACTCCTCATCCTCATCGCCATCGGATCGGCACTCGAACACAACGACTTTCTCAATAATTCGAAATCCAATGCCGGCTTTATGGTCGAGGAGCATGCGAAGGTTGCCTAGCCCCATTCGTGCTGCCCAAAATCGCATAAAATCCGTCATCGGACTCAGTATATACCCTGTACCCCTTCAGGCCTTCGTTTGTGCACGTCGATCTCCTCGCTGCCTGCCAAATTGCCGTTCGACTCGACGCGTTTACAATATTGGAACGCACGACGGTCTTCAGAGGGACAGGATGTCCAGGCGAAGGGACATGCATGCCCTTGGGACAGCAGGAAAGACTGCCATAAGGCCTCGGAAGGGAATATTTTTCGGAAAGGCTTTTCATCGCGGTCTTTAAAATTTTCCCCTGCGATGATGGTGCTCCGACCGAACCAATTCGAATATATAGCATCCTCCTGCTTGCGATGCGATCTAACCTCAACTCACTCGAACTGCGACCCAATTCCCAGATCCGCAAGACCGATCTTCAACGCCTCATCGGGACAGGAGAGCATCCCTCCGAGGACGTCATAACTATCCAAGGAGGGGCCGTCCGGAGGAGGTGTGGAGTCGGGCGTTTCCAGACGCTCGCAAAGCCGCCTTCCCTTCGCAATGCATGCATCGTAGTGCTCAGGCTCGAGAAGCAGATCGATTTCAGACATCGCTGTGGCGTGAGGGAATCAGGTCCTGAGGAGTTTCAAACAATTCCATCTTCGCAGAGGTAAACATCAACTCTCTAAGGAGCTCCTTCCGAATTCGAGTAGTTAGCAGTTGCATCACCCTGAGCCAAGATGCCTTCCACTCCTTCCCACCTGGCGCCAACTCAGTTTGATAATAGCATTTCAGGTCAGACGGAATAGTTGACCAAGCTCTACGGTAAGGTAGTCGCAAGTAGACTTTGCCCATAAGACGGATCGATCACTAAATCGGCCGGGTATCGCGAAACATACCTTACTCCTACTTTGAAGTTGGTTAGATTCCATTCCTGACTTCGAACAGCATCTATTGGATTCGGCTTTTCGTCCTCATTTGTTGTGGAAGAGTCCGTACCAGACGTCAACACATGAGTGAGGCTCGCAAGTAAGAGGAGACTCCCCAAGCCCTTGTTGTATTTCAGCCAGCTCAAAACCCCATGGGAGATGCCAGAGACCGAAAAGCCAAAAGCTATCGCCTTGCATCAAATAGGTTATGTCCAGCGGAAAACTCCCATCCTTTCTTTAGTACAAACAGTTGATGCCGAACTTTGAGGCAGGAAGTGGCCTCTTTGTATCTGGGACGTCAATCAGCCCCTACCTTGAGCTTGGAGCTCAAGGTAGGCGAGGCAGAGGAAAGCTTGACTTCAAAAAATTCAAGACCTTGAATAGTCCTTAGATCCAGCACCTTCGCCTGCATCCCCATCAAACTAAGCAATACCGGGCTATCTGAAATTAACAATGCTTAGTATAAAGATGTGCCAGGAGTGCGTAAGTAAAGTCTTGCATATCTACCTATCGCAGTCTGAGATTCAGTCTCGGCGGGTAGGGTGTTGGCAAAACCTGTGTGGTTATTTCAGGTACCATCAAGGTCTGAATTTTGAGTATTGTCTGAGACAGAAAGCTCAAGATGGTTCATTGCGGAGGCCGAAGACGTTCCGAGAATTCAGATTCCTGTTCAGAACTCTCTGGTGGATGAAGTTCACTTCAGATCTGAATGGTCAAAGTTATAATCCCAACAGTCAATGCTTAGGAAATAGCAATGTGTCCTTGAATTTAAGCAAAGTCAAAACGCGTTTGCGTTATCTCCCTCAAAAGCTTACTTGATGTACTGGCTAGCGATTGTTAGTTTATGCCAAATTCATCTTCGCCCACCTACCAAATCCCTCCTCGTCTCCAACTCCAATTCTCGCTGCGGTTATTCTCATCCATAGATCTCAGGTCTTCATACTTCACTTCCCGTTGACTTTCTGACCATCGTCCATTTTGCTGGTTTGAACCCAAGAATAATCATCTCTCTTAGAAACCGTCGGTTTGATAGCCCAACAGAGTAGTGGGAAACGCACGCACCATTGTATACTTCGATGAAGTTTCGCAAATCGCCAGATACTAAGATCTCGCTGTGAATAGTGGAAGAGACGATTCAAGATCTCTCTGTCGGTCCTCGAAGTCAGTATGGGTTTTGATTCTACTTGAACTTTGCGAGCTTGATCGCGTTTTGGTATTCATAAAAATCTCTATTAATAAATCAGATGTTTTACTCATAAATTTTCGTCTCATGTATGGATTGTTTCTTTTACAGCTCTCCTTTCGAATGGAATAGTTCAGTTATAATTAAGGGGGCACACTTCTATTCTGAGATTATCCGCCAAATAACCTCGATCTCCCTGCCTCTAACTACGCCTCTAACTACCTTCAAAATTCTCTTAGCATTTTTAATTAGCAATTCTGAGCTTTAAAATATAAGGCTCTTTAGTTGGGAGACGAACCTATAAAGGTTATTAAGCTTTCGCAGGTGAGATAGTAGCACAGAGGGCGAAGGCAGAGGGCTGAGTTGAGGATGATGGGCATTAAAGTCCATCCCGGGTTTGTGGATTTGTGGAGCGTTTGGCTTGTTTGATCGCCAGGTGCTTGATCGCCAGGTTGGACGGGAAGTCAGATCGGCTGAGCAACCTGAGTTTCCTGTTGACGCGTTCAAAGCATGTTGCAAGTTACAATATTGTCTGCGAAGTGGCATGATCACAGAAACTATAGTTGTGGTAGAGAGGGACTCCAGACTGGACTCCGGGGTCTCGAACAGAAGTACGAAGCAGTATTTGGTGTTACACTCCGTACGGGTGAAGTGTATTGGTGAGCTTTCGAGCTGTCATTTTTGTTCCTTCTTTGTTTCGAGAAATTGTACGAGGCTTTGTATCATATTCCCAGTGACTATTGTCCATCTTTTCGGCCTTATTGATACCAAATCTCAACTACAGTGGGGTGCAAAAAGTTTGAATACCAACCCTCCCCCCCCCCCCCTGGCTTACAGGCCCACCCTGGCTACCCCCTATTGCTCAATTAGGCCTTTGTTTTGATGCCGCTTTTCAGAGTGATTTTTGAAGCTTTTAATATTAATACTTTATATATTAGCTATTCACTTCCTTTATAGTAGCTATTCTCCTAAGTATAGTTATAGATGGATTATACAAGATCTTATCCTCTATTTCGTTCTAAGCTTCCTTCGCTACCTCAATTAAAGCTTATAGAGTCTCCTCTATATCCTTAGTATATTCTAGCTCAGAGTATAATTTATATATCTCTACTTTTATAATTACTTATAAGTTCTCGATTAAATTCAAATCAGGGGAATAAAGTAACTAGATTATTACTATAGCTCCTATTTCTAGGAGAATAGCTTTAATAATCCTTGTTATATATAAAGATATCTCTAGAACGAAGAATAGTAGGTAAATAGGCGCGATAAACTTCAATAATAACCCGTCCTATTGCCCCTCTCCGTAGAGCTTCAGGATCTCTATCTAGAAGAACAAGCCTTATATAGACTCCTTTACCAAAAGTAGCCTAGAATATCTTCTTAACCCCTTTTACAACTCTCCTCTCCTTTATATCCCCTTATATAAGTTATTCAAAAAGTTGAAGGAACGTCTAAACCGGCTCTATACTCCTTCCTCTTTCGACAGAACCCTTATCTGACTACATAACTCGCGCCTAATCCTCTAGCCTAAAGTCTTCGTAAATATTCGCCTAATTAAGCTACTATTTTGCAATTTCAGGTATTAACTCAGGACGTAAGCGCTATTTCTATTTTCGTTTATTTATTTCGTAGAAGAAGCTTTAAATTAACCTTTTTTTGACTAAGTTATCTACTTCTTCTAGAAGGTCCTATATCTTAATATATAGTCTCGTTACTCCTCTGTAAGCTTCCGCGGAGCCCTAGATCGAGGCTGTGTTTGGTTATTATTACGCTGAGCTTCTTGTCGACAAGTTGTTCGGATTGTTGATAAAGGGACTTCAGGGTGTATTTGATAAATAGAGGACTAAGAATAATAGAATCTACGAAGCTCACAAATACAGGAGTGTAATTGGGGGGCTCAATTCCTTTCCACGGCGTAGCATTTTGTTCTTGTTCTTGTTATTGTAATAATAAGGGGAGAGGATAGGGGGTGAGGATTACTCTGAAAAGCGGTATCAAAACAAAGGCCTAATTGAGCAATAGGGGGTGGCCAGGGTGGGCCTGTAAGCCAGGGGGGGAGGGGGGGGTGTTCAAACTTTTTGCACCCTACTGTACTTTCTCAAGAGCCAAGTATTTCATTAGATACCCATAGACTCAGGATTAATTTTTCTTTCGCTGATTCTGTTTTAGTCTCTGGACGTGAGCAGCTGCCGCTTTTACCTGAGCAGAGCCTGAGCGAGCCTAAGCCCTAAGCCAGTCATTTCCAGTATCTGCTAAAAGGGTATGGCTCTCTCGGCTCGAATATTTCTCCCTTTCTCGCTGCTTTAACTCGGCGTACCGCAGTCCACGTTTGGCGAACATTGTCGATTCCGTCCGCGTCAGCCTTCTTCATTGTCTCATCCGCGTATCTTTGCGCCCTTTGCTCCCAATCTCGTACGGCCTCGGTCGGCGGGTGTGTGTCAACTTCTCTTTGGTGCAAGTCGGACACAAACTTGACCGCAGTCGCAAGGGAGACTCTGACAACATCATCGCGGGTGGCTGAAACATCAGACCTGGCTAGAGGGAGGCAAAAACCATCGGTTCTCAGTTCCTCGAAATTTATCGGAGCACAGAGGTTGGAATCATCCCCAGTTCGGACAAGCAGGACAGTTAACTTTTGGGCCTGCTCATCAAGATCTATGAGCTCGCCCAGGTCAGGATCAAAATCAGGTTCAAGGTACTGATCTATCATGATGATGATACCGTGATAGGTTGCGTTCAGGTTGTACGCTCGAGGATCGCGCCAGGCAAGGCCGTTTGGACGTTTTGCTTCGCCACGTTCGATACGTCCAAGGAGAGAGACTGCCTCCTGGCATAAGGATTTGTGAGCAATAATAACCTCTTGGATAGTAGTTGGACCAGTGGGGTAGACTCGCACTAGATGAGCAAAAAAGTCTTGGAACTCAATGGGCGGACGACCATTGTGATATCGAACCCATTCTTTGTAAATGCAGCCGAAAGGTGTCATAGGTAAGGGTCTCCCATCGACTTGAGGCGAAGGCATCCAGTAAAAGGCCGTAAGTTTATTGCAAAATCGATAAAGCTGTTGTGGCTCAAGCGAGACGTTTGGATCTTTGATCGTTTGGTGGTAACCTTCGTTGATCCAAGCAGCCTTGAGAAATCTTCGGTATTCTTCTGTTTCACCAAAGTACCAACTTTCTTTGAGATCTTCAACAACCGCAGCTCTCAATTCAGGTGATAGAGGCTCCTCGGCTGGGCCACGGATCCATTGAGGACCAGCAGGCTCTCCGGTTTCCAACATTGATGCCATTAGATGCAGGCGTACAGTCTGGGGCAAGCTTGACATCCTAAGTGGAGGGGAATGAGTAGAGCGCTGTTGCGTATTTGTTCTTGCACAGCACTGTTCAGTGCAGATTTCGATGTGTGTAGTAACTGAGGTGGTGCTGAAGTCTTAGGTTGAAGTTGGTGCTCAGGGACAACATCGTGAAGGTGAGGGTCGGGCTTCTATCTCCATAGAACGGTGGTGAGTGGTAGGTGGTATGACCTCCACCCGCTATTTTAGCACACTCTCGGCTCAGTCAACTCGCCTGAGTCACCTGAGAACCCTGACGGGTTACAGCTCGGATAGAGTAGAGAATACGTCGGTCGGTTGAGCCGGCAGAACGTCGGTCGGTTGAACTCTATCCGAGCTGTGTCCCCCTCCCAAAGCCAAAGCAACCTCGAGCAGCTCACCTAATAAGCTACACCTAGAGCCAGCCAATCACACTTGATCTCACCTTTGTTCTCTCATCAGTTTTGTCACGTTTTGACGACGATGCTCAAGGAGCCTAAACAAGTTCCTAAGGAACCCGAAGTGGACACTTTCTAAAAATATACTTAATACTTTACTTATAGTCTAAGTTGGATCAATATAGATACCCCTAAAGGGAATACTTCTCTTCCCTCTATAAATTTCTTCCTGCTTGATACTTATCTTAATCTAAATACATCCCTTCTTTAATCTCACTGTTTCATCAACTTCCTAAATCTCTCTACAACATTCGTTTTATCAATTGCCTCCCATCTACTATGAACCTAATTCACTAAGTGATTGCTGGAACTAGGACTAGAAACCCCACTCACATTCCCTTAGCGCTGTCGAGGAGTAGTCCGAAACATCGGTCCTCCAGCTTTGGATATTCACCTTTCAAGAGAAGCTTGTCTTGGATCTTTGGGGCGGGATTTCTGCGGGCATCGCTGAATGTTCTGTTGTCCGGATCGACAAACATCTCCTTGGCAATGAAGTATTCCCGGCCAGTTTTCGTGTCTCTCGGGGTGATGGTTAGAGATATACAATCCGGGAAAACACTATCTCTGTGAAGCCCAAAATGGCCTTGGCTTTATAGAAAAAGGCAAGCTGGGGTCCACACGACGACTAAATAGTCCAGAAGCTCACCACAGTCTTGACACTCATTAAATGCATCGATGATAGTCGTTTTGCCCGTGGCTTTGATTCGCTGACCGAGATGGCCGACGCAAGCGGGTGAAAGAAGTCCTGCCCTGTGCCTCATTACGAAAAGAATCTGCTAGTCAGCAGAATTATCGGAAGTCCAAGAAAGTTGGCGTAGTAAAGACCCCAGAAAACCATGGCGTTTTTCACCAATAGCACTACTCTATTCTCTCACAACGATGCTGTAGCCTTGTGGGCACTCAAGTGGATAGTGTCCTGTAGTCTCATCACTTTATGGGAGACCACAAGAGCTACGAAACCTCATCAAATTGCCGCTTAACCTTTTCAAGTGAAATATTGTGTTGAGTGCCGCCCTTGTTGCGTTACATACACTGTTTGCATAACTTATTTTCAAGCCTGCCACATCTTCAGAATTCCCGTCAGTAATCAGCTTCTTAGGCCTCAAATAGTGTTCTTACAAGGCCAATATTAGTCAATAGCGAGCCTATTAGTCCACAAGTTAATACCACCATTTTTCGACATCTAAAGAGGCGGCACTGATAAAAACCAGAAACCTCGAAAGTACAAACCCGATCCCGGTAGCCTTACTGTTGCATGATGGCAAGGCCAAGGATAACCCGCAGGAGCCATACTCCGTGTACGGGTAAATCATCAGAGAATCAGTCGGAGAGGAAGCGCTACGTTACCGATGGAGAAGATGTCAAAACACCCTTAAAACGGGCTTAGTCGGGAAGTTTTCTAATATGCTAGCCATGCGAAGTAGGAACAGAGCCTCGTCTCCCTATGCCTTGCGGAAGATCTCCAAGCGCTTCAAAACATATCGTCACGAGCTGCCCAGCTGCTAATTCCATTTATAGCTCCTCAAGATTTTTTGCACGGCTCTCTCTTTTTCACCTTGACAAATAGCTGGCGCCTCTTCTTCGGCTCTGACGATTCAGCGGGAGAAAACTTCCAAAGGTAAGTAAAATAATCTATCATAGGAGCTTTTGACAAGTAACTTACTTGATATCTCCCGACCAGGGATGCAACGGCCTTGTACGTCTCCAGCAAGGCAATGTTCTTGCCAATACATGAACGGGACCCCTTGCCAAACGTAAGGTCCGAGCGATCCATCATACGTCTGCGCTCCATGTGTTCCTCGCCAGTTTCAGTCGGCTTTTGTAGCCATCGATCAGGATTAAAGGTCAAGGGATCCTTTCCGAAGCAGTCCTCTCGACTCGCCAATGCGAACGGTCTTATACCAACGGAGGTTTTGGGTGGTAGCCGATGCCCACTAGGAAGCTCAAGGCCAGATGCCGGCACTTCTCTCATGAGGTTACTACCTAAAGAAACATGCAGGCGGATTGCCTCTCGCATAACTGCTTCAAGGTATGGGAGTGTTTGTGTCTCTGTCCACGTGATCGGGAATGTACACCCGTTCTCTTGCATTTCTTGAAATATGTGTTCTTGTGCTGGCAGATTGTCCACTAAATATCTAAATACCATCTCAAGGACCTTGGACGTTGTAAGTGCCCCGGCACCGAGATTCAGAACAGCTGAATTCATGATGTTCTTGTCAGTCATGATGTCTGGATGTTTCTCTTTCTGAGCGACAAAGTGGGCCAGGATATCTGGCCTTGCTTCGGCGTCTGGCAATGGATTTTGGAGTCGATGCTGAACACGTTCCTCGATGAAAGCGAGGAAACCATTACGAGTGGTTGGCTTCCTTTTGCTAAAGATATCGAGAAGCGGGCTGCTGGCGAGAAGATAGCGGAGCCATGGAATGGTCAGGAGATGTCTGAGGTAAGAGATGATGAACATCTGCATTTTGATGAGGTGATGTACGTCCTTTCCCTCTTTCAAGAATCCTATAGGGGATCCGAAGGAGAGGTATCCGATTACATCGAAAGAAACTAGGTTGATATGAGCAGGAGAGCTAATATAACTAGACACTGGACTCACAGTAATACGTCCAACGTGCAATATCGATTGTCTCCCCACTTTTACAATTCTTGTCCAACACCTGGAAGAGCGTTTCAAGAAGCTCATCTATGTAAGGTTCATAGTTTCTCAGAGTTGTCAAGGCGTATGCATTGGCCACAACTCGTCGATGGCGGCCGTGCTCATCTTGGTCTCGCATTGTGACGATATTCGCAGGTCGGCCTCTTGGAATTCCCACTTCAATAGAGTAATCCTAAAAATCAGACTGTTAACGATGCACAGGATATTTGCCCGGGGGATAAGGGTCCATAGAAACCTTTGATAATCTATTCTTCGTGCCATATATCGTTTCAATCGCCCTCGGATCATTCACACTGACAAAAGTAGGACCGATCCTAACAACATCGCCATATTTTCGATGAAGCTTGTAGACATAGTCCCAATCTGGCCCAGCCCTCCACGTCCGGACGAAACCGTAAAAATTGAAGTATTTTGCGAGTATCGGCCCTGGAATATGGCTAAGACCTGCTCGATGGCTGGGAATTATTATGACAAAAATGACTAGCAAAAGAATGCAAGTTGAAATAGCCACTGGGCTAGGAAGCCAAGGCAATGGGCTCACAACAAAAGGCATTTCTGTTGATGCTAGGTAGAAACGCAAAGGTAAAAAGAAAAATTAAGTGCTGATGTACGAAAAATAGTCTATCAGCACGAGTTTCGTGGAGCTGACTTGATGTGGACGTATCTTCGTAAGTAATCCCACAAATTCGGTACTTGTAAGGTACTGACAGGGGCATATATTTACATACGCAGTTTTCTTGGCCAGGTGTAGGATTCATTGTGGCACAGCGTTGACTCGTAATATGTGGCACATGATTTGACCCGTTTGATATGGGAAATTCATCTTAGCGCGTTCATTTATTAGTCGGTAAGCTACCAGTCATAAATCCTTAATTAAAACATCCCTCACATGCTGCAGGGATTTCTTGATTGGGCAGGGTAGTGGTAGATCTCGATTCTCGAATATGCAAAACCCAACTCAACCCCCGCGTTCCAAAATTTTGACCTAAAGAATGACTGTCTAGGTCTCATCACAACTGTCCGGTTTTCAAAAATCTCACAAGCGTGACCATTGTCAAGATGTGGGACTCCAAACCTGTGGCGATAGCTGCGTCGACAGCGATACCCCTCGTAGTATGGTTTCTTTCGAAGCTATACAAGCAGAGACAACTTTTCAAAGGCCTCGTAAGTTTTCCCACAGCAAATTATCTGAAGATATTCTAACCCTTTTCTCAAAGCCTGGTCCCCCTCACCATCCAATCCTGGGCCATCTCATTGTTATGGGAGAGATTGCACGGAGTCTCCCACCAGATGCAAATCCCCAGATGTATGCCAACCTTATCCGGGAGCGATACAATCTGGGTGATATGTTCTATCTGGACCTATGGCCTCTATCCTGGCCCCAGATGATCATAATCGATCCTGCTCTGGCCGTCGAAGTCACCCAAGTTCACAATCTCCCCAAGGGAAAATTTGTCCGTCAATTTCTCGGCCCACTAGTAGGCAAACATGCCATGGTTGCCGTCAATGGCGCGGAACACAGGCTTGTTCGCAGTTTCTTTAGTGCTGGATACTCAACATCCAATATTTTACGCCATGTACCAGATATGGTGGATAAGACCGAGATCTTCGTGGATATCCTAAACAAGCACGCTGCTGAAAAGCACATTTTCCCAATGGAGGAAGCAACTTCGCGGCTCATATTCGATATCATGGGTGCTATTATCTTCGATTCTGATTTCAATTCCCAGCGGACTGATTATTGTTTAATGGTTGATTTCCGAGATCTGGCGCAATTGCTTCCAACATTCATTCTAGAACGATATCTCTCGGACCTCAACCCATTCCGACAGTATCAACGCTGGAAGCTGGCTCAGTCCATAAATGCCGAGATTGAGAGGATGCTGAGGGACCGGTTTAATTCCAAATCTGGCAGACAACGGAGTTTGGCAAAGCAATCTTCGCATATTGTTGATGTTGGATACAAGACCTATTTCAAAGGGGGCTTCGCAGAGAAGGGCGATGACTTCACTCCCGAACTCGACAAAGTTTTTATGGACACTTTCATAACGCAGTGTAAGACGTTTCTCTTCGCCGGCCACGACTCGTCTAGCAGCACTATTTGCGTAAGTATATTTTTCCTTCCATTGCGCTAAGTGACAGCTAGGGGATTTGGCTAACAATTAAACAGTACGTGTACCACCTCCTCAGCAAACATCCAGAAGTATTATCCAAACTTCGAGCAGAACATGACGAGGTTTTTGGGGAGAACGTCTCCGACGCTCCGAGACTTCTCAGAGAACAGCCAGCTTTACTTCAAAAATTAGACTACACAATGTCAGTCATCAAGGAAGTCCTCAGGATTTACCCACCTATTGGTGGTTCGTACCGCTATGGAGATCCAAAGTAAGTCTTCCCGAGTCTAATATCCCACAATAGCCCCTGACGATTTACCTCAGTATATCTCTCACATACAACGGAACATCATATCCGACGAATCCCTTCGCTGTCTACGTGGTTGACCATGCCATGCTTCGCCACCCTGGATTATTCAAAGACCCACTTCGGTTCTACCCCGAGCGGTACACGGCTGCGGCGTCTGATCCCTACTTTGTTCCAAAAGACGCTTGGCGTGCATTTGAGAAGGGTCCAAGGAATTGCATCGGCGAAGCGATGGCGGTTGTGCAGATAAAGGTCATCCTTGCGCTGACTGTACGTAGTTTTGATGTACAGGCTGCATATGAAGGAGTTGGACCTGTTGTCGCAGGAGAGAGAATGTACCAGACTTTGCATGTAACTGCAAAGCCAAAGGATTCGATGCCGGCGAGGGTAGTAGCTAGGTGAACCGTAGAAGTACGTAGACGTGTAAGAGAATTTCAGCATCCTTTAATAACCTACTACGTACTTAAAAAGTTGCGTTTAATGTTACGGTTATGGATGGTTCCCAAAATACATCGTCACTGCCTCCGTACCTTAGTTATCAGCAATCAAGCAATCAATGTAGCCTGAATAAAGAAAAAGTTACAAATGTAATTACACGATGATAATTGTACGGGCAGATAATGAATAATCCCTCATTCCGGGCTCCAACAGTTGGGTTTTATGTAGCAGTGGAGAAACAGAATATATTTTTTGTTGGTGCCAACTGCCAAGCTGCCAACGTAAGCAATGCATCTCGGGTACCAGGATGCAAGGAGAATTTAATTTCCGGAGCCAAGACGCCGTGGAAAGATAGAAGGAATTCATATTTTGCCTATTCCTAGAAATATAAGTTCAACAGCTATACTGCAGAAGGAGGCTTATGTCACTTTCGGTCCCGAATTTGTAAATTTCGGAGCGTGAGAGGTGAGAAAAGGTGGAGGTAGTACGTACGTCCTCGTTGTAGTTAATAATATGGCAGGGGATCTTAGATCTAAACGCCTCATGTCGATCGTTTTCCGTAGCCCCCTCGCCTGAAGTGCTTTGTCTCCACCAAAGATACTATTAAAGAAACCCCGATCCGCCCAATTAATTTCGCCCTACACGGCCGGTGTAGTAGGACGTGGCATATTCAGCCTAATTCTTAACGAAGGTAATATTTGGTGGGATTTGCGGCGTCTACGACTCTGCCCCAGTTCTTTTAATACGATGCGGCGGGATCATTTAGCGCCAAGATTGGGCTTGTACCACCAAGCCTCTAAGACTGTATATTTCCGTGGTATGTACGTAGCTCTGTGTGAGATGTGTACGGGCTACGAATTGCTATAATTTGTTGTAATTTGTTTGAAATCCTATGGTACCTTGGCGTACATAGTAAATCAGGGATGCTACTAGGTGCTAAGCAAGATGATGTGAGATTTGTAGTTGTAATTAAAAGTATTTCTCCAACGTAACCCAGAATCTATACATAATATTTGCCTAATCGAGACGTTTTCAATTATAGTAGGGAATATGAATATAAAGGATTCCTGGGCTTGTTGCAAATATATTTCTGGTGGTATACTAGTAGTTAACGAGTAGGTAGGAGTGCGGCGGTTACGACGCTACAACCATTGGGTTCGTTTGGGAAGAGAACATAACTCTAGCCTAAGTCACTCTTCCTGTGCTAAAGCCAACATCTAACAAATTGATGCTGAACCGAAATTTGTTCTTAATTCGTACAATTGGGTGGACTTTTCCGGAGCAGCGGAGCCGGTGAGATAACCTTTGAGAGTGAGGTAGTTCCATTACTCCTCCTTTCATCGCACACCCTTTCTTGAAACTCTTCATAGTTTGTCAAAATGAAAGTCATTGTGGTAATTTCCACCCACTCCTAACAACAAAGGTTTATTCTTAAAGGCTGATTTTGTAGGCTGGACTGCCACGCACGGCAACTACCAGCATCAAGGCTGCTCTGGAACATCTCGGATATGGACCATGTTATCACCATATCGAGCCGCTGAACCAGTATGATCGGATCAAGCTTAGCTCAGAGATCATCGCCTGCAAAGATAAGATTCAACGACAGAAGATGTTACAAAAACTTTTCCACGGTTTCGAGGTAGCCTTGGAGCACCCAGCCGGACCATGCCTTGATGATCTCCTTGAGATATATCCGGACGCAAAAGTAACTATTTATCAGACTGAATTTCTCGCTACTCGGGTTTCTAATTTTTTGTTCTAGGTGATTCTATCCACTCGGAAAAATGCCTCAGTCTGGCTCGAATCTTTCCTCGGAATGGGCCCAGATCTAAGATCTCCTCTATTCCGCTTTACAACATACTGGTTGCCAGGAGTGTGGACTACGAGCAACCTACACGAAGCATGGCTTAGGCAGTGTAACGAAAGATGGGGCATACCGAAACCATGCACCGAGCTCTACCATGCCCATAACGGATGGGTGAGAACTATAGTCCCCGAAGACCGGCTCCTCGAATTTCAACCTGCGATGGGGTGGAACCCGCTGTGCAAATTTCTGAAAAAAGACCGCAGTTCCATCACTGGGCCATTTCCCCGACTAAATCCTCGACAATACCTCAAGGGTCTGAAGGATATGGCTCAGATCGTCGGAGGTCTGATCTGGTTTGCTTTGTTCGTGGTGTTGGCTATTCTTATGGGACTTTCCTTCAATGTGCCATTCGATGCAAGGAAAGCTTTAGGTTATGTCTCTGAGACAAAAGTGCTATAAGAGGTTTTGAATATGGTATGGCGTTCGCGGCTAGATCCCGTTGGGAGGATTGGAGTTGCAGGAAAACCTTCCTAGGGGCGGATAGATGAAATAGACACATCTTAGCTCAATTAACGAACCATAAATGATAAAGGCCCGACTTAGGCTCAGGACGGCGCATATCTGCCCAAGGACTTCGTTTCCTTCTGAAAATCAACTATGTGTTTCTCATTTTTTCATTTTTTCGTTGTCTCATTTATCTTCATCAGTCCTTGCTGACATTTATGCTCAAAATCCTGGAAAGGCCCAAGCTGGATTTCCCGGGATCACGGTCCAAGAGTGGTCACAAACCCCGCCTCTAGATTGTCGATTGCGTGTATAGTTGGATGTTCTTCTGTGGCGGATCAGCTCGATATTCATCGAGTGCCACAATTGTCTCGATTGCCAGGATTGCATATATGAATTCATGGTTCTCCTTGTCTGTAAAATCCAGAAACTCCTGCTTGTCGAACGCCTCATATCTAGGGGCCTCGAATAGCCTCTTCCGTGGTATTTAGTCTGTTGTAATACCAATAGATGAGTAGAAGACCAACGAATGATAGACCGTGCTACCGTAGCGTATTGTGACGGTTATCTCGGCAGGCGTATACTACGGGTCATCCTTTGGTCGGAATGCTCGACGGCTAACGATATTTCCAACGCAATAAAAATTAGGAATAAAGCCGCTATTGTTGTCTTCGTGTACCCGGCAATGTTACTAGATATGAGAGCAAGCAGGAAAACTTGTGGGCATGGGCTGTTGACAATTTGTCGAGCGGGAAAGACTCAGAGAAAGATCAATTTGAGTCGTTTGCCTAGGGCATTTCACCTTAGCTAATTATTAGAGGCATGAGACGTTTTGAAATTTTGGATTGCTTTGTTCGCTGGCATCCTTCCATTCAGGGTATATTTTGTATCTAGCGTCGCGCTTGAGTTTAGATGTGAAGTTATAGTGGACTTTGCATCTAAATGCGATCTGTGGCAAGGGTTGAACTAGATAATGAATGTCTGGGCAACTGCTAACGGCCCTTCGTTACCACTACGAAGTATAATCTTCACCAACCCTGGCTTGGCTCTTCCGAGTAGTAAGTGCCCGTCAGTGCCTCTGGGTTTCCCTCTGTAGCAGCCTGTACAATGACCTTGGCTCCATCGCTGGCTTCCTTCTTACCCTGACCGCCGGTGAATCTGGTACGGCACATGCCCGGCGCAGCAGCAATGACAGCAATCTTGTCGCTAGCAAACTTGACGGATTGCGCGGCCGTGATCATATTGACGGCAGCTTTACTGCTACGGTAATCGGGCACGTACCATACGTTGGCATTGAAGGCGTAGTCCTTCTTTCCCGCCATAGTGATCAGACCCAAGCCTGACGTGACGTTTACCACGCGCTTGTCGGAAAAGGACGAGGCCTTTAGCAGCGGCAGGAAGGCTTCTGTGACGGCTGCAACACCGAAGACGTTGACCTCGAAAATCTGACGGAATTGCTCGCGAACTGGTTTGCCTGGGACCATACCGAGTCCGGCGTTGTTGATCAGAATGTCCAGATGGCCGAACTGGTCCTTCACACTCTTGGCAGCTGCTTCGACTGAGGCATCGTCTGTTATATCGAGGGTGATCGGTGTTACCGCCGCCTTGTCCACGGCCTCAGTCTGAAGTTGTTGAACGGCGGTTTGTACTTTGGACGGGTTCCGTGTGCTGACAAGCACATGATACTTGCCCGAGCTGACTAACTGCTGTGCTACAGCAAAACCAATCCCCTGGTTGGCTCCAGTGATGAGGACTAGAGCCTTAGAAGTTGACGATGCCATTTTGAAGTACGGATGGGGCAGCAGCAGCAAAAGCTAGAAGGATATCTAATTTCGTGAGAAAGGGTGGAGGTAGGTAATAGTTGCCATTCCCATATTTTGGTCGGATATATATATGTTCGCGCCTCAAGACAAGGATGGCGACACTCGAGTAGGGGTTTTGGTTTATGTCCTATAATGTATCGGATTTATCGGATTTATGCCGTAGTAATCACCGCTGCATGCGCAAAAGATGCTCTTCGGAGAAGATTACCTCCTTTTAGATGCATGTGTTCTTAGTTAGCTTATAATAATGGGCTACTTGTAGTTGTCACATGTTGCACATATCTCATCAGCTAGGGGTTGTGTGCGGGGAAAAGGTATATCCCACCATCATCTACTAATACATCTAATTTTCTGGAATAGTACATCGTTTCTAAGAAATTGCAAAAATACAGAGCCCAAGGACCCAGAAAAATAAAGCTAAAAATCCCAAATGCATACCACTATCACCCCCTCATCCTCTCTCTCGCAACCTCAATTTAACTATTCAGCAACTCTCATCCGTCAAACATACTCTACTGAGTATAAACAGCAACATAGTTAACCTCCATCCCACTCTCCCGTCCAGGACGTGTATCGGCGTTAGGGTACTGTTTGGAACCATCGGTCTGTGTAAAGCCACCACCAACTGCAACATTTAAGATCATATAGAACGGCTGATGCGCAATACTATCCCAATAGCCTTCGTTATTGACATCCGACCCCTTGACGGTAAAGTAGGGCCTCCCATCGAGATTCCATGTCAAGGTTTCGTCTTTCCAGCTCGCAGGCGTGCGATCGACGTCGATAGCATATTTATGGAACTTGGTGCGATCGATGTTGTTCTGCCAGTCACTGCTCTTGGACTGATGCTCATTGACTCCGTAGTGAACCGTTCCAAGGATACCACTGTCTCCGTTTCTGTTCTCCATGATATCCCACTCGCCGCACGCTGGCCAAGGGGTGCCCTTGTAAAAGGCCGTACCGATAGCCCAGAAAGCTGGCCAGATGCCTTGCTGCTTGTCCTGGGTATTTTGGCCCAGTTTGATCTCGGCTTCGACCGTCATCTTGTGGCCGTCTTCGGGGGTGAAGGTTGGCCAGGATCCGAGGCGGGCAGAGTACCAATTCCCGCTCTGGTGTTTCTGTGGCGATATGATGAGACTGCCGTCGCCAGTGAGAGAAGCTTCTTGCGCCTCGTCGATGTACTCCTGGATGCCGCCGTTTAGGTCAGATGCAAGCTCGTAGTTCCATATGCTTCTGTCGGCCTGTCGTCCGGCGGGTCCGTTGAAATCGTCGGACCAAAGTACTTTGTAGCCACCCTTATTCGGGATCTCTGCCATGGCTCTAGCAAAAAGCGCGGCCAGTAAAGACATCTTGGAAAGGGAATGCATTTTGAAACGAGGAATGAAATGCTCAAGTAATCTAAAGTGATAGAAATCTATGAGATTGATATTGAAAGATGGGTGTGAGTTGTAGAATAATGAAGCCAGACAGAAGAAATACTCTTCTCTTTATAATTGAAATATACACCGCACAGCCAGCCTCTTGGCGACATTACCAATCCCTTCACATTGGCCCCTTCACCAAAAACCCCAAAATAAATACTTACGCTGACGTGCGACTAGAGGAATCACAGCCTGGATCCGGAAATTTCGATTTGAGTTTGGCTATAACGCGAACAAGCCACTGGGAAGACTTAAAAGGATGCAGCATTTAGTTGCCAAGAAGGAGTACAGTAATCTCGGAAATGAAGCATGATAACAAAGCTTAAGCGACTCGGTTTCGTAGCGAAAGAAGTTGTTTATCAGTATGGTTGTGGCAACGTCTCTAGTGTAATGCAAGACATCAGCCCTATAACCATTGAGGCTCAGACACCAAGGATAACAGTGTACGCTCCAACCTATCACAGAAGAGACTCGTAATCCAGAGCTTAGGTAAGTAATCTCATGGTGCGCAATGTACTGGACATCAGTGCGTTCCCGGCTGACAGGGGTATGGAGTTGGCGCCCGAAAGAATCCTTGCCTAACCTTTTCCAATTTTAGCTACTGGACGTTATACCCCAGCAGCCAAAATAGGTTATCTTTTCTTTCTACCTCCGTAATGCCAAGGAAAATGCGGATCCTTCGTAGGCGCGGTGTAGAGGGGTGATTTGTCACGGTGATCATTCAGCGGCACTGTGATTTGGGTACCTAGGTGTTGTACCATGCTGCCCAAGGATCCGCATTTTCCGTACCATTAGAAAGGAAAGACCAAAATAGGTCGCCGTCAACGCTAGCCCATCGAAGTCCTCAGGACTCGGGGCTCAGCGCGGGTTAGAGTAGCGACCGCTCAAGTCCAAAGACGGAAAGGAAAACGCTCAACTCGACATTCCGGTCTGGGACTGCGTGCTATCCCGAGTAAAATGCGATTTCGAAGCTTGGCTCCAAGCCAGTCAGCACCGACGAGGAAGTCAACTTCGACGGCTCCACTTGGTGCACCATATATGAGTGGTTGGTCTGGCGTCAATCCAAACGAGATGATTAGTTAGTTGAACAAGGTTGAAATTGCTAGAAGTTGTTAGCAGGGTGCAAGACCTATATCCCATGCGGTATTGCCAACCATTAGTAATACTTCACATCAAGGCATAGGAAAAGAATTCCCAGCTGATTGAGTCCAGTATTGCTTCCTTGCGGGGCGGGCCAAGCCAACAAGCAGTAGCGATAATGTGGTTGCAAAATCGATTGCTCGAGCAATGCTAACAATATCAATTCGAACCAAACGGAAGCAGGAGATATTCGCGACATCTGTACATTCCAGTATTGAACATGACAGCGAGTCGAACTAGAGGGTAGACCTCACACGCCAGAGCTTTTGTTCAGCATTCAACTCGTCGCGATGAGTGTCGCCAAATATTGCTTTGAACATTTCGGGAAAGGAGGCGTCAAGGCCAGGAGTGCTGAACATAGCTTTGGTGTATTCCCAATACTCCGAGTGATAAACGGCGCATCCGAAATCAACAATTCCTGAAAGTCTCCCTGCCTCTATGAGGATGTTATTCGGGTTAAGATCTGCATGCGTGAAACAGATTCTATGATGGCGCTCGTGGCATTGGTCTCGAAGGCGGTCTTGTGTGATTACGAAATCGTTGAATTCGGCTTCCGAGTGAAAAGGGCCACCGAGGCGGCCGGAAAGGCGGTATTCAAACATTGGGCCTCCATTCGAATCGCATATCGCGGACTTGTTAGTGTTTGGGATTTTCCTGAGTTGTTGAATGCACGTGCGTAGATCCTTTGCAAGGGCAGTTCGCTCTCTGGATAGGACATCGTGTAGAGCTCTTGCATAAGCGGCCGTCCAGGCGGACGAGTCATAACTAAGTATGTGTAGTCCCCATCGTCAAGATAGTCGACAAGTCTAGGCGCTGGTATGTTGGTATAATTTTCCACAAGCTGGAGCGCGGGTGCCTCTCCCTTGGGAATGAGCATCGCCTGGCCGTGTTTGATGTACAACCCAAACGAGACTCGCTGAGTCCAGAAATTGGACTTCTCGTACATGTTGGAGCCTACCCGAAGGAGGAGACGGTACACCCAAACGCGACCTTGGCGTGGGAAGTAACTCCATAGCCCAATCGCCCAAGGGAATGCTCGAGCAGAACACGGCTAGAGTAATCTAGAGGGCCATTGAGTACTAAACTTCGAAGACCTTTTGGTCAGCATCTCACGATCAATCTCCAACAACTTGAGTGCGTTGCAGAAGCGATGGTGTGTGCCTAACAGGAATGCGCTCGGAAGTGGTGCCGACTTGGGATCTGTGGTCATCATCTCCATCACACTTCCAGATCGTAATGAACAGCCTTGGGATGTGATCGGAAGAGGCCTTAAGACAGGTATAATGGCCCATAAACTATACTGTGAGGATCATTCAGCTAAACGTTGGACAATATTGGGAGGTTCGGCTCCTACTCGGCACGTCGACTTCAAGTCGTCGTTGGGACGTTGTTCAATATTCCAATCCGGCTCCAGCTGTATCCGACCTTCCCTAAATGCAGCGGCACCATACTTCGACATAGTAAAATACTTTAGACAAACCTCGAAGTTACTGGGCTAGGCAGCTATGGTTAGTCGTAAGTGATCAACCTGCTTCTCGGTCAGGAAGACTGAGAGCAATTCCAGAAGATGAAACTGAACAACATCATCATTTGGGTCCAGCATCCCAACTCAACGATCACGTACACATTCAGCGCTGCCAAATAAATCATCAATGCCGTCCGAGATTATGGGAGTGACAATTGTCTGGCTCCAGCCGAGAACGTCCCACCACAATCTCGACCGGCCTGTGAGGCAACAAACACCTTCATCTCGTCTGGAAACAGGAAGAGCAGATTGGCGGGAGAGAACTGTTGTTCGTCGGACTAGATAACCAATTAGTAGAAGTCTGGACCGGCAATCTCGTGACTTGCATCGTTCAACCAGGCACTTTCCAGTCAGTCAGCAGACGCCGCAACTCATGTTCGTCGTGCTACTGTGGACATTCATCTTTAAATACTCTCTCAAGGAGATAGAGAGATGTAGCTTTGGGCCTGACCGAGTCGCTCACGAAGGATGATAGGATGCGGTGTTCAGCGGGGGGGAAATGTGCCGAGTATATAATGCTCAAAGCCTGTTGTTCCGGAGCGGAGCATCAGACGAGTCATACCTAGATTCGCTGTCCATCTTGAAGCACGCTCGAAACACAAGTAAATAGAGAACACGGGTACATACGATAGAGCCAACAAAGATGAAAACAAGTGTATACAGATGCAAATGCAAATGCCAAATGTTTCAATAGACGAAAGATAGAAACTATATGAAATAGGTTGAGGCACGCATCTCTATGTTTTCGTTGCTGGTGCACAACGAGACGTGCATTAGCGCGATAGCTGGCTCGTGATATGTTATAAAAATATCCCCTCTCCGAGTTTTCAGGAAATGGATAGTTCGTAATACAAGATTGAGCTACATTTGCGATAAGTGAAGGTAAAACGAGAGGAAATGAGAAGGGAAGGAAGAACGCGACTGAGTTTGAAGAGAGCCTGTGGGCACGTGACACATATCGCGTATCACGTGTCGACGGTAAGGCGCGGCCCCTATTCCGCTCGAGTCGCGAAACAGGGTCCGTTCCCGCTCCTGCTCATCACGAAACTCTTCCTCAACCCACTCAAGCGTCTTCCTCTCCTCTACCAACATCCCCTCTGGAAGGCCAAGAGTATTTTGATCAAGCTCCTCCCGGGCCAACTGCATATTCTCCGCGGTCTTCTCGCGCTCCCCACGGGCCATATTAGTCGTCATTGTTGGATTACTCAAGTGCCGTAGGGCTTCACATTTATGCCCTTGCTATATGTTAGTAATTTATACTTCGCCTTAAAAATTAAGCCTCGAACTCACAGTGCGTATAAAAGTATGCGCCTGCTGCTCGTTCCATCATCTCCACCACTGTCACCGGAGGGGATGGAGAACCAAAAAGGGCACGGTATCTATCACCGTTCTCCGGGCTTTTGAGAAGGACCCAAACAGATGTGCGCGGTCCGTTTCCCGTTATCCATCCGGTCGAGACTGAATATGCCCGTGGCAGCTGCCATTCGGTACCCCGAAGTGAGGAATTATTGGGGGGGCGGGGGAATCTGAGCGGTTCTGCCATGCTGGAGCTTGATAGGTGGGACGTGTGCGAGGAAGCGGAAGGGAATGAGGCAGGGCGGGGTGGCGGGGTGTTTATCTCTTGACAATCGAGGAATTGTCACTCACTGCTTCGGATTGCTGCGCCTTGTGTAACCAACTCGCAACCAAGCCCACTTAGAGGATTCGGGAACCAACATGTAAATTCTGCGAGGCCAACTAAAACCCAGGTACAAATCCACTGACTCGACAAAGTAAAGTGACGAGCGACGAATAGCAAAAGAGCACAATTAAATAACCAACAACACGATACCGAAAGTAACCTTGGCCCAGTTCTCTCAGTGACATCAATCCTCCATCACGACTTAACATGCCTACCACCGACAGAGACTAGCTAACATTGTGAACACTCTTAAGCCCAAGAGCAGCTCTTATGGAATGTACGCTTTAGATACCATCGAACCGGACAGACAAGATCCGGCCCTCATTGATTTATGAGCCCGGGATTCCCAGAATTTGAGTATTAACATTCATGCAAGCGCTCCCGCTAACATGCTCGTAGAATTGCTCGATTTTCATGTTAGCTGGGCATCCAGTCTACATGAAATTTAGCACGTCTCCTGGTAATAGGACAATATGTCGAGCTTACCTGTGCATAAGCGTGCACGGCCCATCTCCACACAAGTCCGGTTGCCCTTGCAAGATAGATGCTATGAGTCTCCCCATCAATATATATGCATCTTCCTTTCTTGATGTCAACAGCCGAGCTAATTTTGTTTCGGGACGAGTCTCCGCCTCTTGTCGTCGCTTTATAAAAGTTAGCTAGGTCATGAGCAGCCTGCGAGACACTCTTACCAGTAGGTCCCGCTGAATTGGTATAGTTTTGATCTAGTGAGGTGTTTTGAAAGGGTGGCAGCATCCGTAAAGTATGCGCCCACAAGGATCGTCCACAAAAGAAGGAAGTGTCCAGCATGCATAGTTGTAGCTGAGGATGTGTAACTTGGCTTTTGAGACTGTTGGGGGAGCTGGATGGTAACAAAAGCTGAGATCAAGCTTGACAGACAGCGAAGGAAACGTTCAAGGTTTGAAATGGCGAGGATGTTTAGTTGTAGCTGTCTGCTTTGATCAAGGGTGATAGTAAGTTGGGACATGGTAGAAGATGGTGCCTTCTAAATACCTATACCTGCTGATGACCCTGCGAGTCAGCTCAAATGGTCAACTGCAAGGGTCAACGGCGCAGTGTATTGGAATTTCTAGAAGGCTGAAGAAGATCATGAACAAAATAATTTGAACTCTCACTGGAAGAATTGTCGAATATCAAGACCGAACCCTCACGCATAATCGATGAACGTGATGGTGGGGCTGCGGCGGAAGACAGCGTCCATTGGATATCGTCACTTGATGTTCACCAAGTCGACGACTACGCATTGGATGAAAAGAGACATACTGCCACTGCTGCTCCAATCAATAGCTTTCTGTGGATATCGAGAAGGGATGAGGAGGAAACTGACGATTCCCCTTTGGACAAAGAGGGGATCTGCCGGTGACCCCTCCCCCCCCCACCCACCGATAGCACTCCATGGATAGCATAAAATGCGGTTGAATACATCTCTAAGTAAACCATCGAGGTGGTATTTACTTTCATGTTTTGGAAATGTGGGATAAGAGCTGGCAGTGGAATGCACAATCTAGGAGAAAGGCACGGGCGTGGGGGGTTGCTTGGACATCTGTTATAGGTGTGTTTTTGGAATTTTGAAGCACCTCAGCTGAGGACATCGGGTTAGTATGGTTTTGCGATAGATTTACTATTTGTTTCGTATTTCCAGTACTTATTACTACTAGTATTATTACGAAAGCGTTTATTATAGAGCTTGGCTCTCCAGAACTAAACTATGCTGTGGGCATCACGTAATCTAGTCACGTGATTCATGCAAGAACAACCTCCAATGATACTCGGTACCTTATATATCGCAGATCTACCTACAGTACCTAGGTAGGTAGGTAGTAGGTAATTTTCACGCAAGTCACGCCTACCTAGGTTTTCTCAAAGAGCCGTGTACGAAGTAACTTTGCGATAACTCGCTCGGATTCCGTTATTTTGTTCAATCGGGGCCGACTCATGCCGAGTTTCAGACCTGAGGCTTCTCCGGTTTGATGTCAACGATCACCAAACGGAACGGATTTTGCACACTATCCCATTGGCCCTCGATTGCACTTCGGATGGTTTCCCCCTCGATTTAGAACCGGTACTAGGCACAAAGTAGCCCATGTACCATTTATGCTTAATCCTCAGAAGATTTAAGGAGCCAACACAGCCTCGATCAATCATGGGTTTGCATCACTTGCTGTTTCTTCTCGGCCTAGACTTTTGTGTGTTTTGGGGATCGTCCAACCTCTGGCGTATCAAGTGATTGGTGTCTTATCAATGTATCTAGGACAACTAGGTGATCGCCGTGCCTAGACAGTCCGTTACACCCTTCCCCTCTCTAGAGTAAATTGGTTCGTTTCGTGATGAGCGCCCGGGATCTTGGGCTTGCTGCCAAGTTTCAAACTATCCCGGCTCTGGACCGTCCGAAGTTTGTTCAGATATATATTCTGGTGGGTCATGCTTGGAAACTATCTTGATTTTCCACCCTCCTTTGCACCAACTCTTCTCTGTCCTACTCCTATTCTGGTATTCATTCTTTACTGCTGGCCAGCTGGTTTCCATTCTTTCATTTCTATCAGCAGTTGTTTATTATTCCGAGCACTTTTAAGCTAGCTTAGCTTCGCCGCCAATCACCAGTCTCCAAGAAGAACAGTCCAGATATCACAAGATGCGCTACTCAATCATTTCCGCTGCTCTCCTGAGCATGTCCACGTTAGCAACCGCAACGGGCCGGATTATGAGCCCGCAAGCCGGAGAATCCTGGGTCATCGGTAAAGAACAAACGATTATGTGGGATACCAGTGCGATGACGGGCCCAATTGATGCAAATCTCGTCCCTGCAGGAGCCCAAGATACTACAATCATCATCGCTAAAATTGCCACACAAGTCGAAAACAAAGGCTCGCTCAAGTGGACTCCGGACAAGTCCATTGCGGCTCAACAAGTAACCATAATCATCATTGATTCCAAGCAGACGAATGTTAATTCTGATATTTTCGTACTCGTTCTCGACGAAAACTCGTCCAAGAAGAATTCAGATGGAAAGAAGAATAACAACGGGAAGTACTCGGAGGGCAAGAAGGATGATAATGAGAAGAACTATGACGGTATGAAGTATGACGATGGGAAGGACTCGGAGGGTATGAAGAAGGGCATGGGAAAGGGAAAGGTATATCATTGCTGTTTTAACCAATGTTTGGTGCCATTACTAACTGGATATGTCAGTCAAATTCCACTGAAACAGCCTATGAAAACAAGACCACCAAGAAAACCAAAAAGGTCCATGCAACGTCCACGGAGGACCAGAACAGTCAAACCATGGGAATGGAAGGAATGAAGTCGATGGGAAATGATAAGACTTCTCAAATGGTGGCGTCTACGACCGAGATGGTCCAGATATCGACGACAGCTCTCGCTGAAGCCTCTCCTACCATGGTTGCTATGCCCCAAGTCGCGGTGGGGAACACCATGTCAACAACGTTGGCGAACCCGACTGTTGAGGTTCTCTCTCCGACTAAAGCAGCTCCGACTAACGCCGCCATTACACAAATCAGCGAGGAGCCTACAACAACCATTGCGGTCAACGTTGCTTTTACCACGGCAGCCAGATTCACCAACAGCAGCAACTTCCTGCAAGCAAGTGGTACAGGCGCGGGCGTGCAGCCCCAGTTTTTCTCATCAGGGGCATCTTCAACTCTACTTAGCACCATATTTACAACTGCAGCAGGGGGAGTATTAGGACTGTTATCTGTGCTGTTTCTGTGAGGGAATTGAGGTGGATCTCAGGCAATCGTCTAGTGTTGTTCGGCGGGTGGTGGGGTTCCCTTAAAGTTTAATGATATGAAGATAATTGATGACTCCTTAGCCCAATGACTAATCGTCATTGCATTGAAGATTGGGCTATGTTTACATTTGGGCAACTGGATAGCTCAGGAGTTATGTGATACCAATATACGAAGTTTCAAAAAAGTCTATTTCGAAGTAACGTAGCAACTTGAAGTTATGCAATTCCGGAAATAGTAGGTTAAAATAAGTGAGGGAAATTTGAACGAGTTAACTGAGCGTGAGGATTGGCAGTCAGAGAAGTCGGGGTTTATAGGGGCAAGCGTGGGAAAATTAAGTATCCTCTGGCGAGTACAGCTAGATATATCCTTCATATAAGCTCTGAATGTAGCTTACTTACTCTATCCTGTCTGCACTTCTGGGTGGTGGTTGTATCAATCATCTTCAGGTCCTACCTCAGTGCCGCTTTCCACCCCTGAACAGGCGGAGTTGAATATTTTATTTGTTCTTCGTGTTCCATTGCTCAGTTTCAGATCTAGTGGTAGCTCCAGTCCTAACATGGCAATTGGTCCTCCATTGGTCGGCTCTAAATGCAGGCTCCTCTCTGTCGAATGCCGGCTGTTGCCATTCCTGAGCATTTACTCAGCCGTGTACTCTCTCTCAATTTGTGAAAGGCACTCTAGATATCAACACTTGAGCATTGTCGAACAAGTAAAACATAGGGATATATGTAATTAATTATAAATGCTTGGTCGTACATAAATTGGTATCTCTAGTTGCCGCAGCAGCCACTTCTATTTCCCCTTCCCGCCTGGTGTGTAATTACATACGTTAAACCAATATTGTATGAATCCTATGATGACCAGTAGATAACTATACCTCATTTCAGATTGTCCCAAAAAAGCCCCGATCCTCCAACTCCTTGAGTAAGAATAAATATGTCAAAACATCACGAAGGACCGTGATCCAGGGCTCAGCACCTCGGTACAAGGGGGTGATCGCACGATCTCATCACAGTGTACCTAGGCAGGCTTACATAGCGGTATCCTTTTACCGTGATGTATTATTGTTATTATTCTCATCGACCGACCTGTACCCGCTCTCGCTTTCGGCGAATGAGAAGGGTCGGGTATCGTCTGATCTAGATATGGGTGTGGCGCCAGTACTTGGGTGGCGTGCAGGAGCCATGGCAGCGGGGAGTTCGTGACGGGTGGCAACCATCTCATCGGGATTATAAGGTCTATGCGTGGTTTGTTAGTTAGACTTATATACTCACTGTAAGCCCTACTGTTTTCGACAACCCCTTCCAATTTGTTACTATTCCAAGAGTTTACAATCCGGAATAGGATGTGAAAATTATAAAAGCTGAAAATAGAAATGTTTTGTACGAACCTCATCCCAACAGCTCCATGGTCCATCTCCTGTGGGTACTGCGGACTACCCGGGCTCCCAGTTTGCGACATGGGAGATGGCTTCTCGTTGGGATAGTGCATCGCGCCAGCCACACCCATCATTTGTGTCCTCTCATCAATTGGGGGGCTCATGCTGCGATAGCTCTCTCTCTCCATCCCGGGCATACCGTAGCCGTGGACTGGTGAGTATACACCAGACGCTGGTGTCTTCAGCATGTTAGAATACTGAGCTTCAGATGCGCCGGGAGAGGAAGGGTTGTAGGCAATTGGGGCCGGTGGTAATTGAGACTGCCGCATGATAGATTTGGTTGCTCTTTGTCGCGCGCACATATAGATCAGTGTTCCAGCCAAAACACAAACCGCGACGCTTCCGATCACGATCCCCACAATGGCTCCTGTGGATATGGAATGACCACTTGGGGCTGATGAGCCGGCTGATGTAGTTTGCGCTGCATTGGTGGATCCGGCGGTGGCTGCAGCAGTTATATCAGTGGGTCGTGATTTTGGGGTTTCTTCAGGGAAAGCCTCTCCGGGACTCAATGCTACTGTCGCATTTCTGGTGTAATTCAATTGAGCGGTGTAAGTAAAGGTGGAATTCTGTTCGAAAAGCATTAGATTGGAGAAATGGTGAAGACTGGATAACGAACCGGGTTGATAACCCCAACCATACCCTCCAAACATGCACCAGGAGCGGAGCAATAGAAAAATAGAGGGTTAGTATCGTTGATTTTGATCGAATAGGATGGAAGCTAAACTCATGTATCGTTAGTTCCCTGATCGAAATAAGCGATGCGAACGGCTTCCATACATCATTTGATACGATTTGGACTGGTTTGAATCCACTCCAAAACCCCACCCTGCCCGGGCCAGTCATTTCGTAGGGTACACATGGTTGATTCCCAAATGCTCCTTTGACTACTGAATGATTTTGTGGGTAGAATCGGTATTCTGAGGTCGGGTCAGCCAGTTTCTTTGTCACGATATTGTCTCTACTAGTTGGAGAGATGGGGTATTTGGTACCAATTATGTCTCCAACATCGGCAGTTACCTCACTCGGCGAGAAAGTATGTCCTTCCTAGTTGAAGAATATTATCAGTATCTGTTCTTAGAGCATGGGAAGATCGTAGGAGGTTGTATAGTGTATTGAGACTTACCGCGCCGACAGAGACAGTATGTGTCGCAACTGGTGCACTTGAGGCCACGGTTGGCGAGTTACGAGAAGGACTGGCCGTATCAGCCAATCCATAGCCGATGGCTATCAGCAATAGAGTGAGGGCATTCCACAGCATCATCGCTAAATTGTAAAGGCAATATTGGTGAACATGCAATGATTGACTGTCATAGTTTGGAAGAACTAGAACAGAAAGCAATCCAATTGAGATTAAAAGAAGATGCAAGTACCGCAGATTATGATAGTATGCGGGCAGATGAAGGGCGGTGCAATAGTGTTGGAGGATTCCGCAGCTAGTTAACAAAGAACAAAGAAAGCAGGAAATTTCAAATTCCAAGGCACAGTCAGCGTCGAACTGATCTCCACCAGACTCAGCCTTTAAGTCTTTGGCCCAGCCTGCACAGCACGGGCTATGACACGGGGGAGATCTTACTCATAGGAGAAAGGGTGAGAATACTGCCAAGTGATGACAAAAGCGGGACGTAACGTTATGAGAGTCTGTGGCTCAAGTATTTTATGATGGCAGGATTAGGAACGGGATGTGTGCAGCCACCGCAAGCTTATATTGACGGTCAGATCATATTTACCAACAGAGAGGCTCAGCCAAATCTCAGGTTGAAGGCTACCTACTTCGTGCTTCATACGGACTCCGAAGTGGGGAGTGGGAAGCCCAAAGGACTCAAGGGGTCCTTTGTGCTACATAACTGTTGGACCGTGAGTGTTTATTCGCGCCTCGAAACGATGCGCCCAAAGCAACCGGATTTCTCTGGGGCGAAGCCCAGGAGGTTAATGATAATTGGGCATCCTGCCCTCTCTGCTGCCTTTGCCATACTTAAGGCCAGAGTGGAAGATTATCCCCTGAGTGGGAGTGAATTTGTTGCTTGGTGATCTGGTGTGATTGGTGGAACACTGAGCATATCTCATGATGTTGGCAATTTTACACGGTTAGCCACCCTGTCAATCAATTAACATATGACTTCTGTTCAAGGGAGAGGGACGTGCTAAGGGGATTGAACGAAACAAAGCTTGTGCACAATTGTTGCGACCTTGCGAATTGCAGATAGCAGCTTGACGATGACTGTTCAGTGGCACAGCAGGTCTTCAATACGCGGAGTCTAGTAAGCACTATCTGTGGCTGGAAAGGTTGCCTTACCAAGCCCCAGGTTACCAGGTTCGCGGTACGAGTTTGGCCTTGCTGCATCCTTGCACGTTCGGGTTATTCAATCCAACAGAGAGTTCATCCGTATAGAGCACAGCCGAGGCATTTTAGTCATGTCATCTATACATAGGTAGTTTTCGGAACACGACACAAGAACACCAATAAGTTGAAGGGTAAATTAAAGACCCCCGGAATTTTTGGGTATTCGTATATGGCGATTTATGAACACAACACAATTACTGGGACTTTGCTTTTCTCTTCCCTGATTTTGACCCGTCTAGTAGCCCACTTTCGACGACAAGACTCCCCAAACACCATAGATAACAGATGCCGAATCCTACGGCCCCAATCCCGACATTTATTACCACCCATAGATCTGGTTTCCCATGTGGCGGGGAAAGGAATGCCTCGGCTAGGTGCCATGCTCCCATGGCAACATAGGTAAGTATATGTACAGTCGTTGTCGCAAAACCAGTCCATGTCGGATGCCCGTCTTGCTTGTATACCGATAGAGATGTCGGTGGTAGCCCAAGGAGATATGCCCATAGGAGGGACAGGACATAGTATGGAATACGTAAGTCGACGCGTTGAAGGAGCGGGAACATGGTCCACACCCCGAGCAGATTCGCGAATCCAATCCAGGCGCGGGAATTTTTGCTCAGTCCATGCTTGCCTGCCAATAAGGCAGTCATGGGCATTAATGGTAATAGAACACTCTTTTCATGGACCTGGAAGCTAAAGAGAAAGAACCCCCATGCGGTGGTTGCCAAAGCTATCGGCAATAAATCTTTTCGAGGCTTCACGAAAATGACAAGGCAAGGGGGTGTGATGGAGGCGAGCGTAACAAGCAATGAGGCTCTTTGGAGGAGCTCAGACGGATATTGTCGAAGCTTGACAATAACGTTCAGGGCGCACCAGAAGTTAGCGACCTTATCCTCAAAGAGGCCTCTAGCGAACGGAAAAACTCGGTGGACAACCTGTGCAGCTTGCTGGATGATGGGGTAATACCAAGCTTGGTGGTCGAGCCTGAACGAGTATTCCGTGAAAATCGGTAGTGGAGCCGCATGCCCAAAGAGGTCGGGTCGAGCATCAATACCACGGTAGGAGTCGTAAAGGGCTCCCAAGAAAATTGGCAGTAATAGTACAGCGAACGAGGCCAAGGTTACAAGTGCAATACCCAGAAATCGCGCGATGTTGATCCGGGGCCAAATGCAAACGCCGAGCAGGTATGCGAACATCGCTGGGGCGTAATATAATGCCATCTGCTTGAACCCAAGTGCTGCAACGAAGAAGACGCAGCTCCACATGAACCTCCCGGCTAGGACACTTGACATGCCAGCAAGTACCAAGCCCAACATGACCGTATTGTATTGGAAATGTACATGGTCTATCAAAATAATGCCCGGCTGCATCAGAATCGCCGTCAGGGCAATTGAAGAATTCCACGTATTGACATCTTGAAGCTTGCTAAGCCGCCTCACAAAAATGACGGCAGCAGGTACGAAGATGAGATATTCGGACACTATGACGGTAGCTCGCATAAATATCTTCAAAATAGGATCATCGAGCCCGCGCGATGTGTATAAAGCAAACCACGAGGGGTCAATGATTCCTCCAATCTTGCCCAGTAGCCAACTATGGTAGGCGGTCAAAGGTGGATAGTCGAGGCCCCACCATTCAAGCTCGTGGAAATACCATTGGGAAATGGGCAATTGGGTTGTGATCTCCATCCAATGCCTCTGGGCTTCGTAGTCTCCGTACATAGGGGGGTTCTGGAATCCTAGAAGGCCTAATTAGTCTGGAGCTCCTGGCAGAAACACAGCTGTACAAATCATACCAGAGTAGCCCCAAAGACCAGCTGCCCATCTGAATAAACCCACTGCAATCAATATCAGAGGTAATATCTCCCATTGGGATAGAGAACTCCGTGCCGGCCACAGGAAGGCAGCGAGGGGGTATGCAGGTCGGCTCGGAAAAGAGGAGGATCGCCCAGCGGTGGCTGGCGCGGAGGAGACGTCGCTGCCGTTGCTCGTCTTCTTGGCCTTCCGCCGGGGTTTATGGGGCGAAGGTGGCGGTCCAGCCATGGTCACCGTGGTGCTGATATCACAATTAATGAGAGTGAGGGTGATGATGAGGGCATTGTTTTGGAGATTGGAGAGAAGCCACCTGGCGCGGCGAGAGTGACGCGAAATGCCGTGACGTCCCAAAAATTTGGCGCGTACGTTCATCTAAACCTAGTCCAGAGTGTCCGACGACGCTCAACACACCGACAGGACAACATGCTAGCTATCCGAATGCCTCTTGCAAGTGCAAACAACTATAACCGCATATATACACTCTCTCGTTCCCGTGGTCTTGCGTTTCCTGTGTCGTATTATACCAGCTGTTTGCCTTCTAGAAACCCAACCCCTCTACTCGTCAATGTTCAAGGTTACGGTCTCAACCAAAAGCCATTGGAGGCCAATAGATGGCTTGCTCGAGTCATGATAGCATGGGCGGGTTCTTTCAACCTAGAGGTTAATTCTCATCCATAAGCTAGTTTTGCCTTATAGACTCTATTTTTTGCCTCAATAGAGTATTGAGCTGATTCCAGATATCGCCGAAAGGGGAAGAGAACGGAACCTTCTCCTCAAGCTTCACGCTCGCTAGCTTTTGGTCACATTCCAGATTCCTTATACGTCGGTTTTCTTCTTTCGCTAGCAGCTTATTCATTTACTGGTATCTGACTGCCATGGACATTTTTGCTACATAAAGCCACATTACATACCGGTTTCCATTTTATACGTCATGACTAAGACTACTTTCTTTTGTCCCCAAATTCTAACGCAGTAGCATTCATACTCCGGCATACGAGTATGACGGAATTTCCACCCTAAAATTTGACCCTGACACTTGGCAGCACAGCCTCGTTCCTGCAAGAAAAAGCCTCATTTTATAGCCCCTGAAAGCAAGGCTTTCGCCTTGAACTGTACGAACGCCCAGCCTATTTTTAGAATCAGGGACTTGAGAATTCTAAGCACGTACCTAGCTTCTATGTCGTCGATTCGATGCTGCTGTTGGCTCCCCCGAGCTATGCTTTCCTTACAACCATGTAAGTGTACGAACGGTACATGGCTGGCTTAAATACCCCTTTTCGGTGTACACATGAGTTTACATTCCGTCGATTGCATCATCTCAAATCCAGTTATTAGATACCAAATCAAGTGATCGGTGGTTATATTTTCCAGTAGATATTACTAAACAAGAATGAGCCCCCGGCACCCGTTGAATCCTAACTTTAAAATTGGCTTAATCCTCGATTTTCGGGGCCTCAAGTCCAGGGCCTCGACTATAAGTCCACTACCACACAAAGAGAGCACGGAGGCAAACAAGATCTATTCCGCTGACACCATTCCTGTCAATGAAATAGATCGCTCCCAAGAACCGGGATTTTGATAATGGGCTGGAAAGTCCAGTCCGACGAGTCCTTACTTAAGTACGCCGTGACGAGCCTCGCGGGAAACGAAGCCACATTGGTATAATCGGCTCACACTACATCTGATGTAATACCGCCGTATTGAACCTCTCAGATGGACAAGATCCACTCTCCTCTAAATCGACGCCTAGTGGGAAGAAGTGGCAGATGATTATGCTTACCTTCACAATCCCAGAAAGCTTCTTAGCGAGAGGATGTTAAGACTTTCTAGTAATTAGGAAAGGCATTGGAGTTCGTTTTGAACTAGCACACCATCACGGATCATCTACTAGCCATATATCATCAACGGAGAAATCGCCTTGTCCTACTTAAATGCATTGTATTTTGCAATTCTGGAACTCTAACAAGTACAGTCCTACCAAAATGTGCAACTACATTGCAAAATGTCCATATAAGATTGACAGCATCACGGGGAGTTGAAAATATCAAGTTTGCCTGGCAGGAGACGTGGTATTGACACCACAAAAGAAGATTGATGCACCACGTCTCTGTATTTCCTCATCATCTCGCGTGTGTGGGTCATTGTAGCGCTGCTCGAACATCTCGTTGATGCGAGACTTGTACTTGTACTTCTGCTTGACTAGCTTGTCGCACTTGGGAATAATCATGGGGGTCGTCATGTTCGCGGTGGCCGTGTGTATCCCTACCTACCTAGGCAGGTACTAGGTAGTTATTTTTGTATAGTGGCCAGAATCTCAAGGACCAGATGATGGTATAAAAATAACACGACTCCGAGACACCCACAACACCATATAAGAGCTTGACGAGTCTACCTATTAGAATTAAGGTCAGCTATTGTTAAAATACTTCTCAACAGCAATAATCTAAGACACATCCCAATCCTTCTATTCATAATACTACCAGCATCGTTATCTACACATGATTTCCCTCCCGCACAAACAGTAATATATGTTTCACTAAGCAAATTTTGCTCCAAGAGCAGTATAGGTCGGCTGGCCCAATGGGTAAGCACATTCTCACTCCGAGACTAAGGAAATCAAAGTACTAACGGTTCTGCAGCAAGGCGCTTGACTACGAATCAAGAGGCAGGTTCGATCCCTGCGTCGATCATATTCTTTTTGCCGTTTTTTCTTTATAGATCCTGGGAAGTTTTTCCCCCAATTTTTCGTCTTATGTTTTTTGTGATAGATGTCAAGCGAGCATGTGCGGGGGGGGCTTTATCGTTATCTAAAGTTGGTTAACTTTTGGTGTCATCTTAGACAGATTGGTTGTGGGGATAACTGTGTATTTTTTTTAATAATGGAGGTTTCGAACTAGGTATCACTGTACGGAATGATAAGATTATTTGGAAGCGCTTGCTTGCAATTTATGTCCCATCCTGTCCATACGCCCAACCCAACCCCGAACCCAAAGTAGACCAACACCCTGCACCGACCCCATCATTATCCCATCATTCTCATTCAACCATAACCCATTCGCTGGTCAGTAATTCATATTCGCATGCAACCATCTCATTCATAACCAGCGCTCAACTCTGCGGTTAGAGGAGCGCCATGGCCCTCGTACACCCCAAACTCCCATGACAAAATAGAAAAATTTGAATGGAGTAAGCCTATCATGCAATGACGCTCGTTCCACTCCGGCCGATTCTCCAATTCAACCTCCTCAGACCGCCGCTCCCTCTGGCACTTCTCGCGACCTCCCTGCCGCAACCTCCGCCATCAGTGAAGCTGGTACCATGAATTCCGCTTAGGACTTCCTGTCTCCCAACCTCGCGTCCAATAACGTAGCCGGCTCCAAATCCCACAACACTGAAGAGAATCAACACACTGGCGGACATAACCCACGCCGAGAGCGTAGGGCTAAGGAAAGTCTCCTCTCCTACTGCTACAACTTGCGCACTCTTTCTACGCTTCTTCTCCGCTCGAGCCTTGTCGCCCGTTTTTGTAGCTGCGCTGGTACTAGCTTTCCGCTTCCCTTTTTCGACGGCCTCTTGGCTGGAGATGCTAGGGCTGCTCCGTACACGCGTAGATGGCGTGCGGGGATGGGAAGTGTTCGCCCGGGCTGTTGGAGCACCGCCTACAAGCTCGGATTCGGGCACAAGACGGAGACCCATTTGATCGTTGCTGGGCATTGTGTTACTGGGTTGGTTTCTCTTCGGTAAGCCTCGTGCGGTGGCTGCACCGATGGAAAGGAGGGTTGTAAGAGAGGCTCGGAGGGCTGCATCGTGGTCTGTTTGGTGGCTATAAGAGGATTGTCTGCGTGCTGGGTAGCCGTTTCTATCGTTGTTTTGTCTCTGGCCGGGGAAGTAAGAGTCACGACCGACGGAACTGTGGTGTCGCGAGGATGGGGGATGAGAGAATGCGTTAGGCTGTGGTGTGAAGACTGGCTCGGCAGTTCTTCCTCCTAGGGCTGTGCTATTCTCATCGTCGTCATCCTCATCCTCATCTGATGATCCGCCGTCGAACTCTGGCTGGGGCATGCTGAGGAGCCGTGTGCCGGGAGTAATACGCTCGGTCGAACTAGTGATAACTTGGTCATCCTCGCTCTCACTCTCTTCGTATTCTTCCTGGCTGCTCGTGCCTGTTTGTCTCGTTTCGAGGTTTACGTGGGATGGTCCGCCTGGCTGGGGCCACTGTCGTCTCCGCACGTTGGGATTGCGATCTTGTTGGACACGAAGCCCAGTGGTGACAATTTCATCGTTGATGGAGGAGAGGGAGGAGGAGGAAGGCTGTGATGATATATCGATCCAAGATTCTAGAAAAGGGGGTTAGTATAGGGGAACTAGTTTGTGAAGTGGGAAGCGTAGTTACCATCACTGCGCAACCTTTGTGGAATACTTGGAGAATGTGCAACAGATCCGGAAGCCCTCATGTTTTGTCTGCTTGATGAATTACGGTTGGAGGTCTGTCGAGAGGGCGGGTTTGGAGGAGAGGAAGCCATAGGGGGCGATAGTGATAGTGACGGCGATCGTTGGGGGGTGGGGTAGGGTAGCGGGGTGGTTGCACGAGCGGTGTGACGGTGAAACCCAGTTATCTCAAACGATCCCGACCCTCAACAGAAAGCTTCGGGCATCAGCTCAGCCTCGTTCGAGCCTTGAGAAGTCGCAAAGAAATGACCGGTGTGTTATTTGGGCGTGGGCAGCTTTTATCCTCAGTTTGGGCGCTTGTGTTGCCCTTGGCGTGGTGGTGGTGTCGTTCCTCCTCCTCGCCTGGCGGATTGCGCGTTCCTCTTGTAGCGCGGGTTCTTGTATCTAAGATGTCGCAAATTAGGGTCGCGGTGGCTGGATGAACCTAGTAAAAGGGTGGGATGTGCTGTTAACGCCGACGGGCAGTTTGGAGGGTGGACAAGTCCAGTGTCAGGCTTTAGGAAAGGAGCAATAGGTGGCGCGACGCGATGCGACGAGCGAGAGGAGAGGGGAGAGAGGAGAGGAGAGGTGATGGATAATGACGGCGATGGCGATGGCGATGAGGTTAGGACTGGAATCATTAAATATCTGTAAAGTAGGTTGTGGCCGTGGGGTTGGAATGCAAAGGGTGGTGTACAAGTGCGAAGTGGCGCGGCGAGTTACTTGTACTAAGTGAACGACTGGACCACGACTGTGAGACAGCAGGTCGAGATTAGCCTTTGTACACCACAAGGTACAGTAATGCCGTTAATTACACTGGCTAGTCCTCGTGCCGCGCCTACAAGAAATAGAAATCAAGAAAACAAGATAACAAGACCACAAGAGCCGTTCGGGTTCCATTCGGATTCTGTTCGGGTTCCTGTTCAGGTCCGTTTCTATTCCTGACGGCTAAGCACTAGTCAAGTAATAGCCTCAGACAGGCCTCAATGCGGAGATGGAAAACGGAGAACGAAGGGCAGGGCTACGTAGTGGTGTATATTGGGTTTATTTGGCAACTTCTATTCTACCTATGATACCTACCAGTGCCTTAGGTACTTTTGACCAAGTGCACCCAATGTCAGGTGCGCTGGTCTTCGTATTGTGTTTGGCTCCTTGGAGGTCATTTTGGTGTCTCGCCAGCCAACCACTTGTGACCTTATGGCGCATCCAGCAAGCCATAAGCAGCTGAGCTGTACTTCGTAGGCCAGGTGGTTGCGAAGTACACGTATGGTAGATGATGAATCTGATATCATTAATTCAAGCAACTGAAGGGGCTTACCTACCGTAGATCGCAGAGAGTTCGTGCTTATTATCTGTTTGTACCTTATGCAGCAACCAGCTATGCACCCAACCACCCCTTGGAGTCTTGGACACACTACGAAGTGCCAACTGTGGGGTGGTTCATGTGTCGTTGCAGCCAAGGACGCCCAGCGCGTTCCATCCCCACTCTCCCGACGCCTTATATATTCTTGGAATGCCCTCAAGTTTGTGCCATCTCTTCTCTACGTGATTCACAAACATATCTCATTCCCAGGTGCACACAGCGCACTCGGGATTTGATTCTTCTGGCGGTGGCTAACCCAAGCATCCCCATCCCCATCCCTGGCCAGCACTCTACTATCTCCTTCCTTAACAAGATCCCCTTGAGTATCGGGTAATCTACTCTACTGCGCTGCGCTGCGCTGCGCTGCGCTGCGCTGCGCTTCACTGCACTGCTCTGCATCTCCGGGTCGGCTTGGTACGTTGAATAGGATAGTTCCTTGACAAGCCGCGGGTACCTGCCAGCCGCTGGTTCCGATTGCTCAATTCCTCTTATCCGCAAACCATTCCAGAGGCCTATCATACCTGTATTAGGTAGTTCGTTACCTGCCAACAAGGTCTGAGAGAGGGGTTTGCAGTAAAACCCCCCGTACAGACGCATTCTCAATAAGCTCTTCACAAGGTTGTAAAGTCCCGAGGTGTAAATAAAAGAGAGTAAAGTGCCCCTCGTTGCGCGATGGTTGTTTTAATCGCGCATTCGTGTCTTTCTGCGGCGAGAAATCCGAATTGTAAAGATGCTGGCCTCGTTTGCCGTTGCAGCTCTCTGCGCTGGGCTGGTTGCCAGCTCCCCTCTGCGAGTTCGCTCTCCATATGTTGTAAAGGAGTCTCATTTCCTTCCCAGCAAATGGGAGAGAGTTGGTCCCGCTCCGGCAGACCATGTAGTTAATCTCCAGATCGGTCTCAAGCAGAGTCAATTCGACGAGCTCGAGCGGCATTTACATGAAGGTGTGTGATTACTCCCCGTGGCGAATGAGTGTATATCCAACGTCTTGCAGTGTCCGATCCCGATCATGGTCGCTATGGTCAGCATCTCTCAGTGTCTGAGGTTAACGACTTGACCAAACCTTCGGACGACACCTGGGATTTGGTCCACGATTGGCTTCTCGGCAATGGCATCCACCCTTCGCGCCTCCAGTACAATCCGGCAAAAGACTGGATTTCAGTCTCCCTTCCTATCAATGCTGTTGAGAGCTTGCTCGATACTAAGTACTCTGTTTTTGGACATGAGGATGGCGATTATCTTGTGCGAACACCGGAGTGGTCACTCCCTCAGCACCTCCACAAGCATATCGATGTTGTTCAACCGACCAACTCATTCTTCAGACCCCAGAAACTAGGTAGGATGTTAAAAACCGTTGAGGAAATCTCAGAAAAGCAGTGGCATCCACTTCCTTCCCCATCACCACCGAAATACACCCCAGGCGGTGATGCAGTTTCGGTATGTAACACATCGGCCGTGACACCCCTCTGTCTACGGACCCTCTATGGCACTGTGGATTACGTACCCCAAGTCCCGGGGAAGAACAAAGTCGGGCTCACTGACTATCTCGCGGAATCCAACAATCGATCCGACACAGCTCTTTTCCTCGAGCAATACCGTCCCGAGGCCGTGTCCGCTGCCAAAGACTTCAAAGTCGTGGTAATTGCAGACGGGAATGACGAACAGACGCAGGAGACACCCGAGGAACTGGCAGCAGGTAAAGATCTCGAAGGAAACCTTGACGTAGAGACGATTATCGGCATTGGATGGCCCACGCCTCTTATTGCCTATACGACTGGTGGATCACCACCCTTCACGCCTGATCTAACAACGCCATCAAATACAAATGAACCATATCTTGAATGGGTGAACTATGTGCTCGGGCAAGATGATCTCCCCCAATCCATCTCCACAAGCTACGCAGACAGCGAGCAAACTGTCCCATACTCATACGCCAAATCAGTATGTGGCAGCTTCGCAAAACTCGGCGCCAGAGGAATCTCTCTCTTCTTCGGCTCTGGCGATAACGGAGTGGGACGGTCTGGGGACTGCCTCACCAACGACGGCAAGAACACTTCTACATTCCTAGCACTGTTCCCCACCTCCTGCCCCTATATCACCTCCGTCGGAGCCACCAAATTCATCCCCGAAGTCGTCGCCACCGATGCCCGCAACGGATTTGTTTCCGGCGGCGGCTTCTCGAGATACTTCCCTCGTCCCTCATACCAGGACCACATCGTCCCCCGCTACGTCGAATCCCTCGGAGACCAATTCAAAGGTTTATACAACAAGGAAGGCCGTGGATATCCTGATCTTGCAGCCCAAGGATACCACTACGTGACCGTCTGGAACGGAACCATTGTCTCTCTGGACGGGACTTCGGCGTCAACTCCCACCATAGCTGCGATTATCAGTCTCGTAAATGATGCTCTTATCGCGGATGGCAAGCCACCGTTGGGATTCTTGAACCCTTGGCTGTATAAGAGAGGATATAGAGCTTTCACGGATGTTACGAGCGGGAGCGCTAGTGGCTGTAATAGCACGGGGTTCCCGGCTCAGGAGGGTTGGGATGCTGTGACTGGTTTTGGTACTCCGGTAAGCCCCCCCTTATCCTCTGGTGGGGTTATTCTCTTTATTAGATATGCTGACGATCATCGCCTTTGTGTAGTACTTCCCTAAAATCCTTGATATCTTGGACGTTGAGCCGAAAAAGGGGCATCACGGGTCATAGTTTAGTCGAGGGTCTAAGCTACCGATAGGGACATCTAGCTGGTAGTTAATTCGAAGTAAATAACTATAGGACCAAAACAAATTTAGGCTACGAGGAACTATTACCTTCTAAGCTACTTATGGAGCAGCAGGAAGAGGCGATTTCACTTTATTCACGTGCACGAAATATAAGACCATGCTTTGATGAGTAGAAGTTTGATTCAATTCATTACGGATGATTGTACCGGGAGATGGATGAAGTACGGCCTTTCTATTGATTGAAAAGAGCAAGCAGGGTATACTCACCATATGGTACAGTACGGGGGTATGGACAAGCTACCAGCCTAGCTGTGCGAGACTATCGCACCACAAACTAACAAAATAACAAAGAACTTTTCCCTCCGTGCAAAGCAAACCAGACATTAGATGGATGATGATCCCTCAAGAAGCCCACAAGAAGCTCGATCCGCTCCAAGACATACACCCCAATCATCCACACTAGAGGTGAGAATGATAGGAGAGATGGAAGGAGGTTCATTTCGACTTCGTAGTATGTCGAAGCCCACTGATTATCAGATTCCAAACGCCCACAGTATGCATCAAAAAGCCAAGCCTGCATGTATAGCAGGACGGTGAACGGACAGCCACAAGCCAACAAGCCCACTGTGTGTGTAATGTCTCAAAGCCACAAGTTTGATCTCGATGCCCACAGCTCCTATAGAGGAGAGAAGTCAAAAGAGCCCACAACCCACTAAGCCGACGGACCCACTAAGCCAGCATGACGCTTTCAGGAAGCAACATGCACCAGTGCTACAGTGTAAGCACGCATCTCGTGAACTTTGCCTAAGCAAAGGTTTGCTTCTTTCCCTTGAAGTCTCCAAAGCCCCCACGGTTGGTGCTTCCACCACGGCCGCCACGGGCACCTCCACGTCCACCACGATCACCGAAGCCACCACGGCCACCACCACGACCACCTCCACGTCCACCACGGTCACCGAAGCCACCACGGCCGCCACCACGTCCACCGCCACGACCACCACCACCGGCACCACGATCTGGCTTGGGTGTGGCATAGTCAAGTCTAACTGGTCTGCCAGCAATCTCTTGGCCCTTCATAGCTTCAAAGGCAGCCTTTGCTTCATCGATAGAGCCGAATGTAACATATCCGAAGCCCTTGGGGTTACCGCTCTCCCTAGAGCATTGTCAGTATAAAGTAAGAGATAGATTGAAGGAGTGTTACTCACATGTCAGTTGGAAGTCTAACATTAACGACGGTTCCATGCTCTCCAAAGGCCTCTCCAACGGCGTCTTGGTCGGCGTCAAATGAGAGGTTACCGACGAACAGGGTGTCAGATGGGGGGTTCTGGGAGTCGCCGAACTGCTTGGCACGGTTGTCGGCCTTGTCTCTTGGGCCATCATTGTTGCGGGGAGTTGAGAAGTCAACGTTGGCCTCACGGCCATCAATCAGAGCACCCTTCTTGGCCGCAAGAGCAGCAGATGCAGAGGCGGAGGTGGTGAACTCAACGTATCCGAAACCCTTGGATCGGCCACTCTCTCTGTCGGTGAGGACATTGGCGCGGGTGATCTCTCCGAACTCCTCGAACTCGCGGTAGAGCCACTCATCATCAATGTTCCAGCTCAAGTTACCGACGAAAAGGTTCTTGCTGCCAGTGTCCTCAACCTCTTCGGTCTTGGCCTTCTTGGCTGGTGCAACGGCCTCATCATCAGCCTTGCGCTTCTTGGATGGTGCGGCCTCGCTCTCGGATTCGCTGGAATCAGAGTCGGAACCAGAGGCGGAAGCTGCCTCGTCGTCGTTGCTAGAGTCGGAATCCTCAGAATCATCGGAGCCTTCCTCGTCATCAGAGCCCTAGTAGGATCGTGTTAGTGAATGACAATGGAACAGGATATGAGGGTCGTACTGTAGCCTTGGCAACAGCCTTCGCAGCACCATTGACGGCCTTCTTGGTGGCCTCAGCGCCCTTCTTGGCAACAGCAACAGGGGCGGATTCCTCCTCGCTCTCGCTCTCAGATGAAGAGTCCTCGCTGTCGGAAGCGGCAGCGGGCTTTTCAGAGTCAGAGTCAGAATCAGAGGCATCAGAGTCGTCATCCGAAGAATCAGAAGAATCGGAGGAGTCTGAGGTATCTACCTCTTTTGGTGCGACTTTGCCGTTAGCCTTCTTGCCATTGGCGACGGGCTTTGCGACTTCTTCAGACTCGGAGTCAGACTCGCTCGAGGCGTCGGAGGCGGACTCGCTGTCGGATGAAGGCGAAGGGCTCTTGACGACGGTCTTGGCCTTCTTGCCATTCACCTTCGTGGCGGTGTCCTTCGCAATCTTCTTGGACTTTGCGACTGGGGTCTGAGAAGGTTTAGTGACGGAAGCATTCTTAACAGCTGAGAGTGGTTTGACCTCAGTCTTAGACTTGCTGCTAGTCTTGGGCTCCTTGATCTTTGCCATTGTGAATAGGATTGGGGGGGTTTTGTATGAGAGTAGAGGTTGGAGGGAGAAAGAATTGAGAAAGTCGAAGGTGAAGGTAGATGAGGAGGAAGGGGAAGAGGAAGAGGCTGGGTGGGAGGGGGAAGTAAATATACGAACTGCGAGGCGGTGGAAAAAGCTCTTATCTGCGCCGAAATTTTCTGCTCGCGTATCATAGCGGGGACCTAACGCCAAACCCGCCTAGCGCATGCACCTCAGGCACGTGATCTACATGGGACCAGAGTTCGACGGAACATTGGAATGGATTACAGCGTCGAACTCGATTCAGGAACCCGGGATTGGAAGCTCACCACTGGACTTGCCTTCAAGGTGCCATTCTCATTCACAAACGCGATTTGCGGTCCTCTACATCACATTACAATTGCCATTCGTCGCCATGGCTCCAACACCCGAGTCCGCAGCTTTCCTTGCGAAGAAACCCACGGTTCCCCCAACGTTCGACGGCGTTGATTACGACGATAATACCCGCCTAAAGCAAGCTCAAGATGCAATCATTCGGGAACAATGGGTGAAGACGATGATGGCGCGATTGGTTAGGGAGGAGTTGGGGCGGTGCTATTATCGGGAGGGTGTCAATCATCTAGAGAAATGCGGCACTCTACGAGGTAAGCTTGCACCGGAATACCTATCTATTTTTGGAGCAATTGGTGTCTGCGACAGGCATTGATTTCAAATCTGGGAGAAATATCCTTGGCTTATGCTAATTGACCATTGCAGAACGATATTTCGAGCTACTTAAGGAGTCTAAGATCCGCGGTTATCTGTTCGAGCAACAGAATTACATCTCGAAGTAATCGCTGGGACAAGCCGGAATTTACAGGAAATGTTAGACTTAGAATAAAGCTTTGGGGCGTCAATTGCAAGGCTGGGTGTCTTTGTGGGAGGACGGAAGGACAAGCTGTAGTTGGAAGGCATGCAAGCAGAAGCTTCCGTTAAACTTGTTTGATCCGGGGAATAGCGCTTACTAGCGCTTCAATGCCATCCCCATTGTATATAAGTAAAACATCATGATCAAAGCCCTGAACCTATATTTAAGTCTGCTCTGTTACGGATGGGTGTGATGCTGATTGGATTCGGACATTGATATTGACTGCCATACTGTTCCCTTTCGGCTCCCGTACCACATCCCAAAAAGTTCCCTCGAGCTACCAAAACCCATCAAGTCGCGATTCTCAACACCATAACCATCACCATGATCTGTCGCTCCTGTCTGCGCTGGGCATCGGCCCTCCGCCCTACTATTCCTCTATCCCGCAGTTTTGCTACTACATCTGCGTTTCTCGAACCAGCAACATCCACGCCTGGATCACCACGAACCGCCGGTCCACCAACCGCAACATCCACAGGGCTCGCGCAACCCTTCAGCACACCTCTCTCCCCCACTCCGAATAGCGTTTCACTTGGTACCTTGTTACGTCCCAAGCCCACTACCACTCCTGCTGTTATCTCAAGCTGCGTCCCGGGAACTCCTTTGAAAGGCATCAATTACCTAAAAGGGAGGGATGACCCCCTTGCTAAGCCCGATGAAGAGTATCCAGAGTGGTTATGGCGGTGTTTAGACGCGAAGAAGCCAACTGGAGAGGAAGAGGAGGATGCTAATGCTGGAGATATGTTCTGTATGCTCCCCTCAAATCCACTTCCCTAATATATAACTGACCTTTTGAAAAGCCAAATCCAAAAAGCTCCGACGGAAAGCTGCGAAGCGCCAACGTAAACTGGAGGCTGAGCTTCTGGCATCCGGCAATCTTGATGCGCTGGCCCCCAAAATCCCAATTACCCAGCAGTCGATCGATTTACCTGCAAATGAGGAGGGTACGACGGAGGGTGCGATGGAGGCCGTGAACACCCGGGAGGATATCAGGAAAGCTATGAGAAGAGAGAGGCGGAAGGCGATCAAAGAGAAGAATTACTTGAAGACTATGTAAGCTATTTGGAGCGGGTGTCCGGAGTGGGAACCATGGCGAGGTGATATGGTCGATGGGCAAAGGCATTTGAGAAATGCAGTGGAGAAATGCAGTGCATCATGTATATATATTAGACATGTGCATATCACATGGCATGTCATCTGTAGGCATATTATACGAGCTGGCGGAAGGATGTATTATACACTGTTTTCAAGCAACTATCAACTGATATTGTTGATGTTTCCAATATAACATCCCCCATTCTACTAAATATACCAGCAGACTACTCCGTAGGTTCTTCAGTAACCTACGATCTTAGGCACGATTACTTCATAGGCAAAGCATTGATTTCACCAAGTATGAATTCTAAACCCTCGAACTAGAATGTCTGCCAATGGCTATCTATAATTCAGACGAAGTAATGGCGATTTCCAAGCCTTATATGGCAGGAATTATACTTATACGCATCCCCAGCATGCCGTTCTCCTAATCATTTTCTCCTTCCCCGATCGATGACTTTTTCAGCTGTAGCTCCGCCTTCAATTTTCTAGCATTCTCTTCCAATCTCTTTCTGAGAATTGGATTTGCTTGTGTTGCTAATTGGGCTTGCACGCTCTCAATTTGCTTCGCCAGATCTGCGATGTCTTCTTTCGTCCCTTGAATTTGAGCCAACCGTGCTTTTTCGTCCTCATCAAGTTCTCCATCCTCATCCTCGTCATCATCATCATCCTCTCCTTCTATAGATTCATCACCGGTGTCTTCTCCTTCATCGACAACGGCAGGGGTTTCGGCACTTGCCATGTATGGAGTTGCTCCAATAGTAGACATTGGTGTAGCGGCTTCTAATTCCTCGGCCTCCATTGCTGCCTCCAGATCCGCCTCCAAATCTGCATCTAAGTCCCCAACCTCGATGCCTGTAGCGGTGGGCTGGACATCGTTGAAGTACCCCGTGTCGTCGACCTCTCCCTCGGCATCTTCATCCTCGGAATATTCATCTTCGCCATATGGTTGACTATCCCTCCGGCTATCTGCGTCAGGATCAATCATTTCCCATTTCGATTCTTGCGCGTTTTGGTCTGCTTCGAGGAGTTTTTCAACAGCTTCCTCCACAGCTTCAATCGCAGTTCTACAGATCCGCTTCCTAAACCGCCGTTTTCGCGCATAATGCATTGGGGCTGTAAGACCATGGGGATACTGAAAAGTTTCCGGGTCGACTATTTTGGGTAAGGGAATCGTCTTCGCCTCCTCTTCCTTCTTGATCGGGGCGAATACCCACAACATCTGACAGATATCCGCCGTTTTCCACCAACCTCGCTTGTCCCAACTCTTCATGCCCTCGACAATGCAAGGCAGATCAACAAGCGTTGCTGCATATGGATGCCCCCGGATTGTGACCGCCGCTCGACGTCCGTCGCCATGGAAGAACTTCATTTGTATATTCGGACCCCCTTGGCTAACAGGTATACCGATCCTCTTCTCACTGATAGCCTGCCGCAAGTAATCGCAATCCTCGCCGGGAAACATCCGCAACACGAACTCCTCCTCGATCGTCGGGTCGATCTCGCGGTCGCTGGCTTCTGAGTCGTAACCTTCCCCAAGTGGTCTTTTTGGCGGTTTGCCCTTAATTTTCGGTTTCAATAGAACTGGTGTGGGTGCAACGGGTGTCTTCTGACTGCTGGTTAGGTGGAGCTTCACCTTCTTTGGAGGCGGCTGGACAGCTATAGTTGATCCACCATCTTCATCATCACTCTCGTGTTTAATCCGCTTTCGACTTTGAGATGGTTTTGCTTTCGGCTTCGGTACTTTGACCGACTTCTTTGCAACTGGTTTGGGAGCAGCCTCGTCACCGGGTGTTGGCGTAGGTGGATTTGATTTATTTGTGAGCTTTAACTTGGGCATAGGTCTGGATCCTCCCGGAGTAGCTGTAGCAGGAGTGCTGGGCGAAGACGCCTTAGCTACTCCTGTATTAACGTTCAGCTTGAGCTTGAGGCTCATCTTGAAGGTAGTCGTATGTATGAATCGTTTGTTATCGAGGGGCGAGGTGAATGAGAGGTAATGTGACCCCCACGACGCTCTGAAGGTGTAGTTTCAGCACTGATAGAATGCTATCAAGGAGATTCTAAAGCTGTAGCATGAAGGATCGCAGAACAGTTTGAAACATATTCTACAGCAGTTGTGAGCTTGCGACAGGCGGGATATGGACAGTTCATGGAAATAGTCCAGAGGGTATCTGGGGATAGAATTCGATACGGGTGGCAATAGGAACCACTCGTGCAATGCGCCCGAGATTCGCGACGACGCGTAAATTTTAGAGACGCACCTGGAAACGCGGGCAGCTGTTACTTCTCACTCACTCACTGCTTTCATTACCTGATCGCCGCTGATTACTGCCGGCTTCTAATCTCTGCAAGCTTCTGGCCATGAAGTTTTCCAGGTCGCCCATCCCTTGACCTTGCTATGCCTGTTTCGTTGTACACAAATCGCAATGTCTACTCCGCAAGCTCTCCACCACTCGCTCTTGAGGCCCTGCATTCTCCACATCCTACGAGCAGCTGGCTTCCATTCTACTCGCCCATCGGTGCTTGACGCCTTCACTGATATCGCCGCGAGATATATGGTTATGCTTACGCAATCCGCTGTTGCCCATGCCGCCGTGAATCATTCTGAACCGGAGCTTGCGCTAGAAATATCTCTCCAAGATATCAGGATGGCAATGGAAGATTGCGGGGTCCTCTATCCAGAAAAGGTTCTAGAAGATCAAATATATGAAGGAGAAGAAGATACGCGAGGCGTGGATAACTTTCTAGAGTGGGCGATGGGGCATGGGAATCGCGAAATCCAGAGGATCGCATTAGAGGGGGGTGATGGAGCCAAAGATGATTACTTGACAGGTTTGTGTTCAGACTTTGCGTTCTGTTGGTCGATTGCTAATGCATCATAGTCCTCAAGAAAAAGCATACTATGGCCGACGAGGATTCCAGATACAACGGGACTATCCTGGGCAAGCCAGCGGAACCACGAACTGTCAAGGTCGAAGGAGGAGATATCACCAGTCTCAGCGAGTGGGCGGAGAAACGAAAAACGTCTTGGAACGCCGCATCGAACATGTCATCACGGCGACAATCCTCAGCGTTAAGCTCATTAGGAGATGAAGTTCTCGACGAGATGGAGTTTTAGCGTGTGATATATTGCTTACTGCATGGCGACGGCGTTGGGATTTGGCTGATTATATGACTTGGGTATGTAGGATATACAAGGTTTTGCGAATACCAATCTAGGCAAACCTGGTCCAGCAGGCTTCTCGGCGTCTTTCGTACGTACTGTCTAAGCTTCCTTCGATTTCTCATACTTGCTCCAAGCCCTCGTTTTCAACCCTATTACCAGCGCCTTCGTCGATATCTACCCCTCCGCTTCGTTGTGCCTGGATCGCCTCCCTGGCACCTTGCTGCTCCGCCTTCTTTCTATCCAAACCGCTTGTCAAACTCTCCTGCTCACCCCATCCAGCCCCTCTCTTGTCCAACTGTGCCTCCATGACCTCTCTTTCACCGGCAGGAATGTCGGGTTTCTCACCCCTTAGATCCTCGTCTGGAGGGCCAATCTTGGATGCTGGCATTGTAACATTACTGTTGTCCGCATTGTCCCGAGGGTGTTGGCCGTGGCCAGCTGCCGTAGCTTGGCCTTCTGTATTTGCTACAGTTGCAGTTGAAGAAGTGTTTCACATCTTGTAGACCCCAACTAGGGCCTGCTTGGTCACCTGAGTTGAGGGAGGATTGCTTGTTGGAAATCGGCATGGTACGATATTCAGGCTCGAAAATTGAGGCACGATGAACAACGTATGTCTCTTGGCTTTTATCTCTATCAATGGCACAGGTAGTTAGTGGGTTCTTATACGCAGTAGACTATAAGCTAGAAACATTCTAATTTGGCTTTATACTCTTACCCCCCAATCACCAGAATCATGACGTTGTGCCTGGATGCCACTCACACACCGATATCGTCTTGGACAGCTAACTACACCCCCTATATGGCTAAACAAGATTTAGTGTCTCATGAATTGAGCCAAGAGTATGAGAGTTGCACTACATCCTCGCTCGCAGATTCAAACTTGAACGCCTATTCATTATTCCCTTTACGAGCTACAAATAGAGTATTACGACAAGTAATTATTTACGGCTATAGCCACATTGCCGCAAACCTGGCGCATCAACGCGATCGAACCCTAGGCCTATTCCTTGCAACATCATCCGCCACTAACTTGGAAAGACAGCGAGCCCAACCATGCCATTCTCTTTCACCCTCCCGACCACTTCGGCGTTTTCGTTCTCAAAATATTTCACCAGTGACTCCCACCCCTCTCTTCCATTATCCGCTAGCACATACCGTGGGGTATTACGGGATACGTTAAAGAAACACAAACGCCTCCCGCCACACGAGCAATCGTCCAACCTTGGCAGTGTACTATTAAGTCTCAATAACTATATCCCATACTTATTGGCTGTGGACGCAGGCTTAACAACTCAACCTGTGGCCGGAGAAGAGATAGATGTTGTGTTGAAATCGACACCAACGTTGGAATGGAGACCAACACTTTCAGGTAATGTCATTCCTGGACGGGAATCTGCAAGATTAAAGATCAACTCCTTGGAATACGAGATATACTTTGTTTTGTCAACGCTTGCCTATACCCAAACTCTGCTTTCCCGAGCAGCACTTCGTCCCCTCTATTCATCGGCAACTGCCTCGTGCACCACCGAACAGCGGACACTGGTCATCACAACAGCAACCAAACACCTCCTATTGGCCGCGTCAATCCATGACTATATATCAACACGATCTGATCAAATATCCCCAGACCCGCCATGTGTGGATATTGCCAAATACACCTTCCGGGCCCTCTCCTCTCTTGCAATGGCTGAAGCGACCCTATTAGCAGTCTTGAAAGACGACCCTTATCCAGCTGCCGTTGCACAAGCCCGCAACAAGAATGATAAGGATTGGATGATCAAATCTCCGGATATTCCAAAAGTCAGAGCCCATCTATTTGCCCGCTTATGCCTCGCTGCTGCTGAACATGCTGCGAATGCACACTCCTTGCTAAATACTAGCACTGGGAAAGGGAAAGTCGATTCTGATTTATTGAAATATGTGGAAGATTTAAGGAGCACTAGCCGCGCCAAAGCCTGTAGATTTCTCGGCATCGATGCAGATCTAGGCGGCCAGACAGGAACTGGTATCGCATGGTTGCAAGCTGGTATGCATGAAATTGGTATTTCACCGGAAACTGAGGGAGGCAAGAGCGGGCTAGGTTTTGGAAGGTTTAAAAAAGATCTAACGGAGAAAAGAGAGGATAAGAAAGTTGAGAAGGGGGCATCTTGGGGCTCGGATGCCGGAAAGTTGGAGGAAGCAAGGGCATTAGGGATGCTAGAAAAGAAGTGGACAAAAATGAATGACACAGTAAGATTATGTCCTTCGAACTTGAGACAGCAGATCTAACATGCTTCTCAGATCAACACCCAGCTAGTACCTCCAATTGGACCACTGATATCTACAATGCCTTCAGGTAGAGAAATTCATAGTCTGAAGCCTTTCGAGCCTCCTGTCCTCGATCAGTCAACTATCGAAAACATGAGGGCGCCACCTGACCGCGCTGATGACTACGGTAGTGAGAGTGGTTCCGATGAATATTCAGAAAGCCCGAATCCGGTGGGAGCCTTTCCTGGCACCAAGGCTGATTATTCGAGAAGTAGTAGCAGCAGCTATTTCTGATAAACCTCGACGTTATGAATGCGAATCTCACCAGTCGATTTCTTAGAAGCTCAGATTACAAAATTTTAAAATTCAAGCCAGACTATATTTCACGTTAAAGCACTCGACAGTTGGAATTCGATGTGGTTCTTAATAGACATGCTCCTAAGCTGCATGCGGACCAATTTCGAAGTTAAATTGGACTCTGCTCGGCACTGTAGCCAATCTGGAAGCTAGTAGGACCCTAGATAAACTAGTTCGAGGCTAGTTCGAGGGTGACACATAGGGTGCAGTATCATAGGGCTTCATTAAGTTACTTCCCTCTATAGGAGAGTTGATTAAACGTGTTGTATGAATAGCTGTAATTATCAGGCTGTGGTGGGAATAAAATAGGACAGGTGGGAGAAGTGAAATATTGGTGTGGGTACTTACTTGCCTGATTCATCAGGCATCGATGTTGGAAATACCGATATTGAAACACCGCTAAGCTTGCAATAGAAGCCACACCTCCAATGCTCCACAGCTGTCGTGTACTTTGATGGCACTACACTTCTTACCCCTTCACACAACCACTTCATCAACCTTAATCACTACCAAAATCATGGATACCCATAACTTAGCCATATCTAGCGACAATCACATTGTATCTTTGAAGCGAATGCATGCTTTCGAGTAACTTCATCATTAGTGAGAAGAGCACAAGACTACCATTCACATGACATGATCACGATGTCATCAAGGAAGTCCCACACAAAGTCAAGGAAAGGATGCCTGGAGTGCAAAAGGCGCCATACTAAAGTCGGTATTTCATGGTTAGCCTGTCTTCTGCATCCTGCAATACTTTCTAACCTTCTCCGACAGTGCGATGAACAGAAACCGTCTTGTTCCACGTGTATACGATTGGATGAAAAGTGTCACTGGCCCATAAAATCATCGCGAGTTCCTCGAGAAGCACCAAGTATCAGAGATGTCTCGGGCGCTCCTGCACCAGCTTCCGGAGTTTCGACTCCCATGGCGATGACTCCGGGTGTCATTGACAACTTCGATAGTATTGCACGTCAACTCGACAATCCAGGCAGTCCGTCACCAGAGCACTTAGATTTAAATGCCCTGCGCTTGTTGCATCATTACTCAACCAGTAGCTACGCCACCCTCGACCGTATCACATCTCAGCACCACATTTGGCAGCACTTCATGGTACAGCTGGGCTTTGAGCATAAGTATGTCTTGCGCGGCATTCTTGCCATAGCTGCTCTCCATATTGCAGCCGTCGATCGGACTTCGATTGCTGGCATGCTAATTCAAGCTTCCACCCAATACAACCGCGGCCTCCGAGACTTCCGCACCGAACTTCGAGCCATGAGCACTAAGAATAGTATCCCGATCGTGGCTTTCTCTTGCTTCACTGTTATTAATGCATTTGCGGCTGGTCAGGTAACCGTGCTTCAAAAGCCGATCAGTGACCTTCTCAACTGCCTGGGTCTTATACGGGGCGTGGGCTCTGTGATGCGACCGTACTGGTACAGTCTACTTCAGAGCGAGCTTCGACCTATTCTTGATAACGGATGGATGTGTGGTGTGTCTGGCGAGGTTCCAGAACTTCTCCGTCTGAAATCACTTATCCAATCTGTTATCACTTTTACCAATCCTCACATGGCCACGAAATACAATGCTGCCGTGGAGAAATTGCATGAGGTCATACTAGAGATTCAGAGCGCAGTTGAGCACCGTTCAACTCTTGCTCTGCTGTTCATCTGGCCCACGGAACTTTCAGAAGAGTTCATGTCGTGTCTTGTTGAGCAAGAGCCGGTTTCTCTCATTATCCTTGCACATTTCGCTGCGATATTGTCATACGCACGTGACATTTGGTGGGTAAAGGGGTGGGACGAATATATTATTTCTAATGTGGACGAGTGCCTTCCTCCCGATTTACGTACATGGCTCGACTGGCCGAAGCAGATCTCTCAGGCTGCCAATCAAGATGGTTCTCCTTTAGGTGCCTGAATAGCAGCAAGTTTTACTAGCATCTGGCCAAGGATATCCACTGCGCCATTAATTTTCAGCTCGCTCAAATTAGAGGACAGAATGACTTCTATGGATGTGGCTCTTTAGAGTTACAAATCGGTTCACGTGAGAAGTCCCCTCTCATCATGCTGACTACAACTATGGCGATTACTCGCGGGCTTCTGGTCATGGCAAACGGATCTAAATACTACCGCAGCAAGCTGGGTCTGAGACAATGGACGTATTTCAGAATTTATTTTAGTCCTTGGTTTGTGCTCGAGAATAGCGCCGGTCACAGCTCGAGTGAGAAAGCTATGGTGCATTTAGTCGTGCTAGAAGATAACGCATATGACGAATACGCTTAATACGATGGATACGATGGATACGATGGATACGATGGATACGATGGATACGATGAATACGGCCAATGCGGAACTCTCAACCCCTTTACCTCTTAACTTCTACACCTCATGTTTATGATTTCGATAGACCTCAAACGTGGAAGCCGCGCGGTAGCTCCGGAGACTCCATATCATTACCGAATTCAACACATGATATGCGATGAATACGGCCGGCTGTTGCTCGTTACCTTCTCGTGACATCTCCTCCTTCTCCTTAAAAAGGCTGACATGTCGCCCTTTGACTGCCGAGTCTCCCCATTTATACCTATTACCGTCAATTTTCACCCAAAAGACCAATCAGGCTACGATCTATCTGCGTTGAGGTCTCATTCCATTTAAATCGCACAGCGTTCGCTACCTTGCTACTTTCATTTGCTCGCGCTGGTCACACGCCTGAGCCGGCATTTCAAGTCAAGAGCACGCATAATTAACATGCTCTCTAGTCGTGAAGATTTCAGCTATGCACTTTACCAATACACCCCCCAAATTGCTCCAGCTATCATCGCGGCTGCGCTCTTTGTTCTAGGTGGGATAGTGCACATCGTCCTTCTACGGCGACTAAACTCGGGTTTCTTCATTCCATTCATTATTGGTTGTTTCAGTGCGTATCATTTCTTCTCGCAATATCTGTAACACTAACAGTATATAGTGGAAGCCCTAGGGTATGGCGGACGCATCTGGTCTCACTTCGACCCCACTGGCCTCCCCGGCTATATCATTCAATCACTTCTTATCCTCATTGCGCCTGCACTATTCGCCGCCTCCATATACATGGTGCTTGGCCGCATTATTGCCCTCGTAGGAGGCGAAACCCACAGCTGGATCAAGTTGAAATGGCTTACGAAGATCTTCGTGATCGGAGACTGCATCTCTTTTGTAGTACAAGGCGGAGGCGGTGGCATCCAAGCCGGAGGAACACTCGACCTTTTACACTTGGGCGAGAAGATTATCGTGGCAGGATTGTTCATCCAAATCTTCTTCTTCGGAGTGTTCATAACCAGTGCGATCAGCTTTCATCTGTGCATCCGGTCACAGCCTACGAGATTATCGGGACTGGCTCGCATACCGTGGCAAAGTCATATGGCCATACTATATACGACCAGTGGGATTATCCTCGTTAGAAGCATTTTCAGGGTTGTGGAATACCTTATGGGCAACAATGGCTTTATACTCAGGCATGAGGTCATGTTGTACATCTTCGACTCTATCTTGATGATAGCAGTTGTTGCACTTTTCATTTGGCGCCATCCCGGAACGCTGTTCCTAACCAGCAGCAAGAGAGGTAGCTGGGGTAGAACTTCGGGGGCAGAGTTTGATCTCTTAGAGAATCGTTGAGCACGAGTCAGATAGCACTGCTGAAAGTTCTGATCCTATCAAAATTTTAGAGGTGGATCGCCGACTTGGGTGTTGTATAGACCAAAGGATTCGCTTTGTGCTTCGGATAGTATCTGATCTGATGCCTATGGCACTGCGGCGGTCAGAATCGGATGAGCAGACGACGTAGCTAGGAATACCCTGGGTAATGTCAAAAGCAAATAGAATAGAGGATTTAGCGTATCTAACATCCGGCTTCGCAAATCAAGTGCATGGAAAATCAGCAAGACTATCATCAACAGATGTCGCCTCGGGGGCAAGGAAAACAGCAAAAGTGACTCTCCTCTGTAATGTGTCTGATGACCACGGCTCCCAAAGCGGCGAAGCTGACCCATTGACGTTAAAGATCATCTAGAGATAAAAAGTGCTTTGAGTCCTCCACGGCATAATATAAGGGCCATACCACGTCTAAATTATTCCATTAATAGCGTGAACAATTCCTCCATTTCCCGTTCAGCCCCTTCTTTATCCCACTCGCCACCTTCCCCATGCCCCGGCCACCCAGCATCTTGCAATATCTGCATCATCTTCACCTCATACCTGTCCGAAAATGTTTGGTGTTTATTCAATTGACAGATTTCCCCACGCTCGTGATCGTCTAGTACTGGCATCCAATTCATAATCCGAAATTGCTCTTTATACATCTCAAAGAAGGACTCGACGCGAAAGGTTGGCATGAATTTCCAAGCGTCGGGGGCGCTTTGATCTACATCAATATCGACTACTTCGTCGTCTTTGCCTGTATGATAGTCCGAGGACCAATCCGCATCGCCCCTGGGACTTCCCTCCAGAAAGTTGACGTCGTACTTCTACCAGATAATAGCGCCACGTTCCGTATCGACAAGCACCGAATAACCATCCCGATTTCCCGCTGCTAGCGTAAAGATTTGTGGCGGCAGTATAGTTTCTTCTTCATCTACTTCATCTACTTCATCTGCTTCATCTGCTTCATCTGCTTCATCTGCTTCATCTGCTTCATCGAGCTTTTCCTTCTATGGGTTTCTCCAAGTTGGCGGTAAAGGCTCGTAATAAAATTGGAAAGATATAATTTATCGGTTGCGTCTTGTCCATAATGCACATTCTCTCATCTATGGGATAGGGGAGATGATGCAACAGCTCGACGGCAGTATCTGTAAAGATGGGAAATATTTCGCGCTTTATTTATGGCCACCCGGTTAATGGCAGGTATAGGAAATTTCCAACCTTAATTGAATGCATGCGCGTAATAAAGGTATAATAGGAGGTGATGGAGGCAACTGCAGCTTCTTACGAGTATATTGTAGATTAGGCAGTTGCCATTTTACTAGCGCACTTTAAGGCTTCGGAAGGAAGGAGAGTTCGAGAGATTGAGCGAGAATAGCCATACCCTTGGGCTCAGATGAGACTAAAGGGTTGAAAATGAAACCTCGACTCGAGTACCACCTTCGACACTATTAGCTAGATTGATACAGTCCGGGGGAAAATAACCCGCCCTCTTCGTCAATATCGACCATTTTTCACCCTCCATTAGCTACTATTCAACCGTGAATAATTCCAACATCTGGAAATGTTGGTTTGCTAGAGTCGTTTGTTGGAGGTTTCTTACTGACGTTGTCCCACATGAAGCGAGAGTCGAGAGTCCGACGCGAGGAAATGTTATACTCGGCCCTCGGGTCACCCGTACACGTAAGTAAGCTCAACTCATTTTCTGGCAAGTAGAACTTTTTAAATTGTGTTAGGATTACCCTTCAAAGCTTCCCATCTAGCTCCTTCGATAGAGAAAGATCTACTCCCCTTCCCAAACAGCCTCCAAAATCCACAAACTAGTCCCAGCAGGCTGCTTCCCACCCAAAAACTTGAACCTCCCATTACGATCCGCTTCCGCAGAAAGCTTGGCCCAATCCTCCAGCTCCCTCTCTCGAGCATTTCCCAACTCAAGCATCGCCAAGTCCATAGACCTCAGCTTCTCCTCGCGCTACATAGGTAGTACGCTAGGCTCTGGCATAACATTGCCATTGATCACAATATTTGCCCCCTTTTTTAGAGCAGGAATAAGATTGCGAAGAATTTCGAGGCAATACTTATCAGACCAGTTATGAAATATCCAGCGGAAGAAGTGCACATCGGCACCGTGGACAGGTTGGGGAGTAAGAAAATCGTACTCCACGAACTCAATTCTGTCGGAAAGCTCGCTAGGTACCGTTTTGGCACCCGCCGCGACAACAGGAGGAAGGTCTTGTACTTTGAACTTCAAGGACGAGAAAGCATTTCCTAGATGAGTACAAGCAAAGCTATGCGTGCCACCGACTAGTTTCTCGTAAGTATAGTTTCATAAAGTAAAGAAAGACAAACATCAACAACTGTCCCGCTAGCCAGATCTTGCCAGATCTTGCCATGGATAGGTTTCAGCAACAAAATGAATGTCAAATCCGGTGCCTTCAGCATATGCCTCTATAGCATTTCCAACTCCACGAGCGCGCTGTGGGTGCTCGGACTAAAACTCAAACGCGGATTTCTCGGTGTTGTTTGCCAGCGCAAACCCCTAAGATAGAGTTAATTATGATTGTAGGAGTTTATAAATAATGGGAGGATGTCATACAGTTTGGTTTAGTTCCTGAGATCCTGGATAATTTACCATAGCATTGACTGTCTGTGACGCAGCCTGCCAAAGTTCATCGGTACTTGCTCCAACCCAGTCGGCTATCTGGGAGTCTTCAACAAGCAATCTGGAAGCAGCCGTATGGGCAACAACACTGTTTCGAGGTTCGTTGAAGATGCGGTTGGTCATTGCTTGACGAATAATACGACGAATATCATGCTCATTTACACTGCACTTTTCGGAGATTTGAGCGAAAGTTGATTCCTCCTGGATTGGAAAAAGTCGACGCTATTTGAAGCATGAAATTGCTTGCATGCCCAGAAGCCAGTCATCCTTTTACGAGAGAGTTGGCGTATATTTGACAGCTTCGTAGCGTTTGCATATCTACCGTGAAACTTAACAGGTGCTCCTTCGGCCCAAGAATAAGATCATGAAGCATTAGTGTTGTATCGATGGCTGCTACGCGGGCAGCCTCCATTTCTAAATTATCTGGTGGGACCACCGATTTACTGGGTCCGTCGGTTTCAAAAGAAGGCTGGCTCAGCCCTTCATCCTTGATGAATTCATGATTTTGTTTGTGTTGATCGAAATTTTTGCAGCCGGTTCTGTGATCGATAAGGAGGCCATGGTGTTACTGCCCCAAGACTGGCTAACATCGGCCAATATCGGCGCATGTATTCATCGGCAGGTTTTTGATGACCTTCCTATTTTACAGTGCTGATATCGAAGTCGGTCTCGATTCAAATCACTCAATAACCTTATTTGACCCTACCGTATGTACCCATTAACTTCTCTTCGACTTACTTAATTCGTAGGTTACATCATGGCAAGACCTTTGATCTCCTCATATCAACAGCCAAAAGCACTTGCAAAAGCCCCGTCACCGCGGTGCCAAGGAACGTTACCAATGCACTCATTCCAGGATACCACTTAAAGACACTAAACGCCACGACTGGGAGAATACAGGCGAGAACAAACCAAAGCTGGTAACGTATGCCAAGATGATAGTCGCTAGCGTTTCGAATAGTGAGGATGTAAGTCATCAGAACCGAAAGCAGCTGCGTGAGCGTTGTCTGGATAGCGTTGAGATAGTCGGAGGCAGAGAGGTTGGATGGAGTTTGGTGAGAGAAGGAGATGGCTTGCATTATAATGCAAGATAAATAGATCGCAAGATTGATGCCCCAAATTGTGAGGTCCTCCTAGTGATGGGTTAGGTCGGTAGAGGCGTCTTTGCTGGGGTACTCACCTGCAAGTAACGTTCTATCACTTGAAGTTTGGATAATCATTCATAATCTTCGGGCGTCTCAAGAGGCGTTAACGGAGTCGTTGAAGGGATCATTGTGGCAGCGCTATCTGTGTGATATCCTCTCCTTTTTCTCACTAGTGAATTGTTAGCATTCGACAACGTACCGGCGGTTCATCTCAGGTGTGACATACTTTGCGAGGACTGTGGAGGGGCATCTTGCTGCATCTTCTATCTCTTGTAGTCTTCTTGAGCTCGAATCACCTCGAGATGCAATTTGGTCCATCTCTGGAGCAGCCCGGTTCTCGCATAGATACCTCTCACGACCACGTGGGGTAATCTCTTTTCCGGCCGGTTGTGCTCCTCGAGCACCCTCTTACTCTCGGTGAGAGCGTCATTTGCCAATCTTTCAATTTCCCTTGTATGTTTATCCCATTGAGCAAAATCAGGTGCGAAATCTGCCTGTTTTTGGATATACTTCATATAATCCAGCCAGCTCTCGATGGTGTCGTAATCGCGACCCCGACCCCTAACCGTCAACGCATAGTCAAAATGTCCGATGTAATCAATAGCCTCTACGGACGTTGAACAATTACTTGTCTCTGTGCTGTTTAGTCTATCAATCGCCACGTACGTATTCACTAGTGCTGGTAAGAGCGGAAAAGCTTCAGGGTCCGAAACTGGCGAAGGCTTGGGATCCGACATCATGAATGTGGAATTCGGGTTCGTAGCTCCAGCGATCAGAGTGTGAATAAAAGGAAGTGCGGTTGAATAACGATGCTAGAGATAAGTAGCTCTGCTAACAAGGCTGTGTTTATGGAAAGGTATCGAAGTCCTGTTGGCTCCGCAGCCATTGAGCGAACTGAACCAACAAACCAACAGCATCCCTGCAAAACGGCCGTCATCTAACCCTACTCTATCGAGGACTCGCACGACGAAGACAGTGAAAAGGTAATGGAGATATGCAGCATAACAAAACAACCAGAGAATTCGGCGACTGGCCATTGCTTTGTTTCCCAAAGTTACGGGAGCTCCCGAGACAGTTCCCTTCTCTCCACTCAGCCTTGCGCGATTCCGTGACATCCGTAGAGGTACATCGGAGCATTACTCTTGCACCGCACTTTCCTGAAACGGCAAAGTAGGTGCAAGAAATTAATACCAGTGGGGCAGACTTTTTAACAAGAGAGTGTTTGGGCGAAGCCGGTTTCGAAGTTTACTGGAGCCTCTCTAAAGAAACTCTCCTAGGTAGGAACCGGACTTAAGGCCTACCGGGCCCGAGATGCAATATAACTCGCATGGCTTGGTAATATTGGGCAGCTGGTGGGCTTTTTCTGCGCTGCCACCAACAATAAGTACCTAGGTAAGGTAGGTAGTGTGCGGCCAACACGGTTTTCGGCTTTCCTAACACATTTTCTCCCTTCTCACTTCTTCTTGGTCAGAATATCGGTATTGTCGCTCTATTGAAGATGGCCCAAGACTTTCCCATGCGCCAGCTAGGCAAATCCGGCCCCTCGGTCACAGCTACTGGCTGGGGTGCAATGGGACTCTCTGCGTTCTACGGCCCAAAGGCCACTGACGAAGAGCGTCTCAACTTCCTGGATAGTGTCTACCAAAGTGGTATCACATTCTGGGATACATCCGACTATTATGGCGATAGCGAAGAGCTGCTGGGGAAATGGTTCGCTCGGTCGGGGAAGCGTAATGAGATATTCTTAGCCACCAAGTTCGGCGCCATTGAAGGCGGGGCTCCCGAGCAGGTGAATAAGTCGTGTAAAGCGAGCCTGAAAAGACTTGGAGTGGACACCATTGACCTGTATTACTACCATCGTATGGATAGGGTCACACCGATCGAGAAGACAGTGCAAGCCATGGCGGACCTGAAAAGAGCTGGCATGGTGCGATACCTTGGATTATCAGAGTGCTCTGCCACCAGCATTCGGCGCGCGTAAGTAGCCCATCTCTCAATAGTCGATTTCACTGGCTCCACGTTAATCCGTTCTTCATTCATATTCGTCTCAATGCTGAAAATATATGGTAACTCATATGTTGCCCTACAGATATAAGATCCATCCCATCTCTGCCGTGCAGGTGGAATATAGTCCCTTTAGCATGGAGATCGAGGACCCGAAAATAAACGTCTTGCAAACCTGTCGTGAACTGGGAGTGGCCCTCGTCGCCTACTCGCCGCTCGGCCGTGGATTTCTCGGCGGCAAATTCAGATCTCCTGATGACTTTTCGGAAGGAGACATCCGTCGTGTCTTTCCTCGATTTTCGGCAGAGAACTTCGATACAAACGTAAAGCTGGTGGAGGCATTGGAAGAGGTCGCACAACGGAAGGGAGTTAAAATCAGTAGTCTAACGCTGGCTTGGCTATTGGCGCAGGGAGAGGACATCATTCCTATTCCAGGGACGACCAAGCTGGAGAACCTGGCGAACAACAAACAAAGTGTGGTGATCCAATTGTCTGATGACGAAAACCGGGAAATTCGTGAAGCGATCCAGCGTGCTGTTGTCGTTGGATCAAGATATCATCAACAGTAAGTACCAGAACCTACTTTCGCATATGGCGCAGTTGTTATAGGTTGTGGGATACTCGATAACACCTTGACAGTGCTATGGCGAGCTTGTTTGCGGATACACCTACCTTGTAGGAGCTTATTTAGGAGCTTATTTGAATCGCTAAAGTGAATGCAAGATATATATATTTGTAATATACTAAACTAGCCTGAGACGCTAAAGCGTCGAAAAGTGATTGTAAGGTAGGTAGTACTCTGACACCTATTCTCCTAGCTACTAGCTAGCTATACTAAGTCGGGTGACTACACGGGAGGGGAACCCTGTAAAAGGCGACAAAGGGGCTAAACAAAGGGGTTCGGCTCCTTATAATATATAAAGAGTAAAGGGTTAAGAGGCTAAGAATAACGCTAGGTATACTATAAATAAGCTAGGATATATTATTAATATTCTTCTAGTAACTTCGAGGACTATTTAAGTAAGTTGAGATAACTTAGTATTTAGAGTATTGCTTACTTAATAAGTTGCTATACGAAAGCTAACTCAACTAGTATACTACAGGAAGCTATTGAACCGCCCATTCGACGTAAAAGAGGGTTTTATTATTAGGATTTTACTCTCTTTATATAGGTATCGTGGTCCGAATAATCTATCAACACTTTGCCCTTACACTAGGAGCCTGGCTTGTATACCCAGCGTTGTAAGTTCTCGAGTTTATATACTGGCAGTAGACGATATAACAACCTGGAAAGGCGGGCAGAAAAAGGCGGTCAAAGTGCTTCAGCTCACACCCCACCCTCACCGCGCGTTTGACTCTGGGCCTGTTCGAGTCAGCCTCTTTGCGGTGATATTATTACCTATATACATCAAGGAAAGCTATTAATAGCAAAATGGAAAGCAAACCGCCTGGACGCCGACGCATTCAGACCTTGTTTCGGCGGGCTGAAAGCTCGGCATCGAGCCTCGTAGCCGTTCAGCCACCTCGAGCCTCGATTTGCGAACTCTGTCAAAAGCTGAGTCTGAGCTTTAGTAAATTGAGAAGTGGAAACCATGTTTTTCATGGGACACCTAGTCAGATAGCAATCTCAGCAGAAGCGGGGTGTCCTCTCTGTGGCTTACTATCCGAAAATTTTGATCTTGGACCTATATCCCTGCCTATTCGGTTCTATGGTATTCGAAGACGACTATCGTTACAAGAAAAGGAATCCTTAGTTGAAGAAGGTGATATTGAAGCTTTGAGATTACTGAACGGATATGATCGTGATGATACGAACCCGTTTTCTCACAAACTAGCACTCTACACCACTCATGGTCTGTCTTCATTCCAAACCACCTAAGCCCTAATTTCAAACTGATAACATTAGATGATGTTTCTGCTTCCTCTCTTAAAAGAAGACCATTCATAAAGGACTTTGCGTCTGAAGAATGCTTCCGTCTTATCAAGTCGTGGCTTGACACTTGTGTCTTCCATCACCCTGGATGCAACACCTCCATAATTTCGCAACTTCCAACTCGAGTGATTGATGTCGGCATGCAAGGCGGCCAACAAGACCCCTTTCTTTTCACGCCACCCCAAGGTTACAAGTACAGTTATGTTGCACTCAGTTATTGCTGGGGCAATACTGAGACTAGGTTTGTCCTTACCAAAGAGAATTCCTTACTTCCTACGTATAGACTGCCATTGAGAACTCTTCCAAAGACCCTCAAGGATGCTATTGAGATTACCAGAAAGCTTAAGTTTCGGTTCTTGTGGGTAGATGCCCTTTGTATAATCCAGGAAGGTGATGGAGGCGAGGATTTTCTCAGGCAGAGCGTGACTATGCGCCACATCTATGGCAACGCAACTTTGACCATTGCTGCCGCAGCCGCAAAGAATGTTAACGAGGGGATATTTCGAAAGCCTCATCACGAACAGCCCGAATGTAAAGTTTTATACGACTTGCCAGACGGGACCATCGGTACTGCATATCTTGAGTTTGAGGAGAACGACCGGGGCGCATCTCGAGTCGACGAGCCTCTCAACACTCGGGCATGGGCATTTCAAGAACGAATCCTGTCACCGCGAGTCGTTGTCTTCTACGAAGATCAACTAAGCTGGGACTGTACCTCAGCCCTTATCGACTCGAATGGGCCATTGAATCCTCTCCTGAAGCAGAACCGAGACTCTCCCGGTCGATATTCTGATTTTGTTGCCAGCCAAGTACCTGTGGACGATGCGGCAACATCTAACCAGGCAATTTATATGGCTTATTGGCGAAGTTTGGTCGAGTTTTATTCCCGCCGAGCTCTGACCAAAACCAGTGACAAGTTGAATGCGATCGCTGGCTTGGCTGAATTGATCAAGTTGAAAACCGAAGATTCTTCTTATATTGCTGGCATATGGAAATCGGATCTTGAAGCCCAATTATGCTGGTATACCGACAAGCCATTTCTCAAGCGGCCAGAGAGGTATAGAGCACCTACGTGGTCATGGGCATCCATAGATGGACCAGTCAGGTTTTGGATTGGCGCGAATTTTCGACTACTTCCAGTGGAAATTCAAATCCCCCCAGAAGGTAACGAGTTAGGTGAAATTCGTGAAGCTGTCCTTAAGATTCGAGGCCATCTACATTCTTGGGATCGCCCACAAATCGAACAGCCAAACTGGACGGATCAAAGGAAAGGACTCTATTTTGATGATCTCAGCGAGAAAAAGGACTTCTATAGCAAAGAGGGCGATACGCGATATTTCTCATTCTATACGGGTGTTCCTAAAATAAGCGTACCATCTTCCACTTTATGGATATATGCTTTTATTTTAAAGGCAGTCGGTACAAGGTATCGAAGGGTGGGTATTATGGTCGACGATTGGATGTGTCAAATACGTCCTAAGGAATGGACTGACAGATCGCCCGTAACTATTTGTATCGAGTAAGGGCTATGAATGCTTTTCATTAGCCGCACGAAAATTATTAACCTTTCTCCGCGTGGTTTAACAATCGTTCCGCCAATGGGAGCGGCCTTGAATACCGGGCTAAGCTGGCTGCAAGACTTGTCGAGTCATCCAGAATTGACCCACAAAGTCTGCCAAAGCAATTGAGCCGTCGTTTTAGATTAGAAAGTTGTGAGCGCCAATATCGCAATGGATAACTCCCTTGGAATGAATATATCTTATTGCCTCGACTATTTGGGCCAGCCATCTAAATATTCTTTAGTTTAATAAAAATAGGGGGAAGATATGCCACTGACTACTCACTACACCCTCTCAATAGGAAACCTCTCTAGCTCTAGATTCTCCGCCAGTGTTCCCATAGGCAGATATTAGAGCACTAAACCCTTGCCAAGTACCGACTTCCCTCGCCATATGATTGAATGAGCGGGTGAGTGCCAAATCGCTCATAGATCCGCTTCTCGACAGCATCGGCTTCTCTAGGTTCGAAAGCGGTCTTAAGAGCTACCTTAGTGTTGGCCACCCCATAGACTTCTGCGAAGGAGCCACGGCCAGCGACTCCAAATTGATTATGCTTTGCGTCGGCAAGTATTTGTCGACAGCCTCAGCCTATAATTTCAACATGAATTGCCCAGAGGTGGGGGAGGGCTGTCCCCAATGAAGGAACAGCTGTGTAATACATAGGTAGCGTTATATGTGGCTCGCCGAACCCTGAGGAACACGGACAAATATTCCCCAAGCATCCTCAAGGACAGTAGCGCAAAAAGGACCGGTTCGATGCTCTGCTCTTTCTTGTACACTAGCTATCGCTGCTTCTCTCGTTTCGATTTAATTCTTGTAGTTACCTTAGCTGATTAGATCTGTCAGCACGTACGTGGATCCTGGCCTATTCTCCCCTTTCAGCTCACATGCATATCATGGAATAGGCTCAGGACTCAGGCTCCTGGAGACCTCGAATACGGATACTTTTGCCTTATCTTAATTACCACTTTTGTGACTACTGAGCCCCCCCTTCTGAGTGCCACCACCTGGGTGCGCTCTGAATATTCACCTATACAGAGACTTCGCTATACCACGGTATGACGTTCTCTATGACGATGTGACGACACAGCGACCTTACGACAGGAGTTCTGCCAGCAGTATTTAGTCCTATATCCTACCTTTCACCCAACTACATGCTTTGTTGGTTGTTTTATACCCTCTTTGCTCCTTGGCTTACAGAGAGCCCTTCTTGCTCCTTTGATAGTATATATAGCTTTAGTATGGATTTTCCTTCAATATGATTTCACTCTAATTATCGTAGCTCTCGATATAACTATAGCGCTACACCAGTATTATTTAATCTTGGATAAATAGTACCTTGCTTATGAGAAGTACCAGACGTTGTATTTCTATTCCTTAGCATATCCTTCCTAGTAAGATGATTATAACTTGTCTTGTATAAAAGTAACATGCTTATAAAGAGCACTAGACATTAACACGTCCTACTATTTTCACTGTTATTCTTTAGACTTTTGGGACTATATAGAATTATCTGCCGACAACGGTTACAGACTAGTACTATGCATATTTGAGTACAACTTATTGTAGTAGAGAGGCGTTAAATATGTAGTTAATAGATGTTGAGTTTCGGCGATGCTGAAATTAGGAGTTCCAGGTGTACGCCACATGTAGAAAATATGGCCCACTTTTACCTATATATAACAAGGACTTCTCCTCCACCTCTAGAACTAGGATTAATCAACTCTTTCCATCTGTTTTTCAGTGCCTCGAAAACACAGACAATAGATTAACGCCATATGTTTATATACGATATGGTTGAATTTGTAAAGTTCAGTAAAGTTAAAGGATTGCGCTCTGACTGACACAGATCTAGAATTGGCCCCGAAAGAATTATAGCTGAGGGGAAGAAAGAGGTCTCCTTTGACGCTGACCCCCCTACTATCGCTCTCAACTTTGACTCACTCTTGGTCACCTTGACTCACCAAAACTTAAGAGTAAAGAAGCTCTGCTCACCTTTCTGAACAGAAACAGACTTTCATCATGTCAGGATTGGCGTGAAATAATCGTCTGTTGTTAGAGCTGTTACAATACACACACAACGGATGCTTTTGTCAGACATTCTATCATATCTAAATCATACAGTCCGCTACAAATCGTGTAATATATGTACCGAGTACGGTTACCCAGGTCTAAAAATGAATTATCTTAACCATTTCGAGTACCTTGGAGTAGCTAAATATTACGAGTTTTAAAGCAATCTAAGCAGGAAATATATTTTAATAAGTCTTTCTGACTTGTTGAACAAGTTTTGTTTATCTCTCGTAATGTATGGAATATATTCCAGTCTTGCCTGGCTTCTTTTTAACCTAATCTAACTAATTTACCACTCCTGTCAACTGTATACCCATCATCTAATATCAATTTAGTAACAAGCCCCATATATGCCAAAGAATCTAGCAATGTACAGAATTAGCATCGCTCGAGAGGAGTAATTGACGAATGAGGGATGTCTCACCAGCATTCTTGTACGATTGCACCGCCACACAATTCTTCCACCCATAAGGATCGTTGTTTATATCAAGCATACTAAAAATCCCCGAAGGAGCTATATCAATTGATTCCCCAGCAGCTCGCGTATGCGTCAGCTCATGTAGAATAGTGTGGGAGAGCTGCGCCAAAATGTCGATTGGTGCTTTGCCACTAAGTTTCTGGAGAGTGTGGTACGGGCAGCATCTGATGCTGCTTTTGCCAATAAGACATTCCATGGTGGGATATTATTCGTTCTCTGTTGAGCGATAAACCAGACGCATAGCTGAATTGTGTCGTGTTTGGTATTAGCTAACACGATGTTTCCCTGGGAGTCCCTATAAGGGGGCTTAACGCTTGTAACAGCCTGGACACCCTGTATTCCTGAGGTAGCGGATCGACAGCCTCTCATCATCATGCTCCACTTGCTGTGGTACATAAGGGCTATTGGATCGATAAACCCTTGGCCGTATGTGGCATGGTTGTAAGGTTCCATTCTGGAAAAATCACAGTAAAACACCTGGTAATGGTCATTGATCAGTATAATACCCGTATTATGTACTTTGGTAGGTAAGAAATCTAATGAAAGAATCCTTACAGCCTGGTTTGCTCGTAGTTTTGAGTCCGGGACGCTCATGCTGCCAACATTCCGTAGTATAGCTGACATGAAATTAGACCGACCGATAGAAAGTCAATAGGGCCGGAAGTTTAAAGTTACTTCTTGCTTGATTGATATTGGCATCGCTGCCAAAGAGGTAGGATGCCACTTGCTTGATATTGGGGTTCATGGGAGTCCGTCCAAGCTCCGTGACAGTAATTGCAGCCATTCTAAAGGCATCCTGGATGGCAAGATCTAGCTGGACCCGAAAACCTTCAATAGTATTAATTTCGATGATCTGCCCATAAGCTTGAATGGATATCACTTACTATTGCAGGATACATCAACTACATAAGCATTTGTGAAGCCAAATAATGCGAGAATGATGATAGATGACGGGTGCCATATAGAAGTCCACATTTCGAAGGAGATCAAGGTACTGTATAACAAATTTACCTAGCGCGAAGGTAAATACTAAGGGTAGAATCTTAGAGGGATATTTATAACTCGTGTGGAATGGAATGTTCAATAAATATATATATATATATATCTGAAGCCTGGAGTTATGAAGTGGGTGGAACCTTTTGAAAAGCTAGGTATATTGGGCATCTTGGACCTCAAAGGAGATGCTCCTTCAAACTTCCAACAATCTAAGCCGTATCCGAAAATAGAGATATTTGGACTTTTCTTACACCAGAAAGCCTAGGCATTTAGCACCACTTCACCACTGTACCAGAGATCAGAGTCTCGGAGTCACCTCTGCGCCCCTTTGCAAGTCGGCCGCACCTTGGCCACATGATAGAAAGAGCAAGGGAGCGGATCCGTATGTTGGAAGACATTCCTTAGAGGACCTACTCGTACACCCTTGGGCTGCTAACCGGTTTGCGAGTCCTGACTCCATACAAGGTGGTACCGTGGTATGCACTCTATAGGGGGCGGTATCGCGCAATGTGCCGCGCTGGACGGCGAAAATAAACATCCGCACTGTTGGACTGTAGAAAGGTACTTGCAATGCTTAATGGTTTAAGAGTCAAGGGTAACAACATGCCACACTGGGGAGAGGCTAGACTTGGGCCCAACAAGAAGTGGTCTAATAACGTAACTACCAACTAGCACGGCCTGGATAAGCCGGCCAGTTTCGTTGCGAGTACCTAGGTATGAAACAAACAAACCATCAAACAAACTTGCAAGGCTGAGATCCGTCATATCCTATCCATAGTCCACGCACCACCCGGAAGCATCACCAACTGATATCACAGTGGCCACGGAGAACGTTGGGCTCAGTCAGCCATACTCGTACCGCCAATAGGATCCTGGCACGCCTGGCCACCTGTGGCTTGGATGTTGGTTGGTTGTCAATCTGCGACGCGAAGCTGCGTCTCCAGGTCTCCTGAATCCTGATTTCTACTTCGTGGTTAGATGCCCTTTCTCGGTGACCATGAGGTAGATGTATGATATGTTTGATACCAACAGCATCTCAACTCGGCGCAGCAATTATACACCCTCGTCCTCGAGCTCGGTACCCAGTTCTTGTCCGCAGGCGGATCTATACTCCACCTAGAGACCCTAGAATACCAAAGGTATATGTTCATATGCTATACACGATGATCAACGATACAGATGGGGGCAGTCTACACTTTGCTATGAGGTCGATTAAAATGCAGCCCCGGAGAAGGATCTGTTGGAAATATGCCTTGAGGGCGGTGCAAATAAATTCGGGGATCGATCACAAGGTTCTGCTTCCCTGGCTCTATTATTTTGCAGTCTTTAGGGGTCGGTAATTCCAGCACTTCCTGTAGCAGCTCTTCATATCTGGTTATACATCTATATGGCTACACCATGAACAGCAATTTTTGGCTCCTATGCTTCCTTTTCCTCCGCAATCATTCCAAAATTTCGTATGCAATTTGCCAATCATTCACATATCCTCCATCATGCGACGCTTCGGTGGCTGCAAACCTCTTTACATAGCAACTCTACTCTATTCAGCTCAGGCGGCCCAAATAGGCCAAATTAAGGCCATCGAACCTACATCAGCTGGTCAAATTGGGGTTAATATTGTCGATCTACCACCTGCCTCCGTCTTGTATGTGAAGTTATACCACTATGGACTAGACGATTCACTAGAATGCTAACTAAAACAAAAAGCGTGGGCTCCATTGGAGTCAATACCCAATATCTCACTGGAGATGGAGTTAAGACAAATGAATGATGAGTATCCGGGCATCTCGCTCCAGATCCGATTAGCTGAAAGACTTGAAGTGGATAGGGCCTGACCCAAGCTACATTACCAAAACAGCATTGGTAACAGTCACTGCAACTGGCTCACCACCGGCAACGATAACCTCCGATGTCTCTATCTCAGTGCAAGAACTTGCCAGTGGAGACCTTGAAGTCCTCACCGGCCCAGCTCTCCGTCAGGGGCTACAAGATATCGCATCCAAGGTGACACCTTGTGGCGCAAAACTGAGACCGCGCCTCGATTTCTGCGGCTTCAACAACTTTATGGATGAAGCCACGAGATTTGGCCCAATCCAAGGAGCGGATGCAGCAATAGGACCAGGCCGCCTGTTGATTCCAGCGGCTGACATTGCTGCTCTTGTAGCGAACTTCCAGGCTGCAGCTGCGGGAGCGACTGTGGTCGTGCTCCCCGCTGCTACGGTAGGACTTCTGTATCTCATCTGGGAACAAATTCAATCCGGAAATCAGGTTGCTCCTGTTATTAAAGTCCCAGAGAGCATCAAAGGAACTCCGACTCCGACTCTAACTCCAACATCACAAACATCATCAACTTCTACAAGCCAATGCGCCCAGCCTACAACAGCTACTCCGGTAGGCTCGTTTCATTCTGGTTTGACAATATTGTTTCGTACTAATACCCTTTGAAGGCTATCTGTAAACATGAAAAATGCCTTGGCGAGGCACAGGAATTATGCACTGTTGTATGTTTGCTCTTATTAAGATAATGTGTCTCAGTATTTAATACTAATCTGACAGCAGGGAGACGACAAAGGGTGTCGATGCCTTCAAACAGCCGTGGAATATGGCGAGCCAAGGCCTGTACTAGTATGGCAGAGTATGCTACTAGTAATTCTCGCAGACCCTGATACTCGTGCTAGTCCACAGGGAGCAGCAGTTTGTGATGCCGGAGACCGCGTTAATGTGGAAACTAAAGACTAGAAAAGGTGCAAATAAAAGAGTTTTCTAGCCCGTAGTAAGACAGTAAGACTAATATTGTTTATAGGCTGTTAGCTGTCTTCTGTAAAGACAATGATCTGAAGACTGACAAAACATCTACGTTGAAAGCTGCCGATGCTGGCCTTTCAGCCTATGACGGATTAACTTTCTCTTTCGATTGGGCCAGCAATAGTCCAGCTTGTACTCAGCCCTGCACAGATATATTTGCAGCTTTTACCCAAGCAATGGGTTGTAAGTTGACAGTAAGCTCCGTCGATTTCCATGCTAATTGGCCTAAAGGTGCTTCTACTTCTCATTCAATGTCGAAACGAGGCACTATCAGCGAAAATTGTGGAGATGCGGCCTTTAAGATATTCAGCCCCTCACCTCCAGCAGAGCCGAGTCCAACAACACTTGCTCCTCCTCCGACACAACCGCCAAGTCCCGCTCTAGGGGTACCCCAGTGCTCCCCACTCGATGGTTTTAAACAATCGGACGCCAGCGCAAAGGCAAAGGTTTTCTGCGATGCGGCCATAACCAGAGGGCTGCGCTGGAAGCAGGATGATGGTGAACCTTCTCCTGTCAACGAACTTAATGGTTTCTGGGGCTATAAATTCTTCGATGTCAGGGTGTCATCTGGTAATATGGATAATGTATTATATCTCTCTGTCGAACTGGACCAGAAAGGATGTCCAGCAGGGGCCAATTTTGAGGTCGACTTCAAAACGCTAGGGACCAAGAAATGTAGGGACAACTTCATGATTGGGGTTGATGGCTGTAAGTATCTCCCTTAAAATATTCCAAAATTCGATAACTTTAGCTTACACTACACAGGTGGCCCATTTTTGAAATTTGGCGGCTGGAGTTATAATGACTGCGTTAAATGGACTGTTTCTTCGGCAGTAGGATTTCCGATTGCAGGGTTAAATATTAGGGGTCTAGATGTTAAATAGTCAAATTGGATTCTGTTCTGCACCTATAGCCAGCCATGAAGGTATTGGGACTCTACCAATAAACTTGTTCGAGTGCAAAATAGTAAATAAATTACTCAAAGCAAGCCCGTCATCGCCTGGAATCTGGAATTAGGATTGGGTTCGTGATATAAGCATCCAAACCTATAATAAATTGAATATGAATGTAGAAGTATGTCGCTGGGGTATCTTTATCTTTAACTTTCTTTTTTCCTAACTCTTAAAATGAAGAAAATCACATAAATACGAAGAAGGTACCCATGTCTAAAAATAGTTCGTTCGCTTATGTTGGTGATCAGGCAGATCAAGGCGCCTCCTCCATATCTCCTCCGCGACTTCGCCTCATGTGCCATTGTACTGCCTCCTACCCACAGCGTTGGTATATATCACTGCTCTGCTGCTGAGCTACAACATCCTCCTCAAACAAAACTAGTGCGCAAAATGGCCAATACTTCCTTTAAGAACCCCACGCATCCGCAAACTGGATCACTACTGTTCAGTCAATTCCCAACAGAAATCAGACTCCAAATCTACCAAGAAGTCATATCAACTTGGCACTGGACAAAAAGAATACATATTATCTTTCGACAATGCCTAGATTCGGATAACAATCGCGGCGATAGTATTCCGACATATGTTCCATGCGCGGTTTCACCAGAGGACCAGCATGAGCCAACTGTCTCCGAAATGGTACACTACCAGAGGTGCGGAGTGGCAGCACTAACTGACAGGCTGCCTAGAGAACCAATGGTTAGCAATTTGGCCATCTTTTGGACTTGCCAACGGCTGTATGAATAAGCTCCCAGGACCCATGTAGACGTTATATCTGACATCATATAGCTATACCGAAGCAATCGGTTTCCTTTACTCGGCCCCAACATTCGATTTCTTATCGTTCATGGATGCGTGCAACTTCCTAAAATGCATTCCGCTTCAAAATCTAAACTCCATTAACTCCCTCCACCTCACTGGATCAGCTTTTCGCAGCTATTATCCCACATTGCTTCCCACTGACGTGAACCTACATGCGAATTGGCTGGAGGTCTGTTCCATTCTAGAGAGAATGGAAGGGTTACAAGAACTGAGAATCAACATACGCAGTACGCCACCAGATATGGCCAATGAAAAAGAGCTGTTAAAAGCTCTTCTTGCTGTGAGAGTCATGGGGAAGGGAAAATTTGTTGTTCAGATTCCAAGAACAGCTTCAGGAGGAGAGGACCGACTAAGAAGTGACAGAGACAGAGACATCACCGACGAGGAGATATTGAATGATAGCGATAGAGCTGAAAGTGGACTGCATTTTAGGATCGAGAGAAGAACATGGGCCGGTGAAGTTGAAACAACGACGGAAATTGGACTTGCAGTTCACCATGGGAGACCGCGAAGGAAGAAACGCCGATGGCTGTGTTTTCCGTGTTGGATTATTATTCGTTTGGGAGTTGTGGCGTGGGAGGAATTTGAAGATCGGGTTTTACACATAGATTAAGCTAAAGGGGTTTGCTGCTAGTGGGCCACGGATAGTAAAGGAAGCGCTCTGGCAGACACATATATGTCAATACGATTCTTATTGACTGAACCTGAACTTAACCCTGAACCTTTGCATACCCCTATATATAGAGGCACTACCTCCAACCTCTGTTATTATAATCAATCAGCTCCTAATTGCTTTGAGGCCTGCTTTGAGACCATATTTTCTTAACAATTCTCACGATGGATGCCCAACAAAATTGCGGCCTAGAGAGAATGTAATTTTACATCAACGTGACGATTGCTATATTACACACCAAGTCCAGGGTGGAGGGAAATTGGCCGCAGATTTGGCAGGCAGTGGCTGCAGTTTTGAGCGGCATTTTCCCTAGGTGCTAAGACCGCAAGTCACTGCGGTACCCCTCAAGTATGGAGTGCCACGACCTAACAATCTGGTCGCGATCTATCTGCTTATTGGCTAGCGCTGAAGTACTCGCGGATGCGCCATATAGCACCCTGTACCAGATCGCTGAAGTAGTCGCGGATATGCCATTTAGCAACCTGTACCTGCCACCAATATCCTTCCACTATATTCCATATTCCCAGGCCTCGATAGTTTAACATCTCAGTGATCGTGGGGTCTCTAAGGTCTAGATCGTCCAGCTTTAGATCGTCCTGGGCTTCCTTCCCAACCAAGGTCTGCCAAAAGTTCCGTTTTTCATCCAGGAGTTCATACTGATGATGAAGAACAATCCTGGGTTTATCGACCAGATAAGCAACTATCCGCGATGCGGATGTATAGCTGTCGTCGTGGCTGAAGACGCTTGAGCCCCCGTCGATCATGTCTTTCCAATGCTTCCCCTTCAGCGCTTCCAGTCGACTTGTCTGCTGCTTCTGAACGGTTGATGAATCCAGCTCCCATTGATTTGCAACTAGGGCGCAATGGCTATAAGCCTCGTTTCCAAGGAATAACTTTAGATATTTCAATTGCTATAAAGTACAAGTTAGTTTTTCGTGACTGCATCTCGTCTAGAAAGGTATCGTACCGTTTGGCCCTTCCCTCCAATGCGGGTCTGGGTGATGTCATGAAGAAACACGATACCATTGAGTAGTTTTCCGTTCTTGTAGTTTGCTTCGAGATCCTTTGACACTTGGTGCAGAATGTGCCTATCTGAATGGTTGTCGTCGTCGAAGCCAGGTGAATCGATAATATACACAGTTCTTCCATTGGCTAAAGCTCGGTACCAGGAGACTTTGGAGGTTTCTTTATAACTTTAAGTAAGCTTTAATACATAAGAATATTGTTAGGGTTAACTTACCGGACTCGAGACCATGGCCGATTGTAGGTACTCGACCGGTCTGAATATGCCGCCCCCCAAGGGAGTTGATAAAAGTGCTTTTGCCAGCACCGGTTTGCCCCATAATGGCGATGATAGGAGCATCGTTGTCGATCCGCGGGGTCTCAATGACACAAACCATGGCAAAGATTGCAAGTACCATGAAAAAGACCCAACCACAACTGAATTGGCGTTTCGGGGGTTCAGTTGTAGCGAAACAAAATGAGGGACGGCGGATACTAGCGGACTCTACCTCAGGATCAGTATAAGATATATAATAGATATGGAGCCTGGAAACTTACTTCCTGGACGGTATTTCCTCTTCAGAGTCTGGGCGCATTCATCTAGCTGTGTGTTTCCGTCCATGTATGTGATGGTATTGGCGGAGATCTCGGCGAACTTTGACGTATCTGCGAGGTCGATGATTCCAATGCCGAGAGGGACAGTAAATCGAAAGTATCTTTTCGACTCGACCAGTCGCCTATGACCCGAAGAGAACATCTTCGCAGTATCTTCTGTCTGTGTCAGAATGGCCGTACCATTCTCGACCAACTCCGGCACTGAAGCCCCAAAGGGCTTTCCAGCACCAGTTCCAACGGATACAAGACTTTGAATTTGCTCATCGATCCTTTCGCCTTCCTTCATCTCCCAAAGATTTTCCGCACACTTTAGGGTCTGATAAACTGGGTTGTTGGACTTGAGACCTCCATCTACGAAAGAGGTTGAGTAAGGGCCAATTGTGATTGGGTCAAAGTAGGTAGGCGCGGCGGATGTTGCTCTGGAGAACGACAATAAGTATGTAATAGTACGGAATAGGGTATATGGCCACGGGGATCTCACCTAGCGGCTTCCCAAATTTTCACACCTTTGGCTTGATCGCCACCCCTTGGGTCGGGGTAGCTACAAAGTTGAACTCGGCTGTTGTCTAGATGCTTTGTGGCGCAAACGAACCTGGGGAATCGAGGATATGCCTGTCAGTCCGGAAAGGGGGCCAGCGAATAAGTAGAGGGAAGGAGCCTTACACTTTGCATGCATGATCATCCAATCTTTTCAAAGGTGAGTTCCGTGCTAACCCGCATGCCTCAATGATGTCTTTAACTGCATCTTCCAGCACTTGACTATCATATATCGACCAACCCGTAAGCATGCAGACGATCTGGCCAACATAAGGTATGCTGAGGAAATAGCCTCTAAGGCTCCGCTGGAAGATCCGGTGAGTCATGTTTTTGTATGCTTTAATGCATTCATCCACGGACATTTCCAGACTGCCAAGCATGATAGCAATAAGTCTGTTTATAGAGTTTATATTAGCCGCTTGACATCTCTATATCCGAAGATACTTACCCTCCAGTGCTTGTACCACCTATCATGTCAAAGACTTCGCATGGCTTTGGTGGATTTTCCGGGTCTATCTTCTGCATCAGTCTACCCAGGATGAGTAGAGCTGAAAGGCCCTTCACGCCACCACCGTCCAGAGAAAGAAGGCGCGGGCGAACGAGGTCATCCTCGCCCTTCGGAAGGTTAGGGGACATCTGTGGCATCGAAATTGAAGAATTTGTTGCGATAATGCAGTAGTGTAAGAGTGTGGGTGATATTAGGAAGGACCGGGGGAAGGGGAAGGGAGGGAATAACTTGGTTCTTATACCTCGATCCTTGGAATATTAGAATTAGGCCTGAATGCCAATTCTCCGTGCTTGGGTACTTGTTTATATAGCAGGCAAGTAGAGGCTCATGCTCCGCCTGGCTGTAGGCAGGCTAAGGGCCTTTGTAGAGCGGCCTATCAAGTAAATTAAGAGACGTAGCCGCTATGGCTTCATAATTCGGGTGCCACAAATCGTAATTATTTTCCCTTACTGGCCCGCTATGTCACACGGCATGTGGTGGATGTTTGAGCTCCCTCAGCCAACAAAGGGAACCATGCTGAGCAGTGATAGCTAATCGACAAACTCCGCGTTAAGCCTGGTGGTTACGGGAGGCAAACAGCAGGGGTGAGAACCGACCAATAGGGCTCGAGTTCCCGGAGCGCTTGGAGACTCAACGTCTTGCAGTGGATATGTTAGAACTTAGAATATGCAAGGGCTGGAATGTGGGGAATTTGAGGCCCGAAAAGGCAAGGAAGTTGAGGGGATATCGAGCGCCACAAACGGGTATAACCCGATGCCCATCCCGAAATGAAAGGGAGGGGCACGGAACAGAATATCAGAATCATAGTCTCAATCAACCGGAGCCGTTACCTCTGTTACTACTAAAAATTATATGTTAATTGAAGTACCTTGACTTGAAATGCCAGTCCGGAAATCGCAACCGAAAATTACTACAACAGGAGGGCGGGAAGGGGGCTGGGGGGGTGAGAATTTTTGAGTGAGGTTTGAGGACGAAAGATTTGAACTTCGAGGTCGATACGGGGAAGAGGGTACTCTATGGGTCGTCCACAAAGGTAGTGGAAGATTATATAATCTATACGCTGAACCATAAAAGGAAGTGTCGCTAAACTAAAGGCGGATTTCCGTCACCAACTTTACCTTACCAAGCCTACCTAGGTAGTTAAGCTAGAACAAATGTCCAACGTAAGTAGATAAATATAGAATTTATATCTAGCCAGAAGGAGGTTCTCTTATAATCAAAAACATAAGAGAAAATATTAGTTATACCTAAGGTAGGTATAAAAGAGTTGTAAACATTTGTATTATTGGGCGAAATACACAGAGTTTAAGTACAACATGGTATGATATACTTGCTCTAATTGGTTTAAATATTTATTACAAACTTCCAAATACAGGAATTCCCAGCTAATCTATGCGACAAAACGGACAGCATAGAAATAAAGCATTAAGCGCATAGAGATGGTCATGGAATGTGGGTGATAATCACTTCATTCCAAACTCCAAACTAGGTGGTCCAATGGACATAGTGGTACGAGCACTTGGTCGGGCACTGTCGTGCGAGCAGCGAATGTATTAACACAAGCATTATGCCCAATCAGTGGAGGGATATTATGTGTTAGATCACGAGCTCAAGCCAAGGGGGAAAGTGAATGATTTGATGGGTATGTTTAAATTGCTAGCCTCAAGTCTTCTTTTGATTAGTTTTGTTGCATTCCAAGGTGAAAGCTTTAAGAAGCCCCTATTTGGAGACATTGTTAGCTTAGCACAATCGGAATCATCCCACTCTGATAGTATCAAGGATAGAAGGGAAAAGGAACTCATACCATAAACCTGTGATCAGCCATGGACATGAAAATCTTTTCTTTCGAAAGTTTCATCGACGTAACTCTCGGGCTGGCGATCCCAAACGCAATACGGGCCAAGAGCCTCGGATCATCTCTATCAGGGATTTTCGATAATACGGTCTTAAAAGCGGACATATTAAATTCGACCGGAGGAGGCACTTCCTGTAAAACTTGAACATGGGTCATGCACCAGGTGCAATGTCCACACTCTTCCTCCCTACCAGGCAGTTCGTCTCCAAAGTGTTGGGCCAGGGCAAGTGAAAAGCATTTCCGGTCCGTAATAAGCTCTAGCATTTGATCAGTGCGGGCTAGTGCTTCCTGTTCACGTCGTTCCATAAGATCATAGATTTCTGTGGTGAGCTTTTCAATTTCTGCAGACCGTATCGGCCTGAGAATCTTGTAGACATGCATGACACCTCCAGGCCTTAACTCAATGTGGCCTGCTTCACTCCATTCATTCAACTTCTTGACGATGTCTACTCTAGGTAACCTCAAGGCCGAGGAGGCAGCGCTCACATCAATATGATAAAGGGTAGATGCCCGCTTTCCATAAGCTCTAATAGCTTGTGCCGCTTGGGATTTATCAGAACCAACTCCACCAGATGGTGACGTGTACTGGCTACCAGCCTTGTACGAGTACTTGGTATACATGGGAGTTGTTGCTCTTAGAAGTTGATGGGTCAGTTCAAGCTGAGCATATATGTTCGCGAGTGTGGTGGACCGTATATCAAAGTCTTTTCCCTGGGACATATGATTGCGCTGGATCTCGCCTCCAACAGGTAATTGCATCATTGTCGGGTCGAAAATATCATCCAGAAGCCTGCGAACTGATTTCTTGGACGGGAGGTCCCCACGAGCGAAAATCTCACGTAAATGAAGATCTTCTCCGCAGACATAAAACATGCAATGGCTGGCTTTCCCATCTCTTCCAGCTCTCCCAATTTCTTGGCTGTACGACTCAAGACTGTTGGGAATGTTGAAGTGTACAACATTGCGAATATTCGGTTTATCGATTCCCATACCAAAAGCAATCGTAGCAACGATTATAAGATCATCATATCGCATGAACTCGTCCTGTAGCTGAGTCTTCACCGAAGTGTCCATACCAGCATGAAACGCCTTGGCTTTGAACCCCTGGCTCCTTAAATCAGCTGCAAGGAACTCGGTTTGCTTCTGGAGGGTAACATAGACAATCGAAGGCCCGGGATGGGTTCGAAGAAATCCGAACAACTTCGGGTAGAGATCTTGCTTGGTGCGGCCTGATTCTGCAAGTAATTTGAGGTTCTTTCGGTATGTCGACGTTCGAAATAGGCCTTCGGTCTCATCAATATTGAAAGACCTGCAAATATCACTGGCAACACGCGGCGTGGCGGTAGCCGTGAGACATATAACCCTCTCAGCCTTGATTTCCTGGGAAAATCTTGCGATCTCTGCAAAATGTAAGTCCTGGACCATAATCGAGGGGGGAAACTTACTCAGATAATCTGGACGAAAAGCATGGCCCCATTCAGATATACAATGAGCTTCATCCACTGCAAGAAGGCGAATACCTCCACGGACATACTTCATCTGCTCCACAAAACCTTCGTTGTTTAATTTTTCCGGGGCGCAGTATAATATCTTCAACTCTCCATCTCGAAGCATCCGGCAGGTTTCAAGATATTCATCGCGAGTCTTTGTTGAGTCCAGGGCGGCTGCTTTAATGCCGCGACGGACGAGTGAATCGACTTGGTCTTTCATGAGTGCTATTAATGGCGAGACAACCAAAGTCAGTCCAGAATTTCCTTCGTGACGAGTATCATTGAGAGCGTCCAGCTCGGAAAAAACAACCGCCGGCACTTGGAAAGTTAAGCTCTTTCCCCCACCAGTGGGAAAGACCACAGCTGCACTGCCGCCATTAAGAATCCATGATATAACTTGTTTCTGCTTCAAACGAAACTCTTTCATGGCAAAATCCCGAGTTAAGGCAGTGGTAGCTAGAGCAATTGCTTTAGGATCGATCGCTAATTTCTTTGCGGGTGGAAGCTCGCCATTAGAGGCTTTCCGTTTGTTGGTATGTTTCGCAGCTACGCTGTCCGCCAAGGCCACGAACTCAGCTTCATCTGCGGAGCTGAGACCAAATTCGTCGTCATCGTAAGTTACTGCCATTGCATACAATCAGGGTTCTTTGTATACCGTCAGTGTCCCGTTCTTCAGGTGTAAGCCAAAAGGGGCCAACTAGCCCAACAAAAAGGGGTTGCCATTATCTACTCACGAGGCGTAAAATATCGATTGCACAGGCGCTCCAGCTGCAAAGGTTTTAACGGGGGTCGTACGAATGGGCAGAAGAAATCGAGAGGAAGCTCGACGAAATTCATCCATCTGTCGTTGCCCCTAAACGATACGCGACGCGACAACTTCTTGTGGGCTTGGGCAACACGTAACCACGTGTTTTGGTCTCCATAACGCCTCTTCCGCCGTCCACTATGCAAATAGTTGTTAGTTGTGACTTGAGAAAAAGAATTACATATCCGCTGAAGTGGATTTCGTGGCTTTTGTTCCCGGCATATTCAGTTTGCTAGACTGACGGATGCCTGCGTTTATCGAATTTGGTCTATGGGAATGCGATAGTGCCCTATGATTGTTGAAGTGCTTTTAGGAATTCAAGTGGCATGTCTATCACTACACGAATATCTATTAATCCAAACCCCTCATTCCATACACCAACACCCTCCAATAAGGGTTGGATATATCAACATCAGCTCCAGTGACGCCACCAGTTTGGTTTTGAGTTTTTGTTTTTTGTGTTTTACTTTTTGTCATCTTGGAATCGGTTTCTAGTTTTCCGTTTTACTTTTTAGAAGTACGCAGGATCCATTCCCCAACCCACCTGAGAGGCTCGGTACTCGGGCACACTAGCATAAGTTATTTCTTTTGGTTCTGCCAATCTGATTTTCGAGCTAAATCTACAATTGAACACAACTAACACTGTTACCCAAGGACATCACTGGGTGCCAAACGCCCCCTGCTAGCACTGAGGCATCCGCCAGATCTAGGCTTGGAAATGGACTCAAACAACTGGCGAGTCAAACGGGAGCCCGTCAAAGATGGTGGCGGGGGATTCACAACCCCAAACGCGCGGTCATCGCAACAATGGGGCAAACCCAATCGAGATTCAGACCCAAATCAGCAAAGGCCTCAAGCGTTGCCCTCGTGGGGCGCAATGCCGGTGTATACTGAAAATCGACCGCTTTATCGGGGAGGCTCAAATCCTACCACAGGCCCGTTTTCTCGCCCGATACCAAGGGGACTCCACGTCATAATCAAAGACCCTCAAGCAGAGGAAGCGATAGCTCAAGGTCGTCGGATCTATGTGGGAAATCTCCCATATGATGCGAAAATCAATGATATTCGGGCCTTGTTCGCAGATATATCACACCTCATTCAGGATATTAGCATGTCCGTGGATCCAATGACTGGTCGAAATCCCTCATATTGTTTTGTTGATTTCACTACTAAGGAAGCGGCCGAGAAGACCATAGAGCAGTTTAATGGAGTTCCTTTCATGAAGCGGCCGTTGAAAGTCCGGCCAAGCGTAAAGCCCGGAACAGGTACAGGCCGTTATCATCTGCAGGGCGGCAGCGAAAGTCAAAGCCGTGCCACCAGTACCGATTCTCCAGCACAGGAGCCGACACAGAACGAAACCGGGAGCCCTTACGTCTTCGATCGATGGCGGCGCCTTAATGCTCAGATCGACCTAGAGAATCTGAATAGCGCGGCCATGGAAGAGTGCCGGCGCCTCGATGTTGGCGGCCTTCCACGGTTTCCTGATCAGCCTACCACCAACCTGAAAATGCGAGAACTCTTCAAGGATTATAACGTTGAGGTGGTCAGCAAGTTACGCCCCCCGCCTAAATCCATCAAAGAGGTTGCTGGAAACCATTACCATTGCTTCGTGGATCTTCGAACTAAAGAGGAAGCTGATCACGCAGTGTCAGCGTTAAACGAAACTGACAGGTTTAACTGGACTATCACTGTATTGAAATTGGAAGGTATTTCGACCAAACTCCACGAGAGAGAGCGAGTGTACATATACAGCTTGCCACGAAGGTTTGATGATAGGACTCTGGTGAACGAGGTCAAGGGATTGCTGGAGCCGTTCGGGGAGCTCAGGTTCGTCAGCGACATCTTCAACCACCGTCCAACGAAGGACGGAGAACCATCAAACTGGTGCTGTTGTTATGTCGAGTTTGCTGAAGGTAAACAAGCTGATGCAGCAATACACGCGCTAGATAAGGTAGGGGAAGTACGAGGTTGTAAGATCACTGTTGGGGCAAGGCCCCGAGGCGCTTTAGAAGAGCACTTCTCGAAACCCGAGTAGTCTCGCGGCATTCTACTAGACCATGGGGAAATTGCTACATTTGGCGTTCAATAGTTAATGAAGATGGACCCGGTCTTCTAGATGAGATTGGAGGAATATGACAGATGTGGAGAAAGACGACACAATAATGCAATCAACGCGGAAACAACCTTGGCTACATTTCTAAACGTGCAGTGTTTGCTTGACTTGAACCGGAAGTTGAATGCATAACATTGTCCAATAAAAAGCCCTGGGATACTTTGGATAATAACTATAAAGACTAGAGCTCGCTGCCGAAAACGATGCGCATCACCAAGCTTCCTGTATAAATTATTCGAAATTCCGGGGTATTCACAAGGATATTCCATCGTTCCTGTAACACCTAGCCAGGACAATAGTCTCCTCGAAGTCCCTAGCCCAAAAAGTATATTTCCTCCCCATGCAGGGGAGACTATTAGGTCGGGACTTCTTCCACTCCCCCTTTAGTCTCTAAAACCGGGGCAAAACTTACGACTTCTATCTAGTCCACTGGTAAATTGATTCGATCCCGATATCCTCAGTTCAAAAGATCTTGGAATTTGGTCCTGCAGATGGTTCGCAACCAAAAGGTCCAAAACATGATCGTGGCGGATGGTTCTGGGAAGAACCTCAACAGGACACAGAATAGGAGGGTTACCTGGGGCGATAAGTTTCACGTCGAGTTTTGTGAGGATGGACGACGCCACAAAGTTTAGAAGCTCCTGTAGGACATTTTCATCGATCATCCTGTCACACATGATATTCAGCGTCCGGAGCGAATCTCGGTGAGTAGCCAATGCTTTGATCATCGGCACCGTCAGATGATGGGACTGATAGGTAGACGTCATGTGCGATATCTGGAATGATTTCAAAGGGTTTACCCTCTCGAGAACTTCCGCATTCAAGGACAGAGATTCCGTGGAATCTCCTTCATACGGTCGGGGATGCCGATATATGGTGATGGTATCGAGATGCTTCAATCTGCGGAGAATGTCCAATGTCTCTACGGGAGATGACTTTGAATAGCCACTAAATCGCAGCACTCGCAGGGCGTGAAAATGACCCAGATACTCCAGTGACACCGAAGTTGAAAAGCAGCTAAATTCCTGAAGGCTTGGGTATGCTGCGGCTATCATATCTAGAACAAGTTGTTGCTCTACATCCAAATTATGAGATGGAAACCGATCGGAGGCTAGCCTCCTATTATCGTGAAAAGCGATCCATAGCCTGGTCAGTTGTGGGAGCGCTGTGAAGGCATGCCAGGCACGAGAGACAGCGGTGTTCTTGCTTGCATGTCGTCCTAACCAGCCAGCTACCTGCAGCTTGGAGTGCAATCTTTTCCAGGGCTTCGTAGCCGTCAGTTCAACCCCACTATCCCCAGCCATTTGGGAATATCGAGCCTCCCACCACTCAGCTGTATGCACCTGGGGCCGTCCTGCTTTCTTTAGCGTGTATGGCGGGCATTCCGTGACAGACAGCAGGCAAGGGCGGTTGACATGAAGTGATACCTTTTGAACATGGCGTAGGAGATGGGGATTGCGGCGATTGCCCCGTAAAGTCCACTGCCACAGATGCGCCAGATTGGATATATAGTGGGTTTTCCCGAGGATTACAGGCAGAGCTTCTTGTCTGATCTGTCGGCAGGCCATTGATAATCGATAGATGTACCCTAGCCCTTTAAGTAGAGCGATTTCATAGATCTGGAGCCGGAGCTCGAACGGTATACTGAGGAAGCCTGACGATATTTGCAGCATCGCGGGGGAACTGGGAGGTTCTTGAAGGACTGCCGACTTAGTAGCCATTGATTAGAATGAGAGGATCAATGAGCAGATATATACGGATGTAGAGAGGACGATCTGAAGAAGAATCAAAATTACTGATGTGAGGCTGTGTTGCGAAAATGCAAAGGTAGAATAAGCGCTACTCTAACCAACCACTGTTGAATAGCCTTGGCAACGCCTTGATAAAGCCTCCAGGCTTAACAGAAACAAAGGACAAGAGTTCAACTATGATCGCTGCTGTAAAGTGCCTCGAGATCTTTAGAAGGGTGATCGTTCTTCATATTGGCGTCGATTAAAAATGTGGAACAATTCATTAGCCTAGCAGCCATTGTGTGAGCTCCAATACCGGGAGTCTACTCTTGAGGTACCAAGCTTATTAAGTTATCATATTGTAGCTATACATTGATTCAATATATCCTGCCGTCTATCCTAGTGACGTATAGCAAAGCTATGTTCTCATATGCCCTGCCTCAGAACCTGTGGCCAATCTCAAGTCGGCTTCTTCCATCTGCGCATTGGTGACATTCTTGGCCTGTAACTTATCCATAGGCTCTTTTTGATAGGCTGCCAACCAAAGTGCAAGGTCAAAGCCTTGCACGGCATCTTGAGCCTCATTTGTATCAGCCTCGCCTTGCCCACCCGATAACTTGCCTCCAAGCCATTTCCTTCTGTATCCCCCTGAGAGAAATGTAAAACCGACTACTATCGCCTACGGCCGATCGTAGCCGTTCTTCTAGTCCTCAGTGTCGGTGAGCTCCCATGTTCTCATCGACGTTTGCCGATTCACGTTTTTTATCATTCAATTTTAATGGTTTGAAGAACCAGGAGCATGTCGAACGTTATGAATCAAACATATCAGGGGAGCTTGCGTGATTGTGATTTGAGTTTTAAGATGCCACCATGCCATGTACGTCCACTTCTGCGGCTCTTCGACCTTGTTTCCATGGCGTGGGCATTAGCGACTCTCACGACTTTGTCATTCGGCTTTCCTGGCCGCTGGGTTATCTTTCGGGTGTTCAAAGGTCGCCGGTGAGTAGGTTTATGTCTTGGCATCGGCGTGAGTTGCCCTACAGCAGGTATTATGTTAGTAGTAGACGGGCTATAAGGATAGCGTACACTTACGTCGTATCCTACGTTGATGAAAGTATCCTGAATCCGAGTCGGACTCGGTTGTAGAGCGGCGAGTTTGCCGCTGAGGTATGCCGTTGGCAGTCCGTCTACCATTTATCGTGTTGCGCGAAAACGGGTCGGGGTGAGTGGTATTGTGGCCGGCACCAGTCTGCCAAATGGGTGGAGATCGTAAGTCAGGGCTGGGAGAGCGAGAAATAGATGGCGGTTCCTCAGCAAACTCCATGAAGCCATCAAAGTATGCCGATAACCTGCTCGTTCGTGCGGTGGCTCGGGTTTGATCCTTTAATCGCCGCTCGATCCAGCCAACGTCAATACGATCGTAGGGTAGTGATGAGGCGACCGCGTCGAGGCGATGTGTACCTGTCTCCATTATGGGTGACTTGTATTTATTGCAGTGAGCGACACCAGACGGTAATCGGGATTATAGGGGTAGTGGAGAGTGGCGAGACAACACAGTAGTGATGACTTGTCTTGGTGGTTGAGGACTGCGGTTATCGTGGTTGTTGACCGGTAGTTGGGTCTAGCCGTTTGGGGATAGGCTCGTGACAAAGACGAAAAGCGGCGCTAGTGGTTCGCTTACAATGGTCACGTGCATATAACCCCTGTCGCGTATGCTCCTTTTTAGGCAACCGAAGCACCTCGCACATCAACAACTGCTCAAGACTTCTTCAACTACAACACAAACATTTCCTATCAGGATACTGCTTGCATACATTCGCCACTGTATTTTACCATATATAAATTCTATTTTTGTGATACTATTCCCTGCCTATATGCAATCTACATGGGCGATTCGGACTCATGGGTTTCCACCGAGCCTTCAACACGTGTAAGGGTTGAAAAGGAGCGGGAGGAAGCGGAGGGTGAGACTAGATCAGTAAATGGACCTACTTCTGGGGCGGTGTTGGCAAAGCAGCTTGAAGCAGAGGGGACATTTGCAAGGCTTGTCCCGCAAAATCAATATGCCCGACAAGCGTTTCAGAGGCTAGCTGCGGCTACTGAGCAAGAGGAACCACTGTTCCAACACTGTAAACAGTTCCTGCATTTCGGTGATGAAGAAGATGTTGAACCCTCTGATCGGGAAGACGGCTTTGTTTTATCACTGGGTATCTTACCTGAGTTCCCTGCCATTGGCTGGAGGATAGGTAGAGGGAGAGCGGCCCGGCCAAATCTCGCTGTTGACATCTTAATCCACGAAGGCGAAGGGGTCGCTGGAGTCCATGCGCGTCTATGCTGGGTGAAAGGTGGTGGTGGCTTTTTCCTTATTGCAGACAATCTTCGGGGCATGCCTGTGTGGTTGAATGGAGAGACGCTCCGACAAACACAAAGGTTGATTCCATATCGGAACTCGATTTCGCTAGGGGAGTGTAATTTTAGTGTCCGATTTCAAACGCGGTCGAAAGACCAGGAGGAACAGTTCCAAGTAGAACTTTCCGCATATTACTCGAAAGTGCTCCTGGAGAATGCGCCATTACTCCTCCCCACTCCTTCAGGCAATGAAGTCACAGTTGGCAATTGGATAGTCCGGAATCCTATCGCAAGCGGCGGTTTTGGGCGAGTGTCTGTCGTTACACATATGTATACTGGGCAACCCGCTGCTGCTAAGGAACTCTGGAGAACTCCTAGAAACTACTATAGCGTTGATCGCGAAGTTTCGATAGTGAAACGCCTTAAACATTTCAAACATGTGCGTTAAACCTTTTACTACTTTGTGTTAATAAGCTGACCACCCATAAAGAAGAGGCTCGGTATACCTTTTGAGGTATTTCATAAGAAAGTATATGATAAAACTGAAAGGGTGTGTTATATCCGAACTATTTTATAGTAATTTGGCTGATCATGATAGGCCCGCATCGCAGGTTTACTTGACAGAACTTGGACACCGGGACAGACTGACGCGATTGATCTCTACATCCTGTACAGTCCTCTGTCAACAAGCAACTTTCTGGCGCTCTACAAATCAAAGGCCTCTCAAGAGATTCGGACGCATTTATTTGCACAGGTGCTAGAAGGAATTGCGTTTCTCCACGACAATAATATTACACATCGTGATATAAAACCGGCCAATCTCACGGTGAGGTCATACGACCCTCCAGATGCCCAAATCATCGATTTTGGCTGCGCGACGGCAGAATCAAAAACCTTATACGACAGGCCCGGCACAATCCCGTATCTTGCACCAGAACAACGGGATGGCCAATACCACGACAAGAGCGTGGACTATTGGGCTTGTGCATTAGTAGCGACTGAGCTTTTAGGCTTCAAGCGAAATAATGATAGGTTAGACGGCAAAGGGCTTGAAGCCATTCAGCAATGGCTGGATGGGCAAATGGCTCACCCCCTAGCCAAATGCGCTAAGGATATGCTGAAAGTCGAGCCTAAGGAGCGAATGATAGCAGCTGATGTTCTCCGAAACCATCTGTCAACATTCCAAGGGGGTCTAGCGAAGGGTCGCAAGCGGATAATTGATGAGATTAATGACAACACCGACACACTTTGATATCGCCAAACCCCCAATAGCACTGGTTGGTTTCTTGCACAGGAAACCAGAACAAGTTATTCTTGCGAACGGCCTTAATATCTAGCATTTAATTATATGACATAAGAACTAACGGAAACATTGTATACTTTATGCACTCGCCACAACCAACAAATTATCCTACCATCACACTTTCCATCCACGGATATACAGACCCATTTGCCATTGGATATCCCATGTGCAAAGCATTCGGAAAGAACCTAAGGGGCTATTAACTTCTCAAGATCAATTTATACTGGAAGATAATTTATACCTCGCCTCTTTTGGAGTTCCGTACTCGAACGGCAACAGTGAATCCTCGATGGGCATCAATCCATCATCCAACCCCTGGAGCAATTATCAGTAGTCAAATCCCAAGTAAGAACCAAAAGACTTACATTAATTAATAGCAGTCTCGTTGACGGCTTCTGCAGGATTCCATTCTCGAGCAATGAGAACTTCTTCAACGCTTTCTCTTTATATTCATCGAAGGAATCGTAGCCGTGTTTGAGAGAAATGGCAGGTCCAAGGCTACACGAGTAAGCTCGTGGAGTTACCAGAACAAGGGGGAAAGGCTTACAGAAACGGATATTCATGCCCATCAACCTTTTCAAGCCACTCCTTGGTGAAGAAATAATGCGTGCCAGCACCCTGCGCTATAACGCCCCTCAATCTATCTTTATGCGTATGCGCAATCCTCACCGCATAATAACCACCACAGCTCAACCCCCACACCATAACCTTCTCCATATCGAAACACTCCTCCGTAGCCATCCAATTCAGTAAACTCGTCCACAACCGATCGGGACTCGTAGGGTCACTTGGATCAGCAGGGCAGTCGGCAGTCCCTGGAATCTCAACAACCACGCACGCCCACCCACGTCTCAGAAACTCCTCGGTCCTCTGCGTGTTATCCGGCCGATATCCATCGAGACCAGTGAACAGCACAACAACTGGTGCTTTCCTTCCCTCTTTAATCCCGGTGTTTGGAATCCGCACATATACCGGAATCTCGTCGCGATCTCGGCCCGCTTTATCCAAGAATGGCACTACAACCTCCTCCACTTTATCTTCCCAAAGACCGCCAGCTTTCATGTAAACCTCCTTTTGAGCTTCCCAGGCGGTCCACTTTATGGGCGAGTTTACTACGGGGGACATCGTGATGTAGGGAAATCGAGCAATCCGGTATAGGCACGCTGCTCGAAGATAAAGTTCTGATGCTGAAGTGAGGTTTTTATATTTTGCTAGTTCGTCACCTTGCTGGGTAAGTTTCTCGGCGGTTGGAAAGAATGCTTCGGTGTAGGCGTCTCCGTAACCATCGTTGATGTTATTCTAGGGGACTTCAGCATTGGGGAATTTGCGGCCCACAAGCTCAAAAGCAAATGGTCAGGATAGAGGAAAAGAAAGGAATAATTGACCCGAATCAAGTATTCAAACACCGGCTGGAAATCTTCAAACTTCCCATCATGGAAAGGGTACACGCTCATGATACACTGCCATGTTGTCAGATAAAGTAGCAGGGATTCTAATCGGCGGGATCACTCACAGGGAATTTCCATTTAGTCTCCCATAAAGCTTTAATTCCGTCATGATGTGGCATACGGGCCTCGAATTTATCTCCAAGTCTCCAAATTTTCCTCATCTCGGGGATAATACCGTTGCTTCCCATGATGTCCTGTGTTATGGGAAGCGCCTTGATTAAAGGTTTATAGACTAGTCAAGGCGTGGGATATCACAATATTCACAGCTGTGTTGAATTTTGGAATGTCAAGTATTTGCCGGGCAGTGAGTGACAGCTGTGTGATGAATTGGCGACCTGACGAGAGATTTATATGCTTTGAGAATAGCACACTTTGGCATGGGCGGCAACCTTTTCAACTCAAATATACTCATTCGAGCAACACAACGCTACTTGTACTATCATCTTATAGCTATATGTAGAAGCGGCTCGGCGGCTACGACGGATAGTTGCTTATACCGTTGAGTTCTGCCGGTAGCCAGCCACTCTGCGGACGTCCGAATGTTGGGTTGGACTGGGCATAACGACTGCAGCATAAGACTGAATCAGACGAATAAGGAGCGGTATTTACGTTTTAGATAATGCTGAGGGTGGGAACTCGAAAAGATTGCCATGCCTTCTTTCAGAAATGCCATACCTCGTACCTTAAACCTTGGTCTTGGGATGCGCCACCTGAGCCTCTGCATGATCTCGTATAAGCAACGGATACCAATGCCAATGAGGGTATCATGCATGTTCGATTCTTCGGTGGCCACGCGTCATAATAGCCGTATCTTCGAACACCTGCACAGGAAAAGTTTTATATATGCTTCGAAGTAACGCTAAGATGCAGGTATGTAGATTACTCGGTGCCACGCACTTCTATTTTCCAACCACAGCCCACCACGACTTAACAGCGTCTTCCCAACTCGAAGGCACAATCTCTGGGTACTGGTTATTATCATCACCAATCATCTCCGCACCTCCAAACCCAATCGACCTCATCGCCGAGGAAAACTTCGACAAGAAGGCATTACCCGCCTCCTTTTGCTCCTTGGCAAAGCCATATGATTCCCCCTCCGTCAAGTACTTGACTACAATCGGATGTCCTAACACCTTCTCTACCGTGGAGAAAAGCTCGGTGGTAGTCAATGTAGTTCCGGAGAATCTTACCGTACGACCCCCTCCTAACGATGACAGATGTGGTCGCAGCAACGAAGCAACCACAACCTTTGCTACGCTGTTACAAAGGGTCAGCTGGATTTCCTGTGCTGCAAACCTGGGGGAATTCTTACTCGTCACTCAGTGTGGTTGAGATTCTGGCATCCGGATCGCCGATAAAGAGGGCAGACTTTCGATCCTGAGATAACCCAAGGACGTTGAACCACAGGAAGATATCCGTGAACAGCCCGACTAGGATATATGTATAACCCAGCGAAGGATCGGCTTTAACTCGCTCCTCGAGATACTTACGAGTAGCTATTTTGTTGACGAAGTATGCTTCAGGGGCCGTTTTGCGTGTGACAGATCGGCACCATCTAGAAATGATATTAATAACCACTGGCTATGAGCAATTTCACAAGGAATGATCCTTACATTCTGCGGGATAGAAGTGTTTCACACCAGCAGCAAATGCAGCATCCGCGAATTCCGCTTGCTGGGCACACAGGTCATCCCCAACGGCTGATATCACGATATCGAAGCCTTTGTATGAAGCCGGATCCGAAAGACCACCGACCATACGTTCAAGGTGGATAGCGGCATATTTAGCTTCCTTCTCCGGTCCTGCATCCGCAACTGCTGTAAGGAACGCAACTCGCTTGAGTTCTGATTTATGAGCAGCTAGTTCTTTAGAGATCTTAGACCCAATGTTGCCTGTGGATCCGATGATGAGGACGGAGTAAGTCATATTGTGTTGATTGTGAGCTGCTTAGAGATTTTGGACTGGTATATAAAATTGAAATGGAAGTGGTACAGCAGACTTTTGTGAATGAATATGATTTGGAAATTGTGATGGTGAACAACTAGCACTGGCTGGCTGCTAATATATACACCAGCATCTAAAACTTCCAAGACTTGTATTTCTGACTGCTTACTCAATTGTAAATTCATAGATTCATAATCAATTTACGATTATTCTCACGCACTGTAAACATTGAATGGAAACCCGATCAACGCCACGCCACTGGGTGTGGTTGTCCCTCGGTTGGATGTCAATGATTACTATTCCGAAGAAAAGTTGTCGCGTATAAATTCGGCGTTAACGCTGACAGCATAAGCTGAGTAAATCATGACGTACGTAAATCACCCATTTGCAGAAGAACTAAATCATTCGAAATTTCTTGAAGATTTATTTAGTGTAGCTATTCTAATACTCTAATCTATGATATGACAGCGCCGAGTGGCATCTTCGTGTAGTTATCAAAATTATATGATCACTCAAATTCCTTATCAACACTCTCAAATGTATCAAGGAAGCCTTTGAAAATCTTCACACCAAGTCCAGGATCAAGACTACCGGTCGTCGCGCGGATAGAATGCATGCTCAATTGCGGGATACCAGCATCAATAGCCCGAACTCCCATGGCTGAGCTCAGCATCGGCCCAACGGTTCCTCCACTTCTGGAGTCGTTCCGGATCATGAACATCTGCAATTTGCTGTCACTTTTCTCCGCAACTCGGGTAAGGAGCGCAGTCGAGACAGAGTCGGTTGTCATATGTCCGTTGGAATCGGCACATACCGTAATACCAACATTCAACCGAGGAGCATGGCCATCCAGATAAGAACCAAGGAAGTTGGGGTTCACGGCATGGGTAACATCCGCAGAGAGGAGGAATGAGTTGGCATAGGTTTGGCTCAGGAGATTAGAACTCGTCCCATTAGTCGAGAAAGATTCGGCGATTCTCTCTACGGTGCTAGGCAAGAAATTGCCACGTGCACCTTGTCGGAGCAAGCTACCAATCTCTTCGTCGTCGAAAAGGGCAGTTAACTTGATAATACCATCTTCTTCGGAGCTAGAGGCAGAGGCAGAGGCAGAGGCAGAGGCGAGAAGTCCTTCCATCGCAGCCCACGAGCAGAGCTTATCATCAATCCGGCCGCCGAATATGAACTCCTTGTCTAAGCCACCAGTTTGTGCAGGTTGAGTATCGTAGAGCTCGAGTTCCCAGTTGACAATGGAGCTGTAGTCCTGGATATTGAGCTCCCCTGCGATAGCTCGGACGAGTCTTGGTGGTTGGGTCACTGCAAATGTACCTTCAGCACCTAGCGTCAAGTTTTTGAATTCGTCTCCCAAAGAGTCGGTATAACCGTCGGAATTATCCAGGCCGATGATTGGAACTGCCTGTGTTTCTTTGTTATTTTGTCCCTGCATGCCGACGCCGAAATGAGGCGCGAGAGTTGGGATTCGAGCAACTGTGACTAAGTCAGTCCTGTATCCCATATTGCATTATCATAAGACTCACTTGGCCATCCGAGTTTCACCAGCTTGGTGGTGATCTTGCCCGTCCTAGAGTCCTTAACCAATACTCGGCCTCCAATGCCAAGATCCCGGTCCCACCATGTGTTGTTCAAAGCCCCAGCATACGGAGCAACCCCGAGTTGTACGTAGCCAGCGGAGGTCTTCTTGTTGCTTATCGGCTTTAGGCGTGCCGTCAAGGCGTCGATATGGCCAGCTATCATTGCAACTCCATTGCCACTCTTATATCCCTTGCCAACAGTGAAAGCAATCAGACTGCTTCCGTTTCTCGACACATAGTATTTCCCTCCACGTTGTAATTCATTGCCCCAGGTGTTCCGCTCGGATAACTATATAAGATAAAATATTAGCAAGTTCTGATGAAGAGGAACCAGATTTAAGTACCTTCGTGAATCCTGCTGCATCTAGCCTCTTCTCAAAGTGCGAAACCGTATGCCACACCGTTGGATTCTCGGTCAGGAAGTCACAGAAGGGCTGCGTGTACGCCTCCGGGCTCTTCAGTGCGTTCTCTTCTCGTACAAGTCCTTTGGTGATTAAGCTCCCGCGCGGCTGCTGGAGCTGCTCCTTCATGCAATCGTTGTACTTCTCGAACAGACTCTTCACTTCGGCAGATTGCCCCTCCCACCCCATAGGTTCCTCTTGTACGGGCTGGCTTCTGAGCTGCCGATACAGGAGTGGCAGAGTAGCCTGCTGATCTGGCCCGGCTAGTATCGTCTGGGCGCAGTCGCTGTGAGGATTAAGCTCAGGGTCGAAATCTCTCAAAGGGCGATTGTTTTCTGAATGTTCGGCAACGGGTAGGCCTGCGGGGGGGGCATGGAGTCGCTGCGACAGAACATGGAGTTGCCTTTTCAGCGTGTCATTCTCCTCTTGGAGCTCTGCAGTTCGTTGTCGTGTAGCTTGGTCTTGCACTGAGGTTCGGAGAGAGATGCTGCTCACGCTGTTGCGGAGGGAATTGGGGGCGTTCTTGACCATGGCTGCGAATAATAACTAGTAGATAGCAGAATTAAATGATAGGGTTGTGAGCAGAGAGGAGGAATAAGGACGAGGGATGATGACTGTGGTTTGTGTACGGATAACGACGAAGCCATGGGTGTGGGGCGGCGATCTTGGTGGTTGGATTGCTTGGCGGGTTGATACGGCGACAAGCTCTTGATACGATAAAGTCACCTCAGCAAGCTCCATAAGATGCAAACTTGCCAACATGACAACAAACCTGACAATATCATATCACGGCACATCAATTAATACTCCAGCAATACCTCACAACATGCAGCAACATCAATCTCAAAGCATCGCGATGGACAAAATACTTGAAAACCATTCCGTTGAGTAGCTATTCTTGGCTAAACCCCGAGCATCCCCAGTACGACCAAGCTCAACACTGCAACTCTGTTCGATACGTGACATGCATTCCCGTCATAGGTCCGATTATCATGGCCCACCGAGGACTTGATGCCTATCGAGCCGTTCTCTAATTGTCGTAGAGTCTGTTGTTGGGACGATACTGGTTCCTATTGCTTGGTGTCAGCAGCATTCCTCGATGGGCGACCAAATATGCCTCCGGGAGTCTGATGATCTTACGGGTCATACTCGTTGGCACCCTGCTCCCGAACATAGTGCTCATCGTACATATGCTCGACATTCTCTTTGGCGTGTCGCTTGGCTTTCTACGAAACAATCAGCTATCCCATCGTTGAACCCAAGATTGCATGTTTGATTCATCGCCATACCTCTCGATCGACGAAGTCCATGCCCTTCGTCTCAATGAGCTTGTCGACCTCAGCACCAGCGATACCAACAAGGAGCTCCTTGGCAAATTGGTGAGATACTGGCTTGCCTGAGGGTATTATGATTAGTCCATGCTTGGGGAAAAAAGAAATACGCCAGGAAAACGGCGGGATGCAGGGCAGAGAGCTTACCCTCCTTGCGTTGTCTGTCCTCGAAGATCTTGAAGGCACCGAATGAAGCAGCGCCTGCTAAAGCCTCGTGTCCGAAGCTAGATTCATTGTGGAATTCTTGTTGGCTGTCGTTGGCCTGTTTGTAGGCGTCCTCGGAGTCACCTGCAATGATCACTAAGTCAGTATAGTTACTAGATGGTTCCCAAGGCACTGGTCAAGTGGGACAAGGATGGAGCAAAGTTGAGAAGCTAGAGAGAGGACTGACCCCAACCGAAAGGCATCTTGAGAAGGTGGTTGGTATAGGTTGCTTGTTTGCGAGGGAGCTTGGTATAGTCGACTCTGTATAGTGAAGGTTTCAATTTATGTCCGTGGGAAGGCGAAATAGGGAGGTAGGCTATGAAGAGGGGATGTTCTTCCTCTCAAGAGGAGGGGTAACGGAGGCTTCTTATGCTCTATTGCCAGTGGGGGTGTGAATGTGTCGGAATCTGCCTACTCAGCCATTCACAGCTATCCCGGCACCTAAAAGCCGCAGCGTCCACAGGGTCAAGTCCAAGTGCCACCACATATTCACAGGCAGACGCTTCATAATGTTACGCATTGGCCATCATTTGTGGGCACTTCGCCATATCCACGCCCCTGCTCAGCTGCTTGCGCGGCCTGGCCTGCTCAAGTAGCACTTAAATGGCTCTTATGAGTGCGTCCCCGCAAGCCAACACCGCTGCATTTCCCAATTCCGGGCCAGGAACGAAACATAAAACTGGAGCAAGACTACTCCGTATTGGTGCCGGACCAGCCGATAGATGGGAAGGTCAGGCCTCAATTTAGGTCTGGAGCTTCTCATCCTATATCAGTTCGGCTATGGCGGGGATCTCCCGGCTACGCCCCTTTCCGCCCCCTTTACACAATGCAAAGGGAAGAGCAGTTCTCACTTCAACTACGTAAACTTCGTACACAATTACTCTTTCCTTGTTGGTTGATACTAGCTCTCTCAAGCACAAGACTCATTCTATGACTAATTAAATAGAACAGAATTGCAATATACGAGTAGCCCTTTAGTGTGCAGCAAATACTTGTATAGTACCCTCGTAGTCCTAAACCAGGGAACCCTGCTTGATGAGCGCATAGTTCTACTGGGAAAACGCAAGCCATCGCCAAGTCTTCCAAATCTCTTGGCCAACCGATGTGCAAAAGCTTGTTTTATCTCCCGCCGTGTAGATCCTGAACCGTGCTAGTTCCGCAAACTATTATTCATACTCCGTAGACAACAGGGCACGCTACTGTGCACTTCGAGCACATCTGATTTGATATTCTAGGGTTACCAATCTCGAGTGGACGGCTGCACTCCACGTGATTTCAAAATCACGCACTTCATAGTATTACTATCTACCATCTAGCAAAGTTAAGGGAGACGGACGTATTGCAAAACCCATTGATAATGTCTACATCTGCACCGACAACTCCCCAGCTACCGCTCAAATCAGATTTTCCCTCGTCTCTCACTGTCGACATTATCCCGCCTCCATCAGGCTCACCAGTCAACGTCCTACTCCTGCTCCACGGTCTTGGAGATACCAATAAACCCTTCGCCCAGCTCGGCAAGAATTTAAACCTGCCAGAGACAGTAGCCATCTCGATCCAAGGACTGAATCCCATCCCGCCTATTTTTACGGGTTCCGACACCCCTGCGTTCCACTGGGGCGACGACGTCCTGGTCGATGAAGGGCGAGGAGAGATCGAGCTAGATGCCGGGTTTAACGCCAGCACCAAAGTCCTGCTCGACGTGGTGATTCGAGATGTCTTGATGAGCAAATGCGGGTATCCTGCGCGGAACATCCTATTCTTCGGCTTTGGACAAGGCGGGATGGCAGCCGTGGGAGTCGCGCTGGCTGCTGCTCCGGAAACTGAATTTGGCGGTCTAGTTAGTATTGGAGGACGTGTACCCTCTGCTGCATCTGGAGATGCAAAGAGCAGGACCCCCGTGCTTGTATGTGGCGGAAGCAGAAGCACGCAGATTACCAGAAGTGCGGTGGATTCGTTGAAGGGGAGGTTTATTAATATGGAGTACGTGAAGTGGGACAAGCCGGATGATTCTATGCCCAGGGACCGTGGGGAGATGTTGCCAATTATGAAGTTTCTGGCGCGGAGGTTAAGGAGTAGAGCTGGTGTACCAGAGGGTGCTGTGGAAGTTTGAAGGACCGCTATGTTCCATAAATGGACGCTACAAGGTAAAACTTGGAAATTACTCTGTCGTTGGGGCTTCGAAAACAAGTATAGCAACATGGTTTGCCACACGGTATGTTGTTTAAAATATATCAGGAACAACTGGCTGATGGCACATAGTTGATAAGATGAGCTTGTTGGGAACTACCTTATCATTGTTCTGATGGCCAGAAGCCTGGAGCGGGTACCGTCACTAGTCGAATCACACTGCTACTCGTAATAGTAATATGCCAGGGATACCCAAGGCGGTGTCTTCTATTCTGTCTATAAATTGTCTTCTATCCGTGTTTCATCTTCGTTCTTCACCTCAACGGCCTCTTCTGAGTTCTGTCCATTAGCGGCCCTAGCCTCAGCTCTGTCTTTCTGAGCCTGTCTTGCTGCCTTCTTCAGTTGCCTCTTGCTTATTGGAACTGCTTCCTCATTCCCCTTTCCATCACCATCTGCCCTGCCTTTAGCATCCCACTTCAACCTCGCCTTTTCCTCATCCTCAGCAGTCCACTCCTGTGGTAAAACTGCAAACACTAAATAACTCGTATGAGCTTTAATTTCCGGTTCTAACCTATGGATTAAATTTCCTTCTTTATAGGTTTTCTTTTCCACCAAATTTTCCAGCAGTTTCGCCCTATTATTTGGGTTAACTTTCTCCCGTTTCGCTTCCGGCTTCTCGCCATTCTCGTGGAATATCCTGGAATTGCCTTCCACTTCAATCAGACGCGCAAGAGCCTCACTAACGGTTGCCGGTGCTGTTTGAGGGCCTCCGCTGCTGTCGATGCCGATGCGTTCGCGCCGGGTTTCATACCGCCTTTGCGACAGTTCAACCATCTCAATGTCTACCCAACCAAGCCGTCTCATGACAGATACCGTACGCTGAACTTGTTCAATACACGGCGAAAATGTGCAAATATGAACCGGACATGAAGGATTTAGCGGTGAGATAAAGGGTGTGGCAGGTGTGGTCGAAGGCTCCTTTGTTCCATTTGCAGGATTTGGCGTCCCTGATCCGGAAGCGTTATACCACGATTTCGGAGGAGTTGAGAGGGCTGATCGAGTGAGATGTGGCAGAGCAAGCCACGGAGCCGGGAGATCCAGGAAAATGGCATCTGCACCTGGACTTTGATTGTCAACCAAGAAACCATCCTCGCATACATCCCGATGTGTGACTTGCACAATTCCTTCCAGCCCATGATCTTGCAATTCCTCCTCCAATTTTTGATGCCTTTGCTCGTGGAATTCGTAGCTCCAGACCTTGCCTAGGTTCTTTTTCTTCTGCGCAGAGACATCTCCATCTATATTGGAGAGGTAGCCTTTAAATACCGACCTTGCGGATGCATGTGTAAAAGATCCACTTCCAGCACCCGCTTCAATCAAATTTGTTCCAGGTCTGGCTCTCAATCTGTGAAGGATGTAACTGTAATCGGGTGTGTAGACCACTTGAGTTCGGTGAGGCAACGAGCTTGTCCAATTCTCGGGTGTGGGAGGCAGTAAATGTATGAACCCAGTTGATGCAACGACCGCTTCCTTCTCCTCCTTTACCGTAACCGGGGTGCTGATATTGGTATCACCGCCACTCTCTTCCTTAGGACCATCCTCTAGCTTCCCCTTCTTGGCTGTACTATCGCCTGCCTCAGCCTCGGACTCCTCCCGTTTCCGCTTCTGCTTGTTTTGTCCCTGTTTGTCTCGGCGTCCTCGCGATCCCGTATCAACCACCGAAGCTCGAACTTGACTTCCCCATGGCAATCCAATCAACGTGGTATGCGGAAAGGACCCGAATCGGGTGTTGACGACCTTACCCTCAGAGTAACCTTCGTCGTCCTCGTCATGGTCTCGGAGAATTGTTGGAATTTGGAGGTCCCGCTTGAGATGAATGATTGCCAGACTATCTGTCTTGGCGATTGGCCCCGGATAGAGAAAGGGCGATATGTTCGAAGTCATATTGAGGCCGATGTTGGTGGTCGGAATTTTTGAGGAAATTTCGGAAAAGGACGAGGCTGAGAGAATCACAATTTAGCCGAGCCGAGCCTTTCAAGCATCGCGACATCGCAAGGCGCAAGGCGACGCGAATTGTGACTCTTTCGTCCAAGAACATCCACAACGGCTAAATGCTCTTTGTTTCCATGGTGCGATGCATATCTACCCCAAAACCGAGGACCGTACACAATTTCAGACTTAAGTTGCTCTCAAGTTCTGCGAATAGAACCGCCTATATTTTCCATCATCGGTTACTCACAACTTCTGCGAATCCACCAATTCGAACCTCAATGGCGCAATTGAAAGTCCATAACTCCCTCAAACCAGGAGGCCCTGTGCCATTCATTCCCAAGGAAGAGGGCAAGGTTTCCTTTTACGCATGCGGCCCCACCGTGTATGGGCCGTCCCATCTGGGACATGGTCGAAACTATGTCTCTACGGACATCATACGGCGGATAATGAGGGATTACTTTGGCTTCAAAATGAAATTTGTGCTGAATATTACGGATATAGACGATAAGGTTAGTGGCTATTCCTATTACACAGCGTTATGACTTTTATTTACTTTCTGAAACTGTAGATTATTTTGAAAGCTCGAAGACAAAGGCTCCTCGAGATAGAAAAGTCCAAAAAGTACACCGAATCCGAAACCTCGGAACTTGCAGCCACGGCTTTCGAGGCCTATGTACAAAGCAATCTTCCAGCGCTAAACTTGGTAGATCTTACCTCAAACAATTACCTCTCCCGAGTTAATGAGGCATATGGCGACGTTCTAGCTGGAAAATCATTGATTGGGGGGGACAAGCCTGGCGATGCGGAAACAAAGATAAAGATGCACATTAACAGCCTCAACTCTGCATGGAAGGCCATTCAGGAGAAGAATGTGTTTGGAGGAGAAGCGGACGACGTCATTTCGCCATACTTAGATTCCCTCTACAAGGATAAAATCGATGGAAGTGACCATACAATATTTACGGAGGTTACAAAATACTGGGAGGCCCACTTCATGGAGGATATGGATACGTTAAACATCTTGCGACCAGATGTGGTAACACGAGTTACGGAGTACGTTCCACAAATTGTATCTTTCGTGGATCAGATCATCAAGAAAGGATTCGCATACGAAGCAGATGGCTCAGTTTACTTCGACATTGCGGCATTTGAGAAAGCTGGGAACCCGTACGCACGACTAAGACCCGAAAGCCGGAATGACAAAGCCTTACAAGAAGAGGGAGAAGGCTCGTTGTCGAAGAATCTAGGAGCGAAGCGGGGTGCGGGCGATTTCGCCTTATGGAAGAAGTCCAAACCCGGAGAGCCCGTCTGGCCAAGTCCATGGGGCGAGGGCCGGCCAGGCTGGCACATTGAATGCTCAGTCATGGCGTCGGATGTTCTAGGTTCACAGATTGACATCCACGCAGGAGGCATTGATCTTGCCTTCCCACATCATGACAATGAATTAGCGCAGTCGGAGGCATACTTTTGTGAGCATGGCAAGGGGCCGCATAATTGGGTCAATTACTTTTTACATATGGGCCACTTGTCAATTGCGGGTTCCAAAATGTCAAAATCACTAAAGAATTTCCAAACTATACGGGAAGCTCTGAGTAGCGATTACACGCCGAGGGGTATGAGGATTGTCTTCCTTATGGGCCGGTGGAACGATGGGGTCGAAATTTCCGACGACATGAGAACCATGGCTGAAGGGTGGGAGACGACTGTGAATGTAAGCTTGGTCTCCCATCACGTATATCAGTACTAACAGTTTATAGAACTTCTTCATTGTCACAAAATCCTTGCTTGCCGAGAAAAGCTCGGTAGATGCCCTGAAGTCCCTAACCATCAATAGCGAGACCCAGACGGAGCTACAGACGAGCCTGGACAAGGCTCAAAAGAATATGCAGGCAGCACTGTCCGATTCATTTGATACCCCAAGAGCAATGCGGGTACTACATGAATTGATTAAAGAGGCGAATATCCGCACCCATAGCAACAGGGTGGCTGTGGATTTGCAAGGCCTGGAGGCGATTGCACGATGGGTGACTAAGATCGTTGGCATCTTTGGTCTCGATGCGAATGCCTCGCCACCTTATGACGGCTTAGGATGGGCTAGTAAAGGCGCTGCCTTGAATCTATCACCGCAGGAAGCCGTCGAGCCATTTATCGTAGTCTTCCGAAATGTGAAGGACGCCCTTAGCATCCTCTCTGTCCGTTCAGAAACTCTCGACAAGCTTTTGGCGGCGGATGTCGACAGCGAATTTGATTCTCTTCTCTCTGCTGGTACGACAGACCCGGAACTCCTTGTTATGCCATATCTCCGCTCTGTTTCAAAAGTTCGTGACGAGATACGACAGCTAGCTCCTTCATCGCCATCGAAGAAGGTGCTTCTCGCCCTCTCAGATTTAATCCGAGATGATTATCTGACCAACCTAGGAGTTTATCTTGATGATAGACCCGAGGGTCTGGGTGCACTCATTAAATTTATTCCCAGAGAGGAGCTTGTAGCCCAGAGGGAGGAGAAGGCCGCTAAAGAGCGAGAGGGGTTGGCTCAGAAGGAGGCAGCAAGATTAGAGAGAGAAAGGCTTGAGCGCGAGAAGGCTGAGAAGGTCAAGGTGAGCCCGTTAGATATGTTTCGAGATGAGCGATTCAGTGCTTGGGATGAAGACGGGCTTCCTACGAAAACGGCAGATGGTAAAGACGTAACGAAGAACGCGTTAAAGAAGTTGAAAAAGGACTGGGAGAGGCAGAAAAAGGCTCATGAGGAGTGGAAAGCAAAGTCTGGGGCGTGATCGTTTGTTTTGGTTTTGGTTCACTGTCGAACTTGCCACTCAAAACAGCATCTCTGACCTCTGTCACTTAAAGTACTACGTATACCCAGCGCATTGCTTAGCTTTCACAATATCTCAAGCACCATCTCACATATCTAGCTTTTGATAAGTTGGTATATATGTGCTACACCCACTATCTTATGCGAATACTATTTCTATATTTCAAGTGAACCCAGCGTCCAGTGTCACAGTTTCGGCCAAATCTTCAACTCGAATTCTAAAGCCCCCAGGCTCCACTCTCCAACATGCCTCCTCCGGGATCCTATCATCCCAAAAACTAAAAGCAATCCTTTGATCGATCATCAATTTCACAGTCTGACGTTCCCCTGCATTCAAGCTCACTTTCTGGAATGCTTTGAGCTCCTCCTTCGGCCTCCACATGGACGCCTCAGGATCCTCAATATATACCTGAACAACCTCCTGGCCTCTCACTTCTCCAGTGTTCGTAACGTCAACTTCGATCGCCAATTCTCCGCCTGGGTTTCCTCCATCGCCTCTAGGAAATATACTACATCGCAGGTTACTATACTTGAAAGCCGTATATGACAATCCAAACCCAAAACGCCAACGAGACTCATATTCATCATTTCTATATCCAACCTTCAAACCCTCAACATAGTCAATCTCCCAATCGCCATCGCTATTCCGAACAGCGGGAAAGTGCGAAAAGCTGCCTACATCCTCAAGGGCTTTCGGCCAGCTCACAGTCAATCTCCCACTTGGACATACTTTCCCTGTCAAGATATCCGTAATTGCCTCTCCTCCTTCCTGTCCTAGGAAGTGAGCCCAGACAATTGCATCCACATCATCCACGTATTCCGAGACATCAATTGGATTGCCTCCAAACAGTACTAAAACAGTCTTCCTACTCGCTTTGGAAACCTCTTTTATCAGCTTCTCCTGGTTATCTGGAAGATGAATCGACGTCAAATCAAATCCTTCACTCTCCATCTCCGCATTGCGTCCCGCGAAAATTATAGAAATTTCAGACTCAGATGCTAAATTTACAGCGCCGTCCCGCAAGGCCTCCCCGGAATATTCTTCCATGAAACATAACTTTGCACCATGAATCCTCGGTTCCCCCGTCTCTTCGAAGGGCTTGAAGGGCTGGACTATGGCTTGGATGAAGTACTCGTGCCTAGCAACCATCCGGACGGTACATGATCGTTCGAGTGCCTGCGGGATGAAGAGGAAGTCTTCAACGCTTGGAGGAGGCCACATTTCGCCCGAGAGCACAAGCTTCTTGTCCACGAGAAGCTCGAAAGAGCCTGTTGCTTGGATTGCAACGGTATGCGATCCAGTTGTGCTAGGTCTGATTGTCGTGGAGATCACGTATTCTGAGAATGTTTCCTGGGTCAAGGGAGGTTTCAGATAGCCAATCATTGCAGTTTGCATTGTCGGTTGGAACTCCTGTAGAACTGTGTTCGCCTGGTCTTGGGTGAAATAAGATATATCCATTCCCTCCTCTCCGTTTCTAGCACGGGTGATGGAAAGCGGTATCGAGGGTATGGTCTGATGGTCTCTAAACCCAACAGAGTGTTGTACATTCGATGGAGTTGGATGGGATGCCCGAAGGCAACCCAGTGGTCGTTGTGTATATTGTGGTGGTGTTTTGGCACTACCGCCACCCCCTACTGGGGGATTTAATGCTGCTGGGCCAATGATTGCAACTTTTCCATCCCACTTTTTGTCAAAATTTAACGGTAGAGTCTTTTCTTCGTTCTTCAATAACACTATTCCCTCGAAGGCGATTGTACGGGCCAACAGATTTGCTTTATCGCCCATCATTGATTTTTCGTCCGCATGTAGATCGGTATCCAACGTTTTTTCAATTAAGGTCAAAATATTCCTGACTCGTTTTTCGATAAATTCCTTGGTAATATTACCTTCTCTCACCTCTTGGATGAGCTTTTCTCCCCGAAACACCGAGGGCCCGGGCATCTCCAGGTCTAGATTGGCTTCAAGTGTAGGGAGTCCGGATCGCGTTCCATACCAGTCTGAAATAACACATCCTCGGTAGTTCCATTCGTCGCGCAGGATCTGTTGAATTATGGGACTCTCGCTGCAAAATAAAGGGCTCTCCTTATTGTTGGCTTGAACTTTGTTGTATCTGTTTCACTATGTCAGAATATCGATTAGCATATCAAAAAGAGCACCCACGCCGTCATAGTCGCCATTGGATCAGAATCCCTTATCAAGTGCTCAAAAGCAGCTAGATAGATCTCCCGCATTGCCCTGCCGTCCGTCGAAGTCTTAACAGAATAAAAGCGGCGTTTAGTCTCGCTATCATTGCCAATGAAATGTTTTGGGCACGCCGCTACCCCTCCTCTCTGAATGCCTGTGACAAGGGCAGCGGCCAGCTTGCCTGTTAATAAAGGATCTTCGCTAAAACATTCAAAATTCCGCCCCCCTCGTGGATCTCTGTGGATATTGACCGTTGGGCCGAGAATGACAGATGCACCTTTCTGTTTTGCTTGGACTGCCAATTCATCGCCTAGCTTCTCCATCAACTCGACGTTCCATGTTGCGCCTAAGCATGTGGTACTTGGGAAACAGAGGGTGGTGCTTCCGTTGATGTGAGAGGAACCCTTAACGCCATTGACACTGTCAACTAGTTTAAGGCCCGGAATCCCTAGACGGGGGACGCCGGTGGCAGCCACAAAGTTTGACCCAGAGAGGAGGCTGACTTTCTCCTCGAGAGTTAACTGACTTATCCACTCTGTAACCCTATCTGCTTTTATAGAGTCTTTTGTTTCTTTTCCCCCCGAATTGGAGCCCATCTTTTACTTACGCCCGTCGACTTAACAAGTAAATATGGGAGAATAAATGGGAACTTATCTAGAAGAGAGAAGGAAGCGAGAAAGAAAAGGGATATAGTTAAGGAGAGCTCTACTCTAGCTTATCAAAGTTACTCTCTCGACACCTCCGAGGCCGGTCGGGGTGTCTCAATTGGTGCAAGGCTGCAAAGGCTGACCTTGAGCTTTGCCATAGAGTGGCAGTGCGGCGCAAATAGCCTCGATGGTCACTTGCCCATTTCTTATTTGCTATTTTATCGGATCCAGACTGACGAAACATTTGGGTCGTTCGTCCTATGTCTTGGGTTACAGTGTTGACATCCACCTCCGTCCACCCTGGTATACGGTGGTTTATACAGCGGTGGTGGTGCATAACGATGACACCCACTGGACGCGTAACTAAAGCATTTGCGTAAAGAGCGGCACTGCACAGTTGTTACAAGCACGTTTCAATCCCCCCAGTTGTGTTTTAACAACTTATTTGGTGGGTTTTGAGATATCCTACTGGTGCCATTCTAGCTCTGCAAAACCGATAATGTTGTAAGAACTATAGAACACTGCCAAATCTATTTGTGTTCAGCATGCCGCTTTAACGAGCAGAGCTTTAGCATATCATACATAGGTGCCTACTTATCTTTCTATTACGAAGTATCAACAACCCTTTATACTCTATGTCCCGGCTACCTTGGGATATACATTATTTACTAAGTTCAGTTGAATCTGAGTCTCCGAGACCACAATTCTCCAGCGCTCAAGGCTCCATAAGCTTATCAACGAAATATCATATCGTTCATAACTGGCTGCGGAAGTTTATATATAACCCACCATGCCAAATGGGGTCCCGTAGGTCTCACCGCAACCCTTGATGTCCACACTCCACTTCCTCCACGAGCTGTTTGTCTTTACGAAGTATCCTTCCACTTTTTAAAGTACTCTAGGTGTCGGCGGATCGTATTTGTGTTCCTTCGTTCTAACTCCGAACCTGATAGTGGACGCAGCCGCTGACACCTTACACCGCCGATTCTCTCTCGCGACCCAATCTGGCGGTCTGTGGGGGGACGAGATGGATGCTCCGAGGCCCCAGGCCCAGAGCAGTGGGAGCGGGAAAGCCATCGACAGCAACCTAGAGACCTCAAGCCAAGCTGCGGGAAAAGGCATCTCCAGCTCAAGTTCCGGCCAGGCCAAGCGGTCCACACGCCCCCCAAAAGAAGCAGCAAAGCCAAAGGCAGTTCCCAATGCGCCGGGACAGCGGTTCCAGTGCCCACGATGCCCCAAGAATTTCAGCCGTATTGAGAATCTGACGCGCCACCAAGCAAACCGTAAGTCAATATGTAATATTTTTTCCACCTAGAATTGCCATTCTCCGTCCACTCGAAGGGGCCTGACACTTCTATAGACGAAGAGGTGGGTAAATTTGCCTGCGTGGTATGCAGGAAACGTTTCACAAGAAGCGATTTGCTCAATCGGCATCGCCGCATACACAATCCCCAGCCGGAATCGTCCAACCCTCACGGGACCGTAGTGGGATACAGCTCTACTTCGCCACCCCAGCCAGATGTTGAAGACCTTAGCAAGCAATCCATTCAAGATGGTGCTCAGTCCACTTTCCAAGAAACCGTCGGCGGCCCTGTAACTCATGGCTCAGATGATGTCTATAACCAGATGCGTCAGGAGCCAGGTGCCTTTATTGACCAAGGCCATGCCGCTCACGCTGGCTATCAAAGTCTGTTGCCGCCGGACGACGTCCAAAATCCCCATTCATTAATGGTCCCTAGCAATGCGGCCCAAACCCAGGGTCTCACGAGTCTTATGGAAGCGGCATTGACACCACAGGATGGATATACTTTCACGCCAGCGGAAAATTTTAATCCGTCGTTATGGGGTGGCTTCATGCTTTTCAGTGATAACTCCAATGCATATATGGGCTCCTATGATGCAGATATATCTTGGGCGCTGGGGTCCTCCAACACGGGGTCGTCTCCTGATAATCACCATGAGCACGACACGATGCATGCAGTGGACAGTTTCACTGATAATCCGTACCAGTACCAAGCGGTCCCGTATCGCCAAGATGATGTCAGCCATCTTGACGCTGCTGATAACGAGGATGAAGATACGAATGACTGGCCGGATAAAGTGATCAATTCAAGCCATGCTCAGCATCGAGCATCTCGCATTGTACCACTTCACTTGTTGCCCGTGTCCTGGCAGTTAGTACTTGATGAAGCCAGAAGCAGTGGCCTCGACGCCACAACAATTCGACCCTACCAGCACATAAACAACCCCTTGCACGCCTCCTTACTCTCTGCCCTTGACGGGGCTAATTACAGGAATGAGATGTCCCGGCCAGAGATCAGTGATGCCATGTTCCCGCCCGCCGAAGCGCTGGATTTCTTCCTTCGACTTTATATCAGATACATCCATCCAAGGTTTCCGGTTCTTCATCTTCCAACGTTTGATATATATAACTCTCCACCCCTCCTTCTCCTTGCAATGATGTTTCTTGGGTCTAGTCATTCTAGAAGCGACCGAGGACGCTTTTCCCGTGTGTTTTATGATCATCTTAGAATTGCTTGTTTCCGCATGCAAGAAGTTGATTCCAAATTTGTAAGTATCGACAGCTCACCCCTTGTTGACAGCCGGTTCTGACCAGATGTAGCTGCGTTCTGTTGATAACATCTTGACGTATTTCCTCCTCTGCTTGGCCGGTACTTGGAGTGGGAGCAAGCAAGCTTATGAATTTGCTGAGGGCAGTCGAGGGATACTTATTACGGCTTGCAGGAGATCCCGCCTCATGGATTGCAGACCTGCAGCTAGGGTGGACGTAAAGCACTTTCAGCGTCCTGGAATAAGTCAGCTAGATGCTTTTTGGCTGGCATGGGCGGAAACGGAAAAGAGGAAGCGGCTTGGCCTGTCAATATATGTAAGTGTCACTTAATTCTCCCCGCATCTTCTTCTTCCCTCTCTCGCTATAGACGAACGGCAACAGCAGCACGATTATGAAAATGACCCAACGACTTTAAGTTATGCTCAAGAATTTCTTTTGTATTTGAGACATTTAGGATTCTAGACCCCTGTATGGATCCAGTCTTCTAAAACATACATGCCGTACTAAGTCTAGGTCATGGTCGAGCCTTATTTGGATGTACCGCTGTAATTGTCTATAGCGGGAATTTGTTTATAATAATCCCGAAACCAACTAACAATTTGTAGATATTTGACTGTCAATATCCTGCCCTATTCAACAACCAGCCGTATGTAAGCAAAGCTGAAACTACCAACTGCGTGTTTCCATGCCCCGAAGAATACTGGGAAGCAGCCACCTCTGAATCATGGGAAATGCTTGTTGGCGTCGTAGACGGGCCACCCCCGACTTTTTACTTACACGCACTTAACGCATGCCTACTCCGCAAATGGGTGAAACCACCTCCACCGATTCCAAAGACTGGGGGAGATTTCGGCAAGATCGTTCTCATCTACGCTATCCATACTCATATATTCGAATGGCGCCAATCGACTTCCATGCTGAATCCCACCGGGTTAATGGGCACATTTGGAAACTCGGCGATGCCGATCGGCGAGGGGTTGAAAGAGCGGCGCCGCTGGCTAGTCGATGGCCTCGACAGCTGGGCAGAATGCTACCAGTCATTGGGAACGAGTGTGGCGGCATCGCTACTTCATCGTTTAGGATACATCGCCCTTGATGTAAGCCTCTCTGATATGCATCTCGTCGCGGGGCGATCAAACAATCTCAACGACGGCAATTTCGCCGAAGAGAATCTCAAGCACTGGGCCAACAGCGAGATGGCCAATTCCACAATGTCCCACGTATACAGCATGTTAGAACTCTGCCATCACTGCATCAACGCAGGAATGGTGGCGGATAGCTCGTATGAAGTTGCGGTGTGTCTTTTCACAGGTGGCATCGTATGTTGGGCGTATGCGAAATTGAAGACCAACGCGCCGAGGGGACAGTATATCGAACAGGTGCAGAAAGCAAGTGCGGCGCTGGGCCAAATGGGCTGTTGGAGGATGTGTCTGATGTTTGGGAGGATTTTGAACAGTTTTGAGGCGCAAATGGCTACTTAGATAAGTTTTCTTTTGTGTATTTGGGGGCTGAGGGGGGG